GGTGTTCAAGTACGTCCACCAAAGTCAAGACGGCTCACTAGGCCCCTTCAAATTAAGCCGAAGCGAAACTTAGATGAGGGTGTCCTCGCCGGGGAGGATGGTACCGTTGGAGACAGCAGCAGCATGAGCACGAGCAAGAGTGCCCCAGACAGGGTAGTAGGTGTCGAGCCAAGGGATCATCTCCTTGGCACCAGGGACGGAGCGCCAGTCGCGCATGAGGTCACAAACGATGGAGAAGAGACTGACAATCTGGACACCAGCGCGGGCCATGCGGTCGTTGGAGATGTCACGGACAAGAGCAGAGTTGGTACCAGAGGCCTCGGCGTTGGCCCAGACGGAGTAGCCTTCGGCGCGAAGAGAGAGGGCGAGGAAGGTGGTGCAGACGTCGGTGGTGATACCGGCGAGGACGATTTGGGACTTGCCGTAGCTGCGGACAACGTTGCGGAACTCCTCGTTGTCCCAGGCATCAACCTCGCCCTGGCGCTGGACGAGGGGGGCGTTGGGGTACATGTTGATCATCTCCTTCATGAGGGGACCGTTGGGGCCTATGAAGCAGAGGTATTAGAAACTGATTATCAATAATTACAGTTGTGATGCCTAACTTACCGGTATCGGCAGAAGTGGTCATGACAACTGGCAGGTCAAAGGCCTTGCCAAGGGCGGCGTGGGCAAGAGCCTGCTGCTTGTAGAGGGTGGGATCAAAGTCGCGGGTGAGCTGGTAGAGACCCTCCTGGATATCAACGATGAGCAGGAGAGTGTCATTCTTCACAAGTCTCTCATAGTTGAACTCTGTATTAACACGGCAATGTCAGCCATTGAAGGACGGTTATGGTTGGGTTTAGGATGATCATACTGTCGGCGTGCTGGGCAGTAACAGTGGCAGCAAGGCCAGCGAGGATAACGTTGAAGAACTTCATGTTGACTGAGCGTGAGGAAAGTGCGGATGCACAAGTAGACAAGTGAGATCGGATCTAAGAGATTGTATGTAGATGAGATCCAGGAGTCTGTTTGAAGATGTCGGCAGTGGTGATCCAAAAAGGGAGGAATGTTGCGGCCATGACTGACCTTAAATAGATTTTTGAGGAAGAGCCTCCTCATCCTAGCGTAACGGTTTCGCTTAGTCTCTCAAGCGGTTTCTAACCTTACTTCACAGCCTGATTTTGGTGTTGATTGCGATCTCCATACTTGGTAAGCTACGATGTGGTGCTGACCAAATAATGGTTGATGCCGTCATGAATTACTAAATCCAGCCTTTATGGGTACCACTGCAGAGTGTTACCCACCCTACCACCGAAGATATTGAACTCAAGCTTGCAGAGTAGCAGTGACCCGCCCAACCTCTTCGTATTGGATAGACACTTCAAAGAATATTTTGCCAATTTTCAGGTTAATAACGGATGTTTGGTCAGATAATTCGCCGCGGCAAGCAGGTCTAACTAGGATAGCCAACCATAAGACAAAACGTTATCAAATATGCCACCCCTACTACAGCCATCTCCTCACTGAGAAATAATTGAGCCGGTGTGCTACAACAAAGGGACCCTGGATCCATCACAGATCTTAACCGAAAAGATCTACCGAGCCTTGCTGCGGGCAGGGACTTTCACTCCGTTAATATCTCTCACAGGGACGCACCACATGCATAGGGATGTGGGGGATATTCCACTTTCACGCGCCCCGAGCCCATAAGCGAGGGAATATACCGACACCATGTTCGGCTCCTAACTTCCCGCTCCCTCTTGCTCCTTAGCAGGATGTCTGTTTAGCTCGTGCCTGGCCTGGTGAGAGGAGGCCAAGCTACCTAGAGCCAGCCAGAGCAAAACATAGGGACGGCGCGATACTTAGCTCTAAGCTTTACCTTCTAGGCTCAGTAGATAATATGGGGTCACTCATACACATTCATCCTTCACCGTGTTCATCGTGTTTTCCGCGCCAAGACCTCACCGGTAGCAAATATGGTTCGTACACCGTGGCTGCATATTTCTAAGAATTCATCAAGCACAGTCGGCAGCCGCCACAGCCAGGAACCCTGGTTCAGAGGGGATCGCATTGATCAATGCAACATCGTACGGGGATCCATCCTCGGTAAAACAGGGAAAAGCAAGGAGAAAGGGCAGTGCCGCAAAAACTTCAACGGCTGGCCCACTGCTTAGAATTTAGGCTTGGCAAGCTTGGTCTCGGCGCGTCTTATCTGGCGCTGCTTATTCCTCCATGACAAAACAATATCACGTGGGGAAAGGAATGGTTCGTATGCTTAGTCACTTCAGGTGAAACACGCCAGCGCTTTTGTGCCAAGATGAGATGGGCCTCCAGGCATGCAGGCGTTCAATTGATACGATAGAGATGGACATACGGTGACCTTGATTGTTTAGAATATTGCTCTAGAGGCCCTTCGATCCGTTGCTCTAGAAATTCTGTACTATTTCTTACATAATTCTTGATGCAATTGTGCTGTGCAACGGTTGAATAAAGTTGTGTGGAGTTGTAGTAACGATGATAAGTAGTAGACCTGACCAATGGATATTCATGCATCGCCTATGCTCTTGCGTCCAAAACTTGTGAGCATCGCAGAAGACCTACCGAGAACCACCTATTCATTATCCTTCTATTTTCAATTGAAAAGATCAGTGAGAATACACGTTGCCTGATGGATCATTCCAATGATGCATTCGTGTTTAGGGTAGCATCTGTGGCTTGGACTGTGGCGCAGTTAGGAGAGGCTGCTGAAAAATCTTCTCCCTTTCTCTACGCTGTCCTCTTTGTTTTGCTTGGTAACAAGTAGTGGCCGGCTGTGTGGTTCGATCAGCCATGTCCTCTCCTTCCCATTGCCTTTCTTGTCCCTCTTTTCAATTGTAATTGGTCAATTTCGATTCTTTTTTGTCGTTTTCTCCCACCCCCTTGTTGTTCCCTCCCTCCATCTGTCTCCAGTAACCCCCGTCGCTTCCCATGAGGCATTAGGGGGATCGCTTCACTATCATCGTGTTATTGAAAAATTATAATTAAAAAATCCCTATTGGGATCCTTCTCAATCCAGGGGCATGGCGCTTTATTTCCATGCGGGCGGCGCAGCCAATCTCCCTTTCCAGGAGTATGGCGTCGGCATCATGAGAGACGTCATTCACCGATGGTCGGAGCTGGACATCACCCAGATTGGATCTCTCATCGCCATCGCCGGCACCGCGCCCGCCGCCTGGAGGTTCCTGAAGCGCGCTTGGCATGAGACCTACGATTGGGTCCGCAGATTCTTCCTGGCCTCTGTCACAATTCCAGCAGGCGATCCCCTCAACCGGAGTGTCGTCAAATGGGTTCTCTTCAACCGATCCCGAGATTACCGATCTTTCACCGGTCGCACCCGCCTGGGCCACACAGGCAGCGACCGAGCCGCGGCACTCAAGAAATCGCGGCATTCGGTGAATTACTCTCCTCATTGGGACGCGAGGTGGATTTGGCATAATGGGAATTTCTTTATTGTTACGCGCGCAGTCGATCACTACGCCGTGTCGTCTTCTTCCGACCCGAGCTATGACGGCATCGGAGGCGAGGAACTCACCGTGAGCTGCCTCAGCTGGTCGATTGAGCCCGTGAAGAAGTTCATTGAGACGTGTCGCGATTTTTCCGACAGGCAAACGCAGTTCTTTGTTGTCATCTACGCGCGGGATCGGTACGGGCTCGCGTGGAAGCCCAAGGCCCGCACCCCAATCCGGCACCTGGACACTGTCCATTTTGACAATGGAGTGAAGCAGGAACTTCTCTCTGATATTCGCAAGTATCTTGACCCCAAGACCCAAATGCTGTACCAAAGCCGGAGTATGCCGTATCGACGAGGCTATCTCTTCTACGGGCCTCCTGGAACGGGCAAATCATCATTATCAGTGGCCATCGCTGGTGAGTTTGGGCTGGATTTGTACGAAGTCAAGATCCCTAGCGTCGCCACCGATGCCGATCTGGAACAGATGTTCCTCGAAATTCCTCCTCGATGCGTTGTCTTGCTTGAAGATATTGACGCAGTATGGTTGGAACGAACCAATACTGAAAACAAGAATAAAAACAGCAACCCTAACGGCAGCACCAATACTACTAGCTGCACGTTATCTGGAGTGTTGAATGTTTTGGATGGGGTTGGCTCACAAGAGGGGCGGATCGTCATCTTGACAACCAACCGGCCCGAGCAACTTGACAGCGCGCTGGTTCGACCGGGCCGCGTCGACATGAAGGTTCTCTTGGGAAACATCAGTCAGAAATCTGCAGAGGAGATGTTTGTTCGCATGTTTTCTCACGACCTTGGCTGCGCATCTGTGTTCACTCCAGAAGAAATTCGAAAGCTTGCTGCCATCTTTGCAAGTAAAATACCAAACGATGTCTTCACGCCGTCTCTATTGCAGGGATTCTTCCAGCTTCATTTGGATAGCCCCCGGGATGCTGTCGCCACTATTGATGCTTGGGTCGAGAAGGAGTTGGCTAAGAGGTCTGACAGGGAGTTCGAGATGGTTAATGGTGAGAAGAGGTTGTGAGCTGTATCAACGACTGTATAACACGGATTTTTGGATAGATGTATATTTGGCCTGACGGCCTTGGGTTTTTCATTTTGGCTGATTTTGATTAGAGCGGTTAGTTATCATGAACGCTGATTAATAATTGAGAGAAAGGCGTTTTCCACTTCGTGGATTCCTGTTGCGAATGCCACAAGTCACAATAGCATATTTCTCACATGGGTGTCTCACTTCTGAGGACAAAACCCATCACCGGACAGTAGCATTCAGTTAAAAATGGGTGTCGCAAGGCTGGGGGATGCACATGGCGGTAGCGTGTGATGGAGACATTCCGCCTTGCTTCATTTGGTGGGTCATGTGGCCGTTCTGCATCTCCAATAGTTCAGAAACACCGAACAATAAATTGGCCTCTACTCACTAGATAAATCGTCTTGATTTTCTTTGTTTTACTTTCCAGACAAGGAGCTACAAATTTCCATCTAACGCAACTTCCATATCGTTGGCGGCATCATGATCTTCGGAACGGTACCGAATTGGGCGAGAATGTATCTACCTGCCAATGGCTGTGCATATCCTCACTGGGCTTTGCTTGACAACCGCTGACTTTTTTCTTGTAAAATAGAGTCCTTCTTGTGTTGAACTGGGGCTCATTCATACCCCAGGTCCGCAAGCTCAGACGTAAAAGAGAGAGCTCAGGCGTGTCTCTCACCTACGTTCTATTTAATCTCATCAACGCAACGGAGCAATTTGCCTTCGCCACTTTCCTCACAGTTAATGATCTTGGAGGTCTCCTCGTAGGGAATGCTCATTCTAGAGGAGACCAGATCAACTTGGTCCAGTTTGCGGGCGTTTTCTTCTTGTGGTCGCTGATGTTAGTGGAAACCACCATTTCCGACAAGCACTTCCGTTCCATTGCTGACAGGCGCATTAAAGCTTCGTATCAAGCGTCAGATTCCCTTCTAATGATAACCTCCGAGGACTGAAGCTAGCCATTTGCCCGACCATTTTTATCTTGTATCTCCTGTTCGCCGTTGTCCCGTTATTCCTTCAGCGTGCCACCCCCAGTCCAGGTGCTCCCGGTGATGCGCCATACGAAGGGTGGCTAGTCTCGTGGGCTGTCCTGATCCACCAAAGCTATCTATTCCCTCTCACATCAATACTTTGCTTGGCATCGCTGATACCCCAGATGCACTTGATACATTCCCGTAGGCGTCGGGGTTCGCTGAGTTTCAAGGGGTTGGGAATCCAGGGTACGATCTTTTCTATCGAAGCGGTGGGATGGGTCGGAAGACTGGCGTTTCCCTGGGATGAGTTTAAAGGACAGCCGAGATTGAATGTTCTCATATTGTGGTATCAGAGAGTGGGATGGATTCCGATCAACTACGCTTTCATGGCTCTGGTACAAAAAGCCTTGTTTTGGATACTTATCCTGCACAGGCTTCATGGAAATGGGAGGTCTCGGGAACGGGAACGCAGACCTCTCTTGGGGTGGTGAATCTATTGGGTTTAACAAACAATGTTCTTTGTTGCCGAAGGAGGTTAACAATTTCTACCTGTATAAATCACACTTATGCCTACACCATCATGAAAACAAATCCCAGGACAATAACCATGTACCCGTCATGAAGTTCTCATCAGGTGCTGATACAAAGACCATGCAATGATTATCACGGCAGCCAGAGCAGACGACGCCCCAGTCAGAAACACAATTCCATCATACTGGCCAGCCGAATATGCTCCGCGAACCACCGGCTTCGACATCAATACCGCGCTTAGCGGGCCGACCATGACGTTGCCAATACCTTGCAAGAACACAAATATGGCATATGTTGCGAAGACTGTTGACGGGTCGTCACTGACAGCCCGTCCCATCGCAACACGCAACGTTCCAAACCCGAATGCGAAGAAGCCATACACAATAGCGAACGGCACCAGCATCGCCATTGATTTGCCCAGCCCCCAGAGGGCGAACGTGGCTGCGGCCGCGGCGATGCACGCTACCATGGACAAAAGGGTAACAGATATCGCTTTGTCTGATAGATACCCAAAAAAGAATTGGCCCAAGACTTGGGAAATTGACATGACTGCCAGGAGCAGCGCACCATTCAGTGACGAGATACCGATTGCTGAGGCGTAGGAAGGCAGAAACACCACTGGAAAGAAGAAACCGAAACCCTGTACTAAAATGGCGGATCCATAGACCCAAAACAGCGGTTTGGAGAAGAAGCTCCAGTCCATTTTTGCTAAGCTGGCCTGTTCAGATGCGGGCAGCCGGCCCTTAAAGAGGGGAATTAAAGGGCCCGTCAAGATAACCATCGCAACCGCGCAGGCCCTTAACGTCGTTTTGTGACCGTATCTTTCAAGTAGTGCCTCAATAATGAATGGCATGACAGCCCCCGTGGCTCCTGAAGATGCGGATATGAGACCGAACGCCATGCCCTTCTTTGAGATCCACCATTCGTTGAGCATGGCTATAATGGGATAGGTAAGCGTCACGAACCCAAGGCCATAGAGGAAACCTTGGGTGAGAAGGAGTCCATCTACCGAATTTGTGAAGGATGCGGCAAGGAGACCCAGCACGCACATGGGCCATCCAAGCCAGATCTGCTGTCGTTGATATTTTGGAAATCTCTTCGTTGCAACCGCGGATAGGGGCGCGCCCAAGTAGTAGAGACCTTGAGCTAGAGCACCAATCAGAGCGACTTTGTCTTTGTCGCTTTGAAATTCCGGGACTTGAGTGGTGTAATAATTTTGAAATACGCCATAGCACATTGGGAACCCTGCGGTTTGTTAGCCAATTTAGAGAATAATTCCTCCGGATATGGAAGTATAATTCAACTCACCCCAAAAGAGGGCTTCAAAAACAAATCCTGCGATGAGCACAACCCAGGCATCTCGTCCTCTATCAACCGGCTTGAGCTCTTGGGGATGATAACTTTGGGAATTCTGCCTGCCAGCAGTGCCTTCATGCTGCTGCTCTTGCGTAGCTTGTAACTCGAAAAGAGTCTGCTGTGTCTCAATTTGAGTTTGGCCACCCATGGCAGGAACTTGAAGAGGTTGTTCAGGGGAGGGCACAGGGAAGAATTTCCGGAGGCTTGCTAGATGCGTGACGGCGAGTCGAGGCTGGCTTTATACGGGAGCTAGGTGAGTAGGTCAAGGTGCCCGCCGACACTTAGAATTGCGAATAAACTGGTGATTGGCTCGATTCAAGCCACGAAGTAGATTGTTAGTGTGTTGATATCACGGAAGTTCGGAAGTTCGGAACCTCGGGAGTTTGGGCGAATCAGAAGGACTGATAAGTAGCCTTGGAAAAGCAATTGAGGTTTGGATGATCGAAAATGACTGACGATTGCGTCTCGATTGAGAAAAATTAATGGAAAACAAGACAAAGAAGATGCTTTCTATAAATCATTTGGTTTGCTCACTGTACTGCCAAACTTTTGCCAGTCCACCGTACAACGTGCACTCATATCACCTCAACTGCAGTTTTCAGACTTCTGAAATTTGGATTCCACTCTCGACATAAGGAAACTTACTTGCATTGCTGATTGTGGGATTTTGATGCGTATTCATTGTGTTGAGATGTCGGTTTAGCATTTTCTATTGATGCTTTGTACTGTGTGAGCCAACCTGCTCGAACTCTCACACCACAGGAATTTTGGTACACACATAATCGTCCCGATACTGAGATGTTGTAAAAGGCCGCGATCAGAGGAGAGCTTTGCAACGGAGAAAAGTTATCCCCGTGAGTGTTTTTAATTTACCCCTGGTAGAGCTGCCGTCAACAGGGAGCGCTTCTTCCACACTCAGAAGCCTGAAAGATTGGAAATACATCACATCCACTCCAGAGCCCTACCCTTGAGCCAGCTCGAAGTCCAATCCAAAGATTCTTGAGACTTATTCCGAAGTTGACCTCTATCCACACGAATCGTTGTAATAAAGTCGGCCACTCAACAATGATATATATCTCTCGACCCTGCACTGTGTAGCATATTGGAATTTCTTTAAATTGTTACATGACACGAATTCTTCCAAACAGTTTAGATCAAGGATAGAAAGCCTCTATTGGAGATCAAGGATCGAAGCACATGACGAACCCGCCGAAGTGGAGAAAGTCAAAGAAGAATTGGTGTAGTGCGTGCGTTTACTCCTTGTCTAACCGAAACCTCACCATCACTTGAATGAAATTTTCAGCTGAAGACATGATACACAGTGCTTAAATATGGTTTGAATTATGTTGAAACATTAACTCGGCTAGTTGTTAATCTGATGTTGTCTACGACACTTCAAGAAAGATCACCCACCAAGCTGAAGTTAGGCCAGCCCGCCGTCCTAAAAGGTCAAAGCGTTTGAGTTCCAGCTGAAAAGTGGACAGATGATTTCAAATCACCACTTCATGCCGAAGATGGGATCTGCGAGAGTGGCGATAGTACTAAGTACGCTTCATATTAAGAAGGCAGCTGATGTCCCCCTGAAGATACCTCCGTTTGTTCAATGTGGAGATCAGAAGACTTACATTGGCCCCCCGTTATTCGGCCATTGACCTGGGCCCTTGTTTTCAAAGGGTGTATCGGATTCATAGAGCTACCCGCGTTGCCCAAGAAGGTGGACGAGGACAGGGTTCGCGGAGGTGATGGTTCGCATTCTCCTCTTGGGCACGCGTGAAATTTTGGCAAAGTGTTTTCCTTTTGGGCTAATATCCAGAAAGGCATAGAGAGGTGTGCCTAATTTAGGCATCATAGTTGAAACTGAGGCTGACTCAAGGCTTATAGCGGTGTTGGAGGCCGCTCCAAACATGCGCCTTTTCATGCAAGGCACGGGAGCTTGAGTGTACACCACATTCCTTTGTGCTGAATAGCTGAACGTTTGGTTTGAATTTTACACAATCTGGTATTCATTTGATTCGGTGTTTTATTCACAGAGTCGTTGTGGAAAGTGAAAAACACATAGCGATATAATTCAACTCAAAGATGCCTAAAACGCCTCCGATAATACGACAACAGAAGACAGAATCGCTCGTTAAGTTTGCTTTTGATATTCTAGTACTATGAGTATTCATGTATTGATTTCGAGATACTCAAGACGACTTACTGTCCTGTTCATGCCACCAACGGAGTGTAATGATCGATTAACAGTCCGTCGGACATCAAATCCATCCCACGCTGTTCGGAACCATCAACACATCCTACGCGGCCTGGATTCTACAGCTGTTTCTTTGAAATCATTAGGTAGTGACATATCGATGGAGTGGGGATGATGCAATTGGTGACGCCGCCAAGTCGGACAGCAAGAGGTTTCCGTGATCTTCTAAGCTTCAAAACGCCCTGCTACGTGGTGTAATTGAGCCCTCTGAAAATTCTGATATCTTTCAGACAAAAAGGCCTTTCTATCGGGCTCCATCAGGAGTCCGAGACCCCGTTGTTGGCCGGGTTGGCCACCAGCTGTGAAATTCAGTCCCCTCGGTGGGCCATCAGGGCTCATCATGATTCACCCAGGCGCTGACGACGGGGTCCAGCAGTGAATGAGAATAGTCTATTTGCTGGAGGACGGCGTGGCAGGGCTGCTGGGGCACTTCCGCGGCCCACCTCAGGGGCTCCGTGGGCCGACGTTCGAATATCAAAAAACAGGGGCCAGTTGGTCGGATTCCCCGCTTTATTCTGTCCGAGAACCCTCGACCCCCCGCAACTTTTAACCTCAGCTTCCCCCCTCCTTCTCGCCTGTCCTGCGGTCGAGCAGTTGGGACGGATGGCTCGTTGTCGATTCACAAACTACACGGAAAGTGGTGGTGATGTTCTAGAATCAACGCCTGTCTCTTCTGTATTATTTTCTTACAACGTATGGCTGGGTATATCGGGTACTATTAACTAAGTGTCGTCATTATTTTGTTCGTTCCGTCGTTATTTACATGCTCCTGCATCCTTATTGAGTGGTTATGGCCCTCTGCCCAACATCGGGAACCACGGCGTGGGAGATTGTGGTGGACGATGGCTGTGCAGTTCATGCATATTATCCGGACCCTCGATGCTTCGTATAACTCCCGGCCTCAGCTGGAAGTCTGACAGCATACTCGACGTAGTGGTGCTTATTTTATTCTTAATTATATGTGCCGCAGGGCATGGCTTGAAATGCTTCTGAATATTTGCGTAAGAGCATGGCGGCGGGCTTGACGTTGATGTTGTGGTAGCTGTGGTTGTGGGCGAGCCTGGCAACTCTGCTGATTCTGCTCTTGCCGCCTCCGATGTTGTCGTTGTCATCGTCGTTGTCGCAGAGCCATTGTCTGACGGACTAGTTCGAGCTACTCGGGTGCACCCATCGGAAGCAACCCATTGCATCAAGAGAGCTTCACAGCGCTCTAGTCTGTCTATCATTTCTCTCGTTTTCTTCCGCCGTTTTCGACGAGGCGCGGGCGTGCTGGGAGTGCAGGGGACATCAAGCTGTTGCTTTTCGTCAGTCTATGCGCGTATATGACAATGGTTGTGATGTATGGTTCGGCCCAGTAGCCACGTACTTTGATGCATAAGGAACATGGGCTGGCTCTGTCGCATTTCTTTTTGCGGTGTTGGCAGTTTACACAAGCTAGAACCTTCTCCGTTCGCTGTAGCTGCGCTGGGCGGGGGGTATTGTTGAGTGACATGGTGTGTGACTAGGCGAGAAGCATGGAGCCTTGGAGTTGGTGGTATAAGTACGTTGGTGAGGGACTCATAGACTCTGAAGAGTCTGATTATTTTCCCAAGCTGCAATTAAACAAATGAACATCGACGGTACCCCTCTTCGAGGGCAGCTGAGATCTGGCGGCTATATCCTACAGAGTCGTAGAAAAAAATCATGTCATGTGCCATACCACCCAAACACCAGGCATCCTAGCCATCCCTAACGAATGATATACATAGTAGCGCCAAGGGTTCCCCATCGAGAAACCGGAAAGTGATCGGTCACAAGCGCACGCCCCTAACGATGCCCTCATCGGAGCCCGTCATGGCTCCTTACGTTTGAGATGAATCTCTCATGGGGCGGCTATGGGTTGGTGACATATGCCTCTTGAGTCAATGTAATAATAATGGAGGATTCTCCACAAAGTCCTGGCCCACAAGGATCTCTCCAAGGCGGACGGTATGTTCTCGGGTCAGTCCGACACATTGCCTGCCCGGTCTGGGTGGATATGCCGCGGCGGACTCTTTCGGACTCCTACAAGGGCCCGTCTCTAGTCAGCGATATCCCACCCTTGGGAGATGCCACACGTAGCCAGATTTATGCCGCGCCCCCTTTGTGTCCCATTAGTAAACATACATCGATTCGGGTTCTTGATTGCAGACTTTGTCCGATCTGGTTGCGACATGACGGACACTGGACAGATACGCAACCTTGTCCATCGGCCCCTGCGGGAAAGATTAATTTTTTATATTATATTCGCTGAACCCTGACTGGATACAACCTTTTCTCTTCTTAATTCTTTACGCTAATATTTGCAGTGTTTGCCTTGTGCAAAGTAATACTAGTTCTACCTGCAGAATATTGCGCTCTCTTCCCTTCTGACCCCATAATCCAATTTATCTCCAGGTTCGTTGTCTGCCTATGAGGTGAAGAGGACTTTGGAGCTCGAAGTCATCGCCCTCCTCCGTTTTATCGGAGCCAAGGATTGATTGAATTCGACATTGTTACACCCTTATACTTAATTGATTGTTCTTTCTTAACCGCTGTAAGTGCCTCCTCTTGTACTGGTCAGACAACACGCCACGAAGGACCGTCGTCTAATGATTTACTCAAAGATCTGAATTTTAATACCGACAACATGAGTGAAAAGCCCGCAGGAGGCTTGGGTGGCTTCCACGGGAAGTCGCTCACCAGCAGCCGCGAGACCATGATCGACAGCGCCGCTTCGCAGAAAATCCAGTCTTCCCCAAACGAAAAGGGCCACAGCAAGAGCGAAATTGAAGTGGGAGCGAATGGAGAAGGCTCTGACAGCGAGGAGAGTGTCGGATCCGAGATGGAACGTCGATACTCGGCCATCCAAGAACTTGCCCGCCGGGTTTCCCATCAATCTGTTGGCGACATTCACGGCAACGCGCGTAACCTCTTCGCCAACAACGACCCAAACTCGCCTCTGAATCCCTCAGGTGACCACTTCAGCGCTCGAGTATGGGCCAAGACGCTTGCAAAATACTCGTCCGACAATGGTGTCAACTTCCGCAAGACTGGCTTCTGTTTCCAGAACATGAACGTCTACGGATTTGGAAACGCCACCGATTACCAAAAGGATGTCGGCAACATTCTCCTCGAACTTCCAGACCTTGCCCGCAACCTTTTCTCGAAGAACCACGGAAACAGACGAATCGATATCCTTCGCAACTTTGATGGAATTGTCCGCTCTGGTGAGATGCTTGTCGTTCTCGGCCCACCTGGTGCCGGCTGCACAACCTTCCTCAAGACTGTTGCCGGAGAACAGAATGGTATTTACACCGATAAGTCCACCTACCTCAACTACCAAGGTGTGACCGCGGACGAGATGCATAGCCACCACAGGGGTGAAGCCATCTACACGGCAGAGGTTGATGTTCACTTCCCCATGCTCTCGGTTGGAGACACTCTGACGTTTGCCTCGCGGGCGCGATGCCCTCGAAACCTCCCGGAGGGTATCTCGCACAACGAATACTGCGATCACCAGCGAGATGTCGTCATGAACATGTACGGCATTGCCCACACTGTCAACACCCGTGTTGGAAACGAGTACATCCGCGGTGTGTCTGGTGGTGAGCGTAAGCGTGTGACCATTGCCGAGGCTACCTTGTCAAACGCTCCTCTTCAGTGCTGGGATAACTCAACCAGAGGCTTGGATTCTGCCAACGCCATCGAGTTTTGCAAGACCCTTCGCCTTCAGTCGGAGTTGTTCGGCCAAACCTGTGCCGTCTCCATCTACCAGGCTCCCCAGAGCGCGTACGATCTCTTCGACAAGGCGGCTGTGCTCTACGAGGGTCGCCAGATCTTCTTTGGACCTGCAACCAAGGCTAAGGAGTACTTTGTCAACTTGGGCTTCGAATGCCCGGCGCGACAGACCACCCCTGACTTCCTGACCTCGATGACTGCCCCATCTGAGCGTGTTGTGCGCAAGGGCTTCGAGGGCAAGGTGCCCCGTACCCCTGATGAATTCGCCGAGTGCTGGAAGAACAGTGAGGAGTATAAGGCTTTGCAGCGTGAGATTGAGGAGTATAAGCAGGAGTACGCACTCAACGGTCCCCATGCTGAGGAGTTCCGTGCTGGCAAGAAGGCTGTTCAGGGCAAGGGTCAGCGCCTCCAGTCCCCTTACACCCTTACCTATGGACAGCAGATCAAACTCTGTCTTTGGCGTGGGTGGAAGCGCCTCATAGGCGACCCAAGTTTGACCATCTTCTCCCTGGTCGCAAACACTGTCATTGCTCTTATCGCCTCTTCTCTCTTCTACAATCTCCAGCCTCACACTGGTTCTTTCTACGGTCGTACTGCGGTGCTCTTTCTTGCCATTCTTGCCAATGCTTTCTCTAGCGCTCTTGAAATTCTTACCCAGTACTCTCAGCGACCCATCGTTGAGAAGCACTCCCGTTATGGATTCTATCATTCATCTTCAGAAGCCTTCGCCTCGATTCTTGTCGACATGCCCTACAAGGTCCTCAACAGTATCTTCTATAATTTGACAATCTACTTCATGGCTCACCTTAGGCGTGAGCCTGGAGCGTTCTTCTTCTTCTGGCTTGTCACATTCCTGATGGTGCTGGCTATGTCAGGCCTGTTCCGATCGATGTAAGTCTACGCTTCCTTGAACCCTGTATTGACGAAAGCTGGAATACTAACCTTCCTTAGTGCTGCTCTCTCGCGTACGCTCTCTCAAGCAATGGTACCGGCTGCGATCTTGATCCTGGCTATGGTTATCTTCACTGGTTTCGTCATTCCTGTTCGCTACATGCTTGGTTGGTGCCGATGGATTAATTGGCTTGACCCTGTTGCTTACGCATACGAGGCTCTGATGATTAACGAGTTCACCGGTCGCTCCTTTGAATGCATGGCCTATGTCCCAATGCGCACTGTTCCAGGCTACGAGAACACCTCCCTCGAGAACATGGCCTGCACTGTCGTTGGCTCTGTGCCCGGTAGGACTCACGTGTTGGGAGAGGACTACTACGAGCAGATGTATTCCTATCACCCCAGCCACAAGTGGAGGAACGTCGGTATTCTGATCGCCTTCGCTGTTGGTCTGCATCTTGTCTACCTCTGTGCAACCGAGTGGATCTCTGCCAAGAAGTCCAAGGGTGAAGTCTTGGTTTTCAGAAAAGGGTATGTCCCCAAGAGCGCAGACAACAAGGGCGATATCGAAGCGGCCGTTTCAGGACCGGCCGTCATCGCCGACCGAGCTGGAAGCGATTCGGAAGGAGGTAACATTCAGGGCTCTACCAGCGTGTTCCACTGGAACAATGTCTGCTATGATATCAAGATTAAGGGCGAACCTAGACGTATTCTGGACAATGTTGATGGATGGGTCAAGCCCGGCACGCTTACAGCTCTTATGGGTGTCTCTGGCGCCGGTAAGACTACCTTGCTCGACTGTCTGGCTGACCGTATTTCCATGGGTGTGATTACGGGTGAGATGCTTGTTGATGGAAAGCTTCGCGACGATTCATTCCAACGCAAGACTGGTTATGTTCAGCAACAGGATCTGCACTTGGAGACAACAACTGTTCGCGAGGCTCTTGAATTCAGCGCCCTGCTCCGTCAACCTGCCGGTACCCCTAAGGCCGAAAAGCTCGCCTATGTCGATGAGGTTATTAAGCTGCTTGATATGCAAGCCTACGCTGATGCTGTAGTCGGTGTTCTTGGAGAGGGTTTGAACGTGGAGCAACGCAAGAGATTGACAATTGGCGTGGAACTTGCTGCGAAGCCTCCTCTGTTGTTGTTCGTTGACGAGCCAACCTCTGGTCTTGACTCGCAGACCTCTTGGGCTATCCTTGATCTGTTGGAAAAGCTCTCAAAGGCAGGCCAGTCTATTCTCTGCACCATCCATCAACCTTCCGCTATGTTGTTTCAACGCTTTGACCGCCTCCTCTTCCTTGCGAAGGGCGGTAGGACTGTGTACTTTGGCGACATTGGTGAACATTCGAAGACCATGACTTCCTATTTCGAGAGACACGGCGCTCCCAAGTGCCTAGATGACGAGAACCCCGCTGAATGGATGCTTGAAGCTATCGGCGCTGCCCCTGGATCTACCACCGAGAGAGATTGGCACCAGACTTGGCTTGAGAGTACCGAGTACCAGGACGTGCAGACTGAGCTCCAGCGTCTCAAGTCTGAGCGTGCTGCCCGTGCCAGTGTTGCGGACGAGCGAAAGGGTGATACTCACAACGAGTTTGCTTCGCCCATGACCTCGCAGCTCATGACGGTTACCCACCGTGTGTTCCAGCAGTATTGGCGTACCCCTTCATACATCTACTCCAAGTTCATTCTCTGCTGTGCCGTTTCTCTGTTCATCGGTCTCGTCTTCTTGAACGCTCCAGTCACTATCCAGGGACTGCAGAACCAGATGTTTGCCATCTTCAACATTCTCAGTATCTTTGGTCAGCTTGTGCAGCAACAGATGCCTCATTTCGTCACCCAGCGGTCCCTCTACGAAGTCCGTGAGCGCCCGTCCAAGACATATAGCTGGCAGGTCTTCATGCTTTCGCAGATCATGGTGGAAATCCCGTGGAACACTCTTATGTCGGTCTTCATGTTCATCTGTGTCTACTATCCAGTTGGTTTCGATAAGAACGCTGCAGTAACAGGAACAGAAGTCGAGCGAGGAGGTCTGATGTGGCTTCTGTTCTGGCAGTTTGTCATTTTCACCTGCACATTTGCCCATGCTTGTATCGCCATCACCGACACCGCCGAGGCGGGAGGTAACCTGGCCAACGTCCTCTTCATGCTCTGCCTCTTCTTCTGTGGTGTCCTGGCCTCGCCAAGCTCCATGCCTGGATTCTGGGTCTTCATGTATCGTGCCAATCCGTTCACGTACTGGGTTTCGGCTGTGTTGTCGACTGGATTGGCCAATCAAGATGTGCAGTGCGCGTCAAACGAGCTCGTCAAGGTGACCGCTCCCGATGGCCTGACTTGCGGCGATTGGCTTGGACCGTACGCGAAGGCTGCTGGTGGCAAGCTTTGGAACGAGGCTGCTACTGGTGTGTGCGAGTACTGCCCTGTGGCCAGCACGAACACCTTCCTCCAGCAGATCAGCGCAAGCTACGCCAACAGGTGGAGAGACTTCGGTATTGGCAATGCCTTTATTGTATTCAACATATTCGCTTCGATCTTCCTTTACTGGCTGGTCCGTATGCCTAAGGGAAAGAAGAAGGAGTAAAGGGGACTAGAGTGTGGAGGAGAAGATTGGTATTGAGGGGACGGGACGGTAGAGAGTGGAGAGGAAACAATGATTTAGAACATTGAACTGTTGATTCTGGACTCATCAGTTCAACTCACGCTTAACTTCAGCAATTAGAATATACACAGTATAGAGTTTTTTTGTAATTCGTATCAATAGACCGAGCTCACCTGAGCATTTCTTTCGTCAAATTAGCGGGAGCTAAGTGCACGATAAACTAGGCAATTCCAATAAGTCTTTGGCCTGGATATACTTGGTGCTGTATTGAAGGTTCTCAACGTTTGTTTACAAACGTGAGTCAATCTTCTTCTGGCTATTAGCAAGTGCCCAGTCACTTCTGCTTGCTTTGCTTCGTACTCTATCAGCTTCTACCTCTTTAACACCTCTTACCTCAACAGCGGGGTTGTAGCCGAGCCAGCTTGACTTGGCAATTTCCTCATCGCTGACCGGAGCATTCTTCTTCCCATCGACACGCTTGTACACGGTGACAACTGTTGCACCACCAAGGCCCAAGTTATGTTGGAGGGCAACGTCAATGTCATTGACGAGCCGGTTGTTAGCCCATCCACGTAGCTGCCACACCAACTCTGCGCACTGGGCAAGGCCTGTGGCGCCCAAAGGATGTCCTTTCGAGATGAGACCCCCAGATGGGTTTATGACCATCTTCCCGCCGTATGTGATGTCGCCATTCCGGACCATCTCGTGAGCTTTGCCCACCTCTGAGAATCCGAGGCTCTCTAAAAGAATAAGCTCATTGGCCGAGAAGCAGTCATGTAGCTCGCAAAGCTTGACGTCTTTCGGTGTAATCCCAGCCTCTTCCATAGCACCCTTTGCAGCGGCCTGGGACATCCCATACCCGATTAAATCCATAGAACCCCCCGAGTAGAGGCTGGGAGTATCTGTTCTTAGCTGCTGACCAGCGATCAGAATGGCCTGTTTCCACAGGTGTGGCGAAGCATTCAAGAAATCTTCAGACACCAGCACAGCTGCTCCTGCCCCATCACTTGTGGGACTGCATTGTAGTTTTGTCAATGGAGGGAAGATCATGGGAGCATCGAGGACCTCCTGAAGAGTATAGGAATTTCGGAACTGTGCATAGGGGTTGCGTTGGGAGTGCTCGTGGCTGATCCGACCGATTTCAGCAAAATCTTCCGCTGTGGCTCCGTATCTATCAAGTCACAAGCAGGTTAGCTTTCTACCCGTTGTTGTGCTTTGGAATAGGATGAACTGACTTCTCCATATACTCCCTCCCAGCATTCCCAAAATACTGGGCATTGAGAATGCCCGGCTCCAGCCCTCGGGTCTTCTTCATCATCCTGGAACTTAACTGGGTTGGTGATGCCCGGTCATCCCACTTGCTCTTGATACTACCTGGCTGCATCTTCTCGAAGCCAACAACCAAGGCACAGTCTATGGCACGATTTTGGATCAAAGTGCGAGCAAGATATAAGCCGCTCGAGCCGGTTGCGCAAGCGTTGTTCGTGTTGAAAATGGGGATGGAGGTCATGCCAAACTGATAAAACACGCGCTGGCCAGCACCAGAGTCACCATAGCAGTAGCACCCCACGCCAGCCTGGACTTGGTCATAGTTGATTTGAGCGTCAAGCATTGCCTTGATGCCTGCTTCATATCCCATTTCAGGATAGTCACGAAGGCCACGAGGCTTGATGAACTCGGTCAAGCCCACCCCCACCACGTACACTGGCCGCTTGGAAGAGGTCGTAGCCGGCCCAACCATTTTTGAATCAATATGGTTCAAGTCTGGGTTTAAAGTTGTATTTTGGGGCTGGTAGATACTCTGGGTTTTGGAACTGATCGAATCGATAAAAGATAAACTGAGTAGAATCAGGACTCGCAACTACTAGCCAGAGACCCAAATATTTGCAGATATTGTGAGGGCGTACTTTTGAACCGAGGGTTTACTGCCGCCAAATGAGGAACAAACCCTGGCCGTTGATCAATCTCATTACCATGTTGCCTCACAAACCCCGCTTCCCCCGCGCTCTACCGAGGCCTTCTATCGGCACTGACGTAACCTAGCATCTTGCCTATTAAGTTTATGAGCGTATAAATCGATGGAATTTGTTGGTTTTGTACGTGGCATGGAATTTTCTCGGGGTATGGTGGCTAGACAAAGAAATCGAGACAGGTTTCAATTGAGTGCATCTGCTCTCAGACAGTAGTAAACGAGACGACCCCGCAGGGTTCGGCTATTCATAGCCATATTTACATGCGAAATAGAAATATAATAATATAGTATTTAATAACATTCCACTGTTGCGCGTAGGCCTGTGAACTGGATACATATTGGTCGTATGCGCAATGGCAGAGTTTGGACCATGACAAGGAGAAGAGACTACCAGAGTAGACTTGGAGCATGGTTTGCAATGTTTTTTTGTCAATAAAACTTTCTCTTCATTGCACATAGGTAATCGCGGCCAGTACTTTTGAAATCCTTTTCACGCCCTTAGTAAACGATGATGAGCGGTCATTCTAAATCGCCTTTTGGTCACTAGTATCACTGAAAGAAGCCGTTTCATTCAAAGATTCACTCTCTTCAAGAGGTTGTCTATTATATTTAAATCTAATTTCCACCATTTACCTTCAAATCCCTCTTCGTATCCTTTATTTTCAAGTGATTCGCAGCAAATTCCACCGCCGCAGTGTATCCATGGGCGCCCATGCCGCAGATTACAGACGCAGCCTTGTCAGAGAGGTAGCTCACATGACGAAAAGGCTCTCTTGTATGAGGGTTGGATAGATGAAGCTCGATGAAGGGAATATCAACACCCAACAGGGCATCGCGAATAGCGACGCTGGTATGGGTATAGGCACCGGGGTTGATCACAATAGCATCGATATTCCCGCGAGCTTCGTGAATACGATCGACGATGGCGCCTTCATGATTTGATTGAAAAGCGACTAACGTTGCTCCGAGGGACTTGGCTTGGGTGGTTGCAGCGGTAGCAATGTCGTCAAGTGTAGCGTAGCCGTAGATGTGTGGCTCGCGTGTTCCGAGCAGGTTCAGATTTGGCCCGTTGATAAGTAGGATAGAGCGACCCATTGTGACAGATGATAGATTTAGTGAAAGTTCAGATGTAAAGAGTTATGCGATGATTTGACCGAGGTCATTTTGTCGTAGGAACACTTTGCAGTGCATCATATCGAGCGTAGGCCATTGTAGACAGATATTGGCAATAACCCGGAATGATAATCCAATGAGGCCTCGGCCGATACTACATGCTTCCGGAAAAGCACATTAGCAAGCTAGCATGAAGCCGGATATTATTGCAGCCGCCGTCGTATTTTGGGGTTTCAACGGTGCTAATCACTGACGACAACGCGGATCCGCTTTAGGATAAAATCGTAGCCGTCCGTGTAAGTGACCAAGCAACATGATTATCCCGAAGGACATGTGCCATTGGCATCCAAGGCTCGCAAACAAACCACTTTGATAATTATTGTTACGATTTTACAGTCAAGACATCACATTCTGCCCTTACGTTGCCCCGTCAGCTCAACCAATCATGGCATTCAAGCCCGCAATAATGAGTGTCTCCCTTGGCCGGGGATGGCTACACGATTTCGACGAGAAAATGGAGCAAGCTGCCAAAGCCGGCTTCCAAGGCATCGAGATGTTTGTAGAGGATATTGAGTACCTTGCACGGAAAATTGCCAACAAAGCTACCTCTGAAGAGCCCACGGCCAGTGAGCTTCTGACTGCTGCGAAGCACGCTCGGGCAACCTGCGACAAGAATAATCTTGTTGTAATCACGCTACAGCCGTTTTCTTTTTACGAAGGACTGCTTGATCGTAAGCAGCACAGATACCTGCTGGACACCAAACTTAAGTTGTGGTTTCAAATGGCCAAAATCTTCGGCACGACCATGATACAGGTCCCTGCCAACTTCTTGCCAGAATCTCAAATCACTAGCGACCGCGATGTCATCGTCGCCGACCTACAGGAACTCGCAGATTTGGGAGCAGCGGAGAACCCTCCAGTAGAATTTGCCTACGAGAACCTCTGCTGGAGCACTTACAACAGCACCTGGCAAGACGTCTGGGAAATAGTACGCCGCGTGGACCGGCCAAACTTTGGCCTGTGTTTGGACACGTTTAACATAGCTGGACGTGCTTGGGCGGACCCGACGTCTCCTACTGGCAAAAATCCAAATGCAGATCAGGAGTTCCGACGCAGTATGGCAGAGCTTGTGAGCAAGGTAGACCCAAAGAAGGTGTTCTACATTCAGGTCGTGGATGCTGAGCGAATGGATGCGCCTTTGGTCAAGGGCCATCCATTCCATGTTGATGAGCAGCCCCCTCGGATGAGTTGGTCTCGAAATGCTCGATGCTTCATGTACGAGTATGACAGGGGAGCCTATTTACCGAGCGAGGAGGTAGCAAGGGCTATTATTGATGGTCTTGGATACAAAGGGTGGGTTTCTATGGAATTGTTTTCAAGGACTATGGCATACGAAGGAGCACATATTCCGGCAGAACATGCACAGCGAGGCATCAAGTGCTGGAAGACGTTTGTGAAGCGGTTCGGTATACAGTTGGAAGCCCGTATCTAGCCTAAGCCGAATGATGTCTAGTTCTTTGGCGGATAAGTCTTTTTCCCCAGATTGGTGCCCCTTGCCACATGATAAATTCCGGAACGTTAGCCTGACTCGATGGAGTGTAGTTTATGCGTGGTAGCTTACCGGACTAGTCAATAGCCGTTTTGGGTGTACCTGTTATCCTTATTACCTTCAAAGATTCCATACACTCACTCATACACAGCCTCGCCATCACCCATTAGCATACCCAAAGATCTATCATTCGCCGTTTGCCTCACCGCTTACACGATGCCTTCCAAAGTAGAAACATCTTGGCCTTCAGGCGACGTGCTTGCTCCACATGAAGTCTCCAAACTTGACAAGCATGGATACGTCTTTGGGAACAAGCTGGAAAAGTCGCTAGCTCCCTTTACCCATGACTTAGTCTTCAGAAGTCTGGATCTCCGATGGGGCCAGGTCCGACTGGAAAAGCCTACAATTCCAGAGTTCTTACAACTTATTAGACACCCAGATTGCTATGGTAAGTCAATTCAAAAAGTTGTTCATAAATTTTCATCATCTGACTCAAGCAACTTTTAGGCTCGGCAGTTACGATGCCACACAAGGTGGCGATTCTGGAACATCTCGATGAGATGACGGAACAGTGTCGTGATGTGGGTGCTTGCAACACGGTTTGGTTCAAAGAAGTCGATGGTCGCCGAATCCTCTGCGGCACCAATACGGATGTCATTGGCATCCGCGACTCCTTCACTCGCAACGTCGCGGACCCTGATCAAGTCTATCATGGCCGCCCTGCCCTTGTTATCGGCGGTGGTGGCGCAGCCCGGAGCGCCATATACGCACTCCAAAAATGGCTCAAGGTTACCAACATCTACCTTGTAAATCGTGATGATGAGGAGGTAAAGGTGATGCTTAAAGACTTCTCCGACAAGCCATACAGAGAAAGACTTGTTCATGTCGACTCCGTTGAAAAGGCACTGGAGCTCGAAACTCCCGGTGCCATTGTGGCTTGTATTCCTGACAACGAGCCCAAGTCGGAAGGAGAGCTTCTCGCAAGGAGCATCACAGAAGAATTCCTCCAGCGTGAGAGGAAGGGCGCTATTCTGGAAATGTGCTACAACCCTACACCCTTTACAAGATTACAGGGCTTATCGAAGAAAAATGGCTGGAAAGTTCTCCTGGGTACAGAAGCATTAATTTGGCAAGGAATTGCACAGGATGAGATCTGGGCGGACCAGTCTATAGATAATGCTGTTATTGAGAAGGTTCAAGCAGCAATTGCCGCGAAGGTTCAGGATAAATAGAAATCATATTAGCACAATATAAAGTACACCTATCAAAATACGTTGGCTGTGCTGTCATTGATTTTATGGTGAGTTTTCTCCTTCTCTCCATTGACAATTTCGAGATTTTTTTGCGTCAACAGGCTACGTGGCTAAGAATCATGGTCTTCTTTACTGATAAGACATGCAGGTTCTGGAATGGAATCAACGCGATTAATTACTACAGTCCAGAGTCATCTTTATCATACATTGTTTCCGTTTCTCTGACCCTACAAGATCACGAGAGTGAATCATACGGGAGAGCCTCTATGATCATACGAGATGTGCAATTTGAGTTTGATTTGGATTTGATTGAGGGAATCTTGGCTTCACCCAGATATATTGTACAAAGAAAACAGGAATAACTAGATATGAATATGAAAAGAAGCTAGCTGAGGCTAGATCAACTGTCCCTGCGACTTTCGGCGCCTAGATTCCAACACTTCCTCCATCCCTTTCTTAAGCTGCTGACTTGTACTCCGAATGAGCCTCGGAAACCTTCTCGTCATCACCCTTCATCCCCTCAATCACATCATTTGATTCTCTCTGAGTAGAGGCCAGCTCAGCAAGAAGACGCTTGTTCGCCTTCCAGACAGGCTTCATTTCGAACAGTCTGTCCACAGACTCCAAGGGGATGGCCTTGGTCTCTGGAATGCAGAAGAAGACGAAGAAGACAGAAAGGACCATGAGGGAAGCGAAGAAGAAGTAGACTCCATAGCCCCAGGCATTGAACATCTGCTCGGTGAATCGGGCAATGATGAAGTTCCAGAACCAGTTGTTAGCCGCGGCGTTGGCCTGCCCGAGAGACCGAGTGTTCTGGTCGAACATCTCCGAGTTAAGAACCCACGGGGTTCCGTTCCAGGATGGGGTGTAGAAGGCGGTGTACAGGTAGAAGAAGAACACCGCGGCGATGCCTCCAGAAGAAAGACTAGCATTGGCTGAGCCTGCAGTTGTCTCAGGCTTCGCGATCTTGATGTATGCTCCGATGAAGTACATGCAGAAAGCGCCACCACCAGCACCAATCATGAGAAGGTTGCGGCGTCCCACATGATCGATCAGAATCATGAGCCAAACAAATGTAAGGGCGGTCTTGACTACCCCAAAGATGCCGGTCGTAAGGAAACTCGTGTTGGAGCCCGTGATACCAATGCTCTTAAACACGGTAGGGCTGTAGTAATTAATCGCGTTGATTCCGGAACCTGCATGTCTTATCAGTATATTGCCTCTACTTTAAAGGGAAGTAGAAGTGACAACTTACCATTCTGGCAGACGAAGAGCATGCCACCCAAGAAGAAACGCCACTGTGTCTTGCGATCCTTGAGGGCCTGGAACGGCTTCCAGAATCCCTGACCAATGTCCGCATTGAAGCTCTCGATTTCGGTTTCGATGTTGCGTATTTCTTCGGAAAGGTACACATGGTCGGCATCGAGCTGTCGCATCCAAGTGAGGTTCTTGACAGCCTCCTCCCGTCTACCCTTGGAGAACAACCATCGAGGAGACTCTGGGATAAACAGGGCACCTACGAGGAGGACGCCAGCAGGGATGAGCTGTACAGCAAAGGGGATAATCCATTGTTTGTGGGAGGGTGCCATCGTTTCGGAAAGGCCGTAGTTGATCCAAAAGCCAACGAGACCTCCTGTTTGCCAGCCCAGTTCGTATAAGCCTACAAGGCGACCTCGAATAGCAGGGGGAGACAGCTCTGAAATGTAGATGGGTGTCATGTTGGAGCAGCCTCCTACGCCGATGCCTGCAAGAACGCGTCCACCGATGATGAGCCCGAGACCTCGATCGCCGTTTGCCCCCAGCATTATTCCAGCACCTACCATGAAGATGGCTGAGAATAGGATGAGGGAGTAACGGCGACCGAGGTAGTAGCTGCTTCCATAGGCGAAGAGACTGCCAAAGAAAGCACCTGCTTGATAAACGGACACGATGTTCTGTTTGAGGAGGGCGAGATTGTCTTTGCTGTATTCGGCAAATTTGAATTCGGAAGCGAAGGAGGGAAGGGCTAATGTAGTGCCAATGAAGGCAGAGTCGTATCCGATCGTACACGCGGCGAAAGAGGCGATGGAGGCACAGACGTAGATACGCCAGTTGTAGACCTCCTTCGGCGTCGGCCGGTCTTCTTTCAAGGTGAGGATGCCCATGGCTTCTGGAGTCGTCCTCCTAAGCGAGTCAAGGAAAGAGAGAAAAATTAATGTTGGACAGGGGTTGTGAAGACTTCGGACCAAAGGGGGGGCATGGAGTAGTGAGTTGGAACGAAGGAGGAGTTATGAGGACTGGGCTTTATATTCCAGCGTGTCTCTCGGTCGTGGCCCTGGCCTATGCAAGGTGACAGATTTGAAATTACCCCAGTCCCCCTACACCGCACCCGTTTTCTCCACGGAACAGTTTTTTGCCGTACCAGCTGATCTGGTGTGGGGGAATCTGTGCGGGGAAACGGACCCATTCAATCTCTGGGGATCCTGAACCACAGATGCGAATGCAACGAGTCATTTTTCGTCACAAGCCCACGCTTGCTCCCCTGGTCCGAGGGTCTAGGCTTACTGGTGGTTTGATGAAGGTCATTGGGAAACGGCCCTAGGCGGCAGCAAAATTTAGCCGGTTTTTGGTTGTGTGAACGAAAATCAGTTGTCATAGCATATCCGTAACCCTAGATACACTGGGTTACGTCCCAAACCAATTCATTTGATGCAACGGTAGTAGAAGTTTGTAACCAATCGTGGAGATCTTCCGTAAGGTACACGCAGGTATACGCGGATGAGACGGGACGAATGTTAGAAGAAAGCAGGATATAAGAGAATGTCCTGCAGGGAGTTTGTAGAGCAGATTTGTGGTAAATGCCGACGTAAACTTGTTACTCTAACAATATCATAGGTGCATTAAACAGGTTAAAATTTGTATAATAAGTATGCTTGAAAATTCTGTGAAGTTGCGATAGAGTCAAGCCCATGTTTATGTGACATCTTACCTCAGAAGAAGATTCATGATCACTTTTAGTCTAAAAGATAATAATTTCTGTATTTATTTTAGCTCAAAAATTGTGATAGCATTCTATAGGTTTGAAACTTCCCGCTTCAATGTGACAGTTCCCGTATCACTTCTAATTGCGCTCCTGATAGCTTCGCACACTTCCAGTGCACTTAATCCTTGCTGTCCAGTGCAGTTCGGCTCATCCTGCCCTAATACAACCCTGACAAAGTGATTTAGTTGTCTATCGAATGGAACACGTGGATCTTGGTCAATCGTAAGCTTTTCATGTCCAATCGGACTGGTCCAACTCTTTTCTGTACCTTCGTGATACCTCCAGAGCCTCATATCCGGCACGCTCAGCGTACCCTCAGTACCAAAAATACGGTACACATCGATTTCATCGCTTCCATGGGGTAGCCGTACCCGTGGCATAGTTGGATTCTCTCCTGTTCCCATTTCAAAGTTGTGTGGGCTTGCAACAGCATCCGAGATGATGAACGTGCCCACTACACCTGAAGCAAACCGAAGAGTTAGAGCAACTCCTTCTTCGGCTGCATCATCGGCATCATCACCCCCAGCTGCAGTTGTCCGCCGTCGGAGAGTCTCCTCTGCATGAATCCGAATAATGGGCCCAAAGAGGAACTGCAAGTTGTCCACTTCATGGATCATGTTAATCAACACGACACCGCCTCCCTGAGATTTGTACTTTCTCCAAGCTCCGACAGGACTTGCGTCGAAATAATCATCAGGCTTGAAGACCGCCCAGATTCCTGATATCGCGGTGACCTTTCCCACCTTGCCGGAGTCCAATGCCTGTTTGGCAGCGATTATGTATGGATTAAATCGCCGGTGATGGCCGACAAGCAGAGGCACCCCTTTACTCCGTGCCAGGTTCACCAGCCTTTGGCCAGATTCGATGTCATTGCTGAGTGGTTTTTCAACTAAGACTGGAATACCGGCCTCGACAAGCTCTATTGCCAATGGTACATGGGTATGATTTGGAGTACAGACGATGGCGGCATCTGGGCGAGGCACGCTGGAATTAAGCATTCCCGCGATAGAGGTAAAGAGTGGGACGTGTTCGATGCCGAGTGAGCTCGCCACGGTGGGAGCCGTAGGAGAGGGATCTACGGTTGCGACAAGCTCCGTCGAAGGATTCGCCAGCACATGAGTGGTGTGACGTTTGCCAATTAGGCCTGAAAAGCCAATGATTGCGACCCGAATATTTTGTTTCGTCATCGTGCCAGCTGTTGATGAGATGATGGAACGGATAAACAGCCAACTGCCTAAGGCCAACGGTCATATTATCTACTCTAATATTCCTTTGTGCGTGATGGTATTGCGGATCCTTGTCGTCTGGCGATGCTCTAATGCAGGGTAAAGATTGTTCCGGGAGCTTGGGTTTGGGGAATCACCCGTAAGAGCAGGGTATTTCATGAACCGCTAACGGGAGGCCATGTGGCAGAGGTGGAGGAGAAACATGCAGTGAAATCACCAATTGTGTTCATATAAGTGGAATTACATTGTACAGGTGCATGTCACAGGAGTGCTTGAGCTTGATAATTTCAGCAAGTGATATAATAGAGAGGTCTCCCTATTGATAAACACTCAAGCGTTCGTTCTCGTAGCCGGCTGTTCCGCCAATTGATTCTGCTTATGCTTATTGATAATCACCATTGAGAAAAATTGGTTCATGATGAGAGTAGTTTTTGATGATGAGGAGGTTGGTTTGTATAATCTTTTGAACCCATAAAGCTCTTTCTCATTCCTCAACACAGCCAAATATATAAAACGTACAGGAGCTTAAGAGATACAACAATCAATGCACCAGAAATATGACACCTAGGGTACCTTCCGAAAGCCATCCCAGGGGTTTCACTTGACAATTTGGCGAGAGACATGGTGTTCATGGAACAGATACAGCATTATGAAGAGCCCATGTTGTATTCGCTCACAAATAGTTCCGCCAAATCGTATCCGGGATCATACCCCAGATTAGTCATGAATTGGGAGTCGGCGCTGGCTGTATCTGCATAATCGATCGAGCCTAGCTCTTCCAGTATTGCACTGTCCTCTATATTTTGGGACTGGAGAATGTCTTGTGTAATGGATTGTGGCAGAGAATGCAATGTATGGTTGTGTTGTGGGATATCATTCAGTGTAGTTTTACTCGACTGCTGTGGTGACACGAGGGTTTGGGGATAGTTGCTCGCGAATCTCAAACTCGTCGAAGGTAGAAATTGCCTCCCTTGGGCAGAACCTCTGTGAATTCCTGGCTCAAGGAAAACAGATGAAGCATGAGACGCGATGCTAGGCATTTCTATGACTGGCTGCGGATATGCCGTGCCAGCGTCAGCAATGCCAGAGTTTGGTTCATGAACATGGACATTGGTGTTCACGGTGGAAGGGGTCACTTCTGTCGGAGTCGTTGTCCAGACATGATGGAGAGTCTCTGCCAAACCTTTCCACCTGTCTTTGTCTTCATCAGGAAGACGTTTGTCGAACCCCCTCTTTTCCGCTATTCCCATGAGTGTAACAATGAGAGGGGGCAAGCCAAAGGCGCCCAACTGCTCAACACCAAGTTCAAGCAGTTCTAGCAAACTGAGTATCAGAGTCGACCGAGGGCGAGAGGAAAGGTCCAGGGTGATGGTCAAGAATATACATTGAAGCAAACATGTCGAAGGAACAAGTGCAATGCCGCTTTCAGGCACAAGAGAATTACAAAATGAATACCGAGGATCCAGGCTTTGTAGGAGTCCCCCAGGCGTGACATTTGGCTCTAGAGGGCCGTGGCGCAGACCAGATCGCATCTTCGTAATCCATTGCTGACAAAAGACAAAGAGCTGCTGAAACAGAGGGATCGGAGGTGGGGAAACGCGGCCGGAGGGATTGGTTGTTCTAGGAAAAGTGTGTAGGTGTCTAAGTGGTCGAAACCATTCTGCATCAACTTCTGTGGTACTTGTGAAAGTCTCGGGTGGCAAAGTAAGATAGCCATAGCCGACCGCTTCGGGGTGACCCAGGAGGGCAGAGGTCAACGTGTCTAAAATAAATGAGGCAGCTAAAAGCCTATTCATTTGTGTCTTATGAGGACTAGGACCCGGATCGGTTGTGTTTGAGCCATCAATGGCGAGTCGCGTCGCTTTCCCAATCAAACACCACGCCTCTTTGGGTTTACTCTGACCGAGCAAAATGAGAGATTGGATCAGGATTGCAGATATATATGGAGCCTCGCAGCTTCGCCGAGTTGCATCAAAAAGATTCCAAGCAATATGGCATATATCAGCAGGAGGCATGCGAGGATTCTCCTGTAAAGACGAGGCCGCTGCATCCTGTATTGACGCAACAGCCAAAACGGACCACAACTGAGAGTGCATAGGATTGGGGGAGTCATCTGATATGATAAAACCAGTTGGTGCATACAACAATGCGGTGCTGTTGATCGAATCTCTGTCCACAATGGGCAGCCAAGGTGATGTATATGAGAAATAAACGTCGACGAGGTGTTGCCAGTTCAGCGGCAGAGTTAGTTTACTCTCAGGCCGTGGATTCAGGCCGCACTGGGAAATGGGTGATGGTAGTGTTGGTTGTACTGGATGGAGGCAGTCTTCTTGAGACGGAGGTTCCGGATCATCAGGCATCGCATCCACTGAGCTCGCCGCAACTGTCTGGATCTCGAACTCATCGTCTGATGTGCTCGCGAGTTGCGTTGTATCCTGGGCAAGAAGCTTGCCAATGTCTTTATATACGCGGCTTTTGTTCCACTGCCGGCGAAGGCGAGAACTGGTTGAGCTGTTTGAAGCGAGGATTCGAACACCCTCGGCGCCCTCATTCTGCACCAGAGCGCGGTGAAGGGCTGCTTCCGACCCTGGGTACTGTTCAAAGAGCCACGATATGGACAGCTCGATAGATCTCAAGTATCCTGACCGGACGCCACGCTTCCGAGAGGTATGCGAGTAGCTACAAGCACGTTTCTGAGAAGTGCAGGTACCGCACGCAGGTCGGTCGCCATCACATTTTGCTTTGGCCGAGCGGCAGAAGTCGCAGGCAAGGGCAACGCGCTGGCGCTTAGGGGCCGACGTTCTCGCCGTCGTCGCGTCGGAAGAGTCTTCATCTGCATTGTTGTCGTCAGGCTCTTTGCGCCGCGAAGTAGGCATGGCAGGCCATAAAGACGCAGAAGGCCACCAAGGCACCGAACCAGCGAGATACAGGGGGCAGCTCGAGGTTGTGAGGGAGTATGGATCTGGGAGAGAAACCCTGCGGCAAATCTCCCGCCAGCCCTGCTTAGCCCAGACTCGTGAGAGGGATCGGTATCAGAGCCCTAGCTCCCCAGCACAAGCACAGGAGAGTTCATTGATGGCCAAAAGACACAGTTGACACGGATCAATGCCTTCCAGGTATCAACTCGCGAGGATGGTCGGTCAGCCAGCTCTCACGGCTGGTCTGGATGGAACGCCACCAGCTCATGACAAACTCTGGATGAATGTATCCGAGGTGCCGTATAAGTGGGGCGGGTAAATGCTTGTCCGGACAGAGATTCAGCTGGCCGATCGCCAAGTTCAGACAGACCTGCAAATGGCTCCTTGGTAATGCACCACCACATCGGCTGCGCTGGCTCCTCAAACTAGGCACATCTCATTTGGGCTGACGAAGCCATCGTGAACTGGCTCATGGCTGGGGTGAAGAGGCCTTTCGAGGCCGTCCTTGATCATGACAGGGAGCTTGCTCGGTGTCTCAGCCCGCCCTGCTTAGGAGGTGATCTGTCCAGGAGCGTCTCTCCCAGCCCAGGAGCCTTCTTCTCGCCGCACGAAGCCAAGTCCAGGAAACAAGATGGCACGGTCACTTCACTTTTGTCGCCCTTCATGCCGACCACCAGGGACTTCAGCCCAGATGCGTCCATGCTCCTTGTCGGTATCCGGGGCGCTGGCAAGACAACTCTGGCTGTGATGGCTTCAACGGCCATGAATCGAAAAGTCATCGACCTAGAGATAGCCTTCCTTCGTACTACAGGCTTCTCCAGCACCGAGTATAAAGCAAAGTACGGCATCCTGGAATGCCACCAGACACAGGCGCAAGTCCTCAGGGCCATGCTCAATCGGCATCGCCAGGGCTACGTTTTGGTTTGTTCGTGGATGCACGGTTCTGCCCAGAAGGCGTTGCGTGACTTCTCTGCGACAAACCCTGTGATTCACATTCTACGGGAGGGTGCCGCCATTGAAAAGCTGTTGCAAGTCTCGGAAAAGTCCAAGGTCTGGAATCTTCTTCGCGTCAGCAATACTGTCTTCCGGTCCTCTACAACCTTTGAGTTTCTCAATATCTCGGAAGAGGCATCGCCTTCCTCGACCAAAAAACCGCCGCCGCCCCATCTAGCTCTAAAGCATGTCGAGAGACATTTTCTCAAATTTTTATCCTCAATCTACCCCGCCGGCAGCTTTCCGTATAGCGAGCCTGTACTGCCCTTGTCTGCCGTGCCTCTTGAAAAGCGCAGATTCACATACGCTGTGTCTTTGCCACTGGCTGATGTGTTGCAAGATCACTTTGATATGGAGAAGCACGTCATAGGCGCGGATGCTGTTCAAATCACAATCGATACTCTGAGCAAAAGCCCGGTTATTGACCAGGCACAGCTCGGCCAACTCCCAGATAGCCTTACCGCGGCCGTTGGTCGAGTCAGACGGGACACTGTGCTTCCCGTTATTGTTCACATAATTTTACCCAATATTGAAAGTCAAGAGACTGTGAAAAGCTACCTGGAACTCTTGTGGCATTCGATACGGCTGGCCCCAAATATGATCACAGTGGACCTGAGAGTGGACATATCCTCCCTGTCTGCCATTGTTGCTTCGAGAAATCGAACAAAAATTATTGGTCACCTTTCTACAGAGAATTCCGAAAATCCTCGCTGGAATTCGCCGTTTTGGACTTCATTTTATCGCAAAGCTCAGGAGCTGGAATGCCATTTTGTTCGGTTCCTACGCCTAGGACAGTCAGTTGAGGACAACTTGGAGATCACAAGCTTCAGAAGCGCAGTCGCCGGGATCAAAGGGGCAGCAATTCCGTTGGTTGCATATAATCTAGGACCCTTGGGCTGGCACTCGGCCACCATGAATCAGTTCATTACCGAGGTCTACCCAGATTCTGCTGCTGATCAGGAACCGCCCTCGAGCAACATGGGTATCACGGCTGTGGACGCAACGAAGGCCCTTTTTGCATCCTTTGTCTTCCACCCACTGCAATTTTATGTATTTGGTGCCTACGTCAACAAGAGTCTGTCCCCTGCTATGATCACGGCAGGATTCAAAGCTTGCGGAATTCCACATCGCTACTCGCCCCATTCCTCCAAGTCTCTACAAAACCTCGAGCATCTTTGGAGACACCCCAACTTTGGGGGAGCTTCTATTGGGCACCCTTTCAAAATTGAGGCCATAAGCTTGACCTCTGCCTTGAGCGATCACGCAAAAGCCATTGGCGCAGTGAACACGCTCATACCCATCCGCCATCTCAACTCCGATGGCACCGTTCCGGAACAGTCCGAGCTATTCAAGACCAGCACAAATCAAACAGGGGCAATTAAAGCCTTGTATGGCGAGAACACGGATTGGATGGGCATCCGTGCTTGCATTCGACGAGGTCTCTCACCTGCGAATGCGGTATCGGCGAACACCTGCGGGCTCGTTATTGGTGCTGGTGGTATGGCCCGCGCAACCATTTATGCAATGCTCCAGCTTGGCATCAAGGATATAGTTATTCACAATCGCACACAAGCAAACGCCGAAGCAGTCGTTTCTCACTTCAGAAGTCTCCTGGAACAACAGGATCTTCCGACGCCCCTTTCGGAATCCGGGCGGAACAGGTTCATCATCTTATCACTTGATGAACCTTGGCCAGAAGATGTTCGACTTCCCACAGTCATCGTCTCATGCATACCGAATAACAGTAGTGGGTCAGGCTTGTCACCTCGCCTTACGCTCCCTGACGCATGGTTGGGGAGCCGAACGGGGGGTATCGTGATTGAACTGGGATACACCACATTGAATACGTCTTTACTTGAACAGGTGAGGGAGAAGTCTAAGGCATGGATTACAATGGACGGCTTAGATGTACTGCCAGAACAGGGGTTTGCTCAATTTGAATTCTACACAGGGAGGAGACCGCCTCGGAAAATTATGAGGCGAGCGGTTCTGGAATCGTTCGAAGAGGGGAGCCCCAAACCCGAGGCCATGCAGTTGCGATTAATGCATGTTGACCACCAGGAACAATATTAGACTCAACTTGATAAACAAATTGGTCGCATCGTTTCAGTAATTTGCTCGCTATTTATTTAAATTGCCATTGCCATTGCCGGTTCCCCAAACTCCACGTCGCGCCCACTTCCCCAGTCCCCCACTGCAATAGCCGCAACTCGGGATGTCTTCACAGTCGTAGAACTTCGGAAGAGGTTTTATCCTGTATTGGGGCCTCAGCAATCCAACCGAAATTCCATCGTGGATCGATCCTCCGCCCGATCCGATTCGTTCTGGGACCGTTTAGATATATCACGATTTGTCATTCTCATGACAACGCTATAACCGAGCGTCCCTGATCGGTGACTCGAGAGAGTGATTTATAGCACGAGAAGAGTTAAAATGGAATTAGTCACAAAACAAAAAAATACGAAATATTAATCAAATCAATAACTACTGTCAAACTGCACCAGCATTTGATAACATACGTAACGATAAATGACAAGTGTTACATTTCTGTCCTACTCTGGAACTATGAGACCGTTGACAACCTTCAGATTGCGGTTCTGGCGCTTTGCCTCTTTCCAAGCCTCTTCTTCTTGTACTTCCTTGGCTTCCTCCTCCGTTATCAGAACAAAATCATACCGTAACAGCTTTGTGTCTGGTGATACGTCATATTTATCTGCTAGACCTTCAACATCCCCAACCTTACCAAGTTCAATTACCAGCGAGTCCTTGACCCCAAATACCGCGTCTGAAGTCTCAAAGGGGTCTCCCCGTAGATAAAGAGCTCTGCAAAAGAATTAGCCTATGTTTCAAATAGTTACGTTAAGCGCAGCAAGGATTCATTCCAACGTACGTAATGAGCCGATCAAAGCCCTCCTTTTTGAACATGAAATGCATGTGGCTTGGGCGATAGCAGTGACGATTTAAGCGCTCCAGAAGCTTTCCAACGGGTCCATCGTTAGGAATAGGATAGGGCACAGGGACAATAGCCTTGAACTGGATTATTCCGTTTTCATCGCTTTCCACGATAGCCCGGCCGTCCGGCGTGGTTCGGTCCGCATATTGCACGTCATAGAACCCCTTGGAGTCTGTTTCCCACACATCGACTGCCACATTTGGAATCGGCTTCCCATTTGTATCTTTGACGGTACAGAAGGCAAATAGGGGCTCGCCTTCCGGGTCGTGTGAGATTTGGTGGCCATGCTCTACATGGTGCGCATCCAGAGTGTGGAACGGGCCGAGGACTGTGCCCTCGGTTGAGTTCTTGAGCTTGGGATGATTGATCCCGTCGACTAGCAGCGACAAACCAAGAACGTCTGATAGGAGGACGAACTCATGGCGAACGTCAGTGCTGATCTTTCCAACGTCGACAAGAAATTCGATAGCCTTCTCCCACTCAGCAACACTAAGTCGTGTTTCCCTCGCAAAATCATGTAGGTGGTTTACTAGTCTCTCAAGGAGAAACTGTAATCTTGGATCTGGGCATTTGGAATTGATTGTGTGAACATTATCCGTGATGTTCTCAATGGTTAGATCCTTCATAGGAGGAAGATCCGGTGGTGTATGTTGTTTTGGCGGCATCTTGGTCTGAAAATTGACTAATAATCAAGTGGGGAATAGTAGAAAAACGGATGGGAAACAGGTAGGGCATGTACACAAGATGAGGAATGATGGATGAAGCGGCCACTTGCTGAGGCTCAAGACCGATCATTTAAACCGATGGTCCAATAATTTACTCCGAGAATTGACTTTGGTCAGCAGAACCGCGGCGCCACTTGAGGTTGCAGCCCCGTGGGGAATGAATCGTGCCAGACTGTTAGTGTGCTTCTCCGGCTGAACTCTTTGCCGCCTCTCTATATCCGAGCCGTGATGTGATCTCATTTATCCTACGATTCCTTATGGAATGGTCTGATTCGACAAATAAAGCTCCGGTTACGGGCTGCTGTGATGATTCGAATTGGCAAACGACTCTTCCATTCCAATCCACTACAGGGCGCTCTCAGTCACGCACCAAGATCAGCCATGGAGGCCTTCGAATATCAGTCAAATCCTAGCCGAATCGTCTTTGGTAGCGGCACAATTCAGAGAATTCCTGATGAACTGAAGAGACTTGGGTTCTCTAAGCCGCTGGTATTATGCACACCCCAACAAACCTCGCAGGCCAAGTTGGTCAGCGACATCTTGGGAGGCAAGACTGCCGGAACCTTTACTGAGGCAACCATGCACACTCCTACCGACGTCACGAACAAGGCTGTTCAGTTTGCCAAAGAGCGAGAGTGTGATTCCCTCATCTCAATTGGTGGTGGCAGTACTATTGGTCTTGCCAAAGCAATGAGCTTTCGCACTGGCCTGTATCACTTGGCAATACCAACAACCTACGCGGGAAGTGAAGTGACTCCAATTCTGGGAGAAACTGAAAATGGCCGCAAAGTAACGAAATCAGACCCTAAGATTCTACCAGGCACGGTCATCTATGATGTTGATCTTACGATGACTCTGCCAGTTACCCTCAGCTCAACGAGTGGAATCAACGCGATTGCACATGCTGTTGAGGCTCTCTACGCTCGCAACAGAAATCCAATTATTAACCTGCTTGCACAAGAGGGTGTAAGGGCTCTAGCTGAGGCTTTACCTGAGGTAAAGAAGGACCCTCGGTCGAAAGAAGCCCGATCAAAGGCATTGTACGGTGCTTGGCTCTGTGGTACTTGCTTAGGCAGCGTGGGCATGTCTCTTCATCACAAGCTATGTCATACTCTTGGCGGAACCTTCAATCTCCCCCATTCAGAAACCCATACAATAGTTCTCCCTCATGCCTTATCTTACAATGCGCCCAAGATACCATCGGCGATGGCTGCGTTGGCAAAGGCTTTCCCGGGATGTAATGGAGATCCTATCAAAGGTCTGAACACGCTCTTGGACACATTGGAGGTCAAGCGGGATCTCAAGTCTTTTGGGATGAAGGAGGAAGATATCGCTAAGGCCGTGGAGATCGCGTTGAGTAACCCTTACTGGAATCCTCGGGAGATTGAGAAGGTTCCTATCCAGGAGCTGATTCGTCGTGCATGGGCGGGTGAGGATGCCAAGGCAAACCTCTGATATAGAAACCAATGAAATCCTTCCATCATTATTCCATGTCGTCATTGTGCCTATAATATATTTGGGAATCGGTACCTGCATTGCAACTCTTCCATTCCGTGGTTTCAATAACACTGCACTGAATTTGATTGACCTCTCGACTTTGCTTCATAGTAGTATTCCCAAGTACCAGTAGACGTTTCGCGGATCTCGGAAGCAGGGAATCGGGAGGAATGGTGGATGCCGGTGACAGTCAACCGCAGACAACCTAGTTGTACAGCCTGACTCGCACTCCGGGTAAATGCTATCCCACCTGAGATGATCCTTCAGACGAAACTCCATCCCTTTCTCCGCTAGCTCTGGGCAGTATCTCCATTCCCCCCGCAGTGTCCCCCCGCAATTTCCCCCGCAGCGGAACGAAGGAGTGAGGAACCCCAATCGACACAGGATATGTGTTTACCCGCCATCCGCCATCCTCCGTCTTTCCGTACATCCGGGAATGGGGTTGTGTGGCCAAGACCATGGGGCTCGTAGATAAGTCGGTCTCGATGTAGCATATGCGTAGGTAGTTACATGTACCTTTGTATAAAATTTATGGAATCACGGACCGGTGAGCTTGTTTACCAAACTGAGATCATGCCGACTTACAATCACTCCAGAGAACAGCCGGCCTACAAATTCCATCCGCAACAATAGCCTTGATTATCTGGTGATTGAAAGGCTCAACTAAAACTTTATGAGCTTGTAGGGATGTTGTCAATTTGCTATAGGGTAGTAAGATTCCGAAGGGAAAATCCTAACACATAAAAGTTGTTGTCGATGTGTTTATCCTCATGAAGATTGATGCAGAAGCTAATTTTAGATTCTGATTCTTTTCGAACAGATCGGATATCCTTGTGATGCCCGCTTCTTTCGACATTGTTATGAGGAAGATAGCATATTGGTCTTTATTAATCCTGGACAGAACCTGAAGCTGGATCAGGAGAAACTAGATACTTACCTTGATGGATCTAATTGTCTTCCGTATCCGCATGAGCTCACTGTGAGTATTAAGTATTACTGTAATTAAGAATATGCCGGTCACCCTCAGAGCGTTAGGACATTATCCAACAAAAGCATGACTTATTAGACGAGCAATCTAAGGATTGGTTGTATGGTAAGGATATTGATCGTTGAATAAGGTGGTTTTTTTAATAAGCCCTATACCACTTGATGACAATGTATGTAATGAGCCAGCACCCTTCTACCATCTATCCATTACGATAAAATAACTCATTTGATATCTCTCTCTCTGTTCTATATCTACAGAATATCAGAAAGACAGCAACGAACTATTGGAATCTGCTGTTATGCTATTCCCGTACGAAAACGCCGGCCATGCCCATTCCAGTACCTACACACATGCTAACAACACCAACCCGACCGTCGGTCCTTTCAAGACCATGGAGAAGGGTGCTCACCATACGAGCACCGGTAGCTCCGAGTGGGTGGCCGAGAGCGATAGCCCCGCCGTCAGGGTTGACCAGCCCCTTCTCCCAAGCCCCCTCCAGACCCAGCTCACGAAGACAGTGAATGCTCTGGCTGGCAAATGCTTCATTGATCTCCCAGCGGTCGACATCGGAATTGGTCAAGCCCAGCTGCCCGAGCAGAGCCGGGATTGCAAGAGCAGGACCTATGCCCATCTCGTCCGGTTGGCAGCCTACGGTCTTGGCTGACACGTACTTTCCAATAATTCGGCCTGATAGCCCGAGGGCGGTGGCAGTGCTTCGGCGCATGGGTAGAAGAGCCGCAGCACCATCGGAAATTTGTGATGAGTTTCCTGCCGTGCTGGCGCCGCCCTCTTTGAACGGCGATTTCAGCTTTGCCAGGGCCTCTAGACTGATACTGGATCGGATTCCATCGTCCTCGGTGGCGCGTATGTTCTTAGGTCCGTCTCCAATATCAACTCCTTGTTTGTCCACCTCTTGGATGAATGTGTCGACAGGAACGATCTCTTTTTGGAAGTGGCCGTTCTGGCGCGCCCTGGCTGCGCGGCGGTGGCTTTCTGCCGCAAACAGATCTTGATCCTGTCGAGATATGCCGTAACGCTCTACCACGTTCTCAGAAGTGAGTCCCATGGGCATAATGCAATCTCTTGCATCACGGATGGGGCTTTCTCTGAGGGCAGGCCATACGTCCGTGGGGATTGCCTTGCTGCCGTAGTTTCGCGTCATGCTCTCCATTCCCGCCGCCACTCCTGTGCTGATCATCCCAGTAGCAATCTGTGATCCAATCAGAGCGATGGCTTGCAAGCTGCTTGCGCAGGCCCGGTTGACCGTATAAAGGCTAGTGCTGGTGGACTGTATCTCTGGGATGTGATTGACAGCCATTCGTGCCGCTTTGCTGCCGCCGAGCTCTGACAGCACAACGCCAACGGCGATATCTTCAATCACGGCAGGGTCTAGATTGGGTGTGTTTTTTAGAGTGGCTTTGACGACAGTATGTAGAAGCTCTTCTGGATATGTGTTCTTGAGACTGCCTTTGTACGATCGGCATATTGGCGTTCGTAAAGCTGAGAGGATGATAGCATCGTTCGAAGATTTAGCCAATATAGCTTTGAGTCCCTGAACAGAAGCCATACCTGTGTTTCTGATAATGGACAAGGGACGGACTAATGACAAGTTGGTTTACTGGAGTACAAAATGCTGCTAGGAGTACCAGGCGCTGATGACCAGAACACCAAATATGAACTTTTAGTCACTGGATTCCTCAACCACCCAATGCTGTCCTCGGCTGAGCTACCAATTAGTCTCCTTCTCGGTCTCTACCTTCCGAGTAGATCAGCAGGTATAAGGGGTTCTAGACGCTCATGTTACCCCAGAACGCTAGTTGAAGCACGCGGTCTCGAGGTAGCGTAGGCCCAACAGAAACCTGGATATATCCTTAGCCGGCCTCCCCGGATTCCGGATGTACCCGCAATCACTGCTCAGAATCTCATGTGTATCAATAACAAGGTAAACCAATTAAATCTACAGTATGAAGATACGATTGAATCTGTGGATTTCCCCCTTCTGTTGCATAAGCTGGAAATCTTGTTATTAAGTTTGTTTACAATGTTGACGAAAAGCACGTTGAGCGCTACGATGCGGTCGATATCTAGACCCAATCAACTGTCCAGTCAGTGCATGGTGAGAGCGCTCACCTCAAACGATAACGTCTAGTATAAATTGCTGACCAAGCTCACTACGAAGCAATCCATATTTACACGGGGCTTTGCCGCGTCAACTCGACGGCATGCAATCAACAAGGTCTTCCCCTCCGTCAGTGAGGCTCTCAAAGACATGAAGAGCGATTCCACCGTGTTGTGTGGAGGCTTCGGCCTTTCTGGTGTACCCAACACTTTGATCCAAGGTGTTCTCTCGAAACCTGACATCAGCGGCCTAACTGTCGCGTCGAACAATGCCGGCACGGATAACGCCGGACTGAGCAAACTGATAAAATCTCGACAGATCAAGAAGATGATCTCGAGTTATATTGGAGATAACAAGACCTTTCTTGATGCCTTCTTGACGGGGAAGATTGAAGTCGAGCTCACGCCGCAGGGCACACTCGCAGAGCGTTGTGCGGCCGGCGGCAAAGGTATCCCGGCGTTCTATACTCCTGCAGCCACCGGGACCATCGTTCAAACAGGAGAGTTGCCATTGAAGCATACTGAGAATGGAGAAGTTCAGCAATGGAGTCCACCGAAACCCGTAGCCGTGTTCAATGGCAAGCAGTATTTATTAGAAGAAAGCATCAGCGGCGACTACGCGTTTGTCAAAGCCTGGAAAGCAGACCGGTTAGGCAACTGTCAGTTCCGCTTGGCAGCACAGAATTTCAATGGTGCTATGGGACGTAACGCAAAAATCACGATTGTCGAAGCTGAGCATATCGTCGAACCCGGGGAGATCGCCCCCGAAGCTATCCACCTCCCTGGAATCTATGTGAAGCGCGTGATCCAGAGCACAGAGGAAAAGGGAATCGAGAAATATACATTTACCAAGGAAACCTCCGATCAGGCTCAGGTCCTGGGCTCAGGGGAGACCGCCGCCAAGCGGGAAAGGATCGTGCGCCGAGCAGCCAAAGAATTCCAAAACGGCATGTATGTCAATCTCGGGATCGGAATGCCGATGCTCGCTCCTGCCTTTGTATCTCCTGATGTCGAAGTGCAGCTGCAAAGCGAGAACGGAATCCTAGGCCTTGGCCCATATCCTCGCGAGGGTGAAGAGGACGCAGATCTCATCAATGCCGGTAAAGAAACAGTGACACTCAACCCTGGTGCTTCCGTTTTCGGCTCCGAGGAAAGTTTTGGCATGATTCGAAGCGGCCGCATTGATCTCACGCTCTTGGGTGCGATGCAAGTCAGCGCTGTGGGCGACTTGGCTAACTGGATGGTACCGGGCAAAATCAAGGGGTTTGGTGGTGCTATGGATCTCGTTAGCAACCCGAGCGAAACGAGGGTGATTGTGACGATGGAGCATACGGATAGGAAGGGCAACTCGAAGATTGTCAAGAGCTGCAACTTGCCGCTCACTGGCAAATCCTGCGTTTCGAGAATCATCACCGATTTAGTAGGAATACTTCCAGTCCTCTCTTGTACATATCAAATCGTGGATACTAATACTATCATAGGGTGTTTTCGATGTGAATCCAGGACAGGGCCTTGCATTGATTGAGATTGCCGACGGTGTCACTGTTGATGAGGTCAAGTCAAAGACAGAAGCGCCGTTTACAGTTGACTCTAACTTAAAACCAATGCTGTAAAGCCTAGATGACTTGAATGAAGACTTAATATGACCTAGATCATGGCATCAAAATTATGATAAAAACAATTTAGATTTCTGAAAGTATTGTAGATTGTCAACTTCTAAATTTATATTCGTTATCTAATGTCGGGATGAATGTACTTTCATGATTCACATTCTCTGTCAACATGCTCTTCAACTAAGTTATTAGAGCCAACATGAGATCGGTGCCAGTCTATATATGCGCTTATTTACTCTAAAATGCGAACGCTCAGCCAAACATTAGCTCCTTCTGCTGGCAGCCGAGCCACCCAGCAGATAATCCGTAGATCTTCGCTCCTCCTCATCCTCTGAAGCCCGAACACCATTTTGTGGAGCAGCAGAAGCTTCATCGTCTTCTCCCTCCGCTGACGCTTCATCTCTTGCATGCTCAGAGACTTCTCGCGGGCTCAGACCATACCAGGCCACGAACAAAGTACCTGTGATTCCTACAATACAGCTGATAACAAAGGCCACGATACCCTTGGCAGTGAACCTAGATATTCCTGTTAGCTGGTATTCTAAAAAGAGGCGGAATTTACTGAAATGGAAAGGATTACTAACCCTGCAGGCAGAGGAGGCGGGGGAGCATTCTGGCCCGTCAAATCCAAGAGGTCGTCCTTATTACCGGCAGCGTTGCCAGCGAACGCGAAACCTCCAGCCTTGCAATTATCCAGGTGACTGGCAGGCAACTCGATGGTCTTCTGAAGCTCCAGAGGGGCCTCGACAAACGTGGCCAGCAAGCCGGAAACGATGTGCCACTCGATGTGGCAGTGGAAAAGCCAGACGCCAGGGTTGTTTGCCTTGAACCGGAGCACGACGTTGCCATTCCCCTCGACGACGATTGTGTCGCGACGCATAGGCGTTTGAGGGAAGGCGAGATGCATGTGGTTTGCTTCAGCGAAGTCCCCGCCGTCTTCGTCGCTGCGGTGGATAACCTGGAAGTGATGGCCGTGGAGATGGAACGGGTGGCGGCCGTCATCGTGGTTGTTGATCACGATCTGCACGATTTGATCCTTCTCTAGGACGAAGGAGTTGGTGTACTCTCCGTAGACCTTGGGGTTGGTGGCAAGTTCGCCGGCGGTGAGGGCGGTGTAGAGACTGGGGACCTTGGGCTCGCGGTATGTGTTGTTGTTGAAGAAAGCGTAGTTGGCGCCGTCTCCGAGGTTGTCCATCTTGACTTCCAACTCGACGGTTCGATCTGGCTCCGGGAGAAGTTCCATGCTGTCGTGGGGCGATAATTTCATGTCATCAGCAGGCTCAAACTCAGACACCAGAGCTGGCTTGGGAAGGTCCTTTGACTTGTCGTAAACGAGCCAACTTGTTACATTCCAGTCCAAGTCATCAGGCAAAACATCAAAAAGGTCCTATTTTGGTTAGTCGTGATCCATGCTACACACGAGTTCCGACTCACAGTATCCATGCTTCCCACGACAGCAAAATTGCTATGGGCATCGTCCTTGGTCGTCACCAAGACACTGTAGCGCTGCGCGGCAGACAAGTAAATCATGTCCGTCTCGTATGGCTTGGTGTAGACGCCGTCGACCTCAACAATCTTCATAGTGTGGCCTTCAATCCAGAAGTACTGCCCAGCAAATGCACCGATATTGACCAAACGAAGCAGGTACGTGGTCTTTGGCTTCACAGAGATATGGAGATTCTGGGTGTCGTTCATGAGGGCAGCCTGGGGAACAGGTTCGGCACCAGTAGGGTTGCCCTTGCTCATGAACTGGGGGATGAGATGGGCCATTTGGTCATGGTACCAGTCTGACAGGGTCAAGACGATCTCCTCATCATACTTGCCATTGTAAGGAGACTTGGGGTCATGGATGATGAGTGGCCCTCGGAGACCATCTGGGTACTGACTCTGGGTGTGAGAGTGATACCAGTATGTGCCAGGTTGCTCAATCTACACAGCCTCAGTTTAGTACCAGCAATTATGGAGGACACCTGCGAAAAAAGCACGACTCACGGTGAAGTTGTAGGTAAACGAGCCTCCTGGGGGAATGGGGCACTGGGTGACCTGGGAGGGGCCATCCATGTGGACGGTGCCGTTCATGAAGAGGCCGTGGAAGTGCAGCGAGGTCGACTGGTTGCCCAGCTGGTTGTGCACATTGATGACGATGTTGTCGCCGACATTTGCATCGATGCGCGGGATGGGCCACTGGCCGTTGATGCCGATGGCGGTGCGGTCGAAGGCGCCGTCGGGATTGACCGTGACCCAGCCAATGTTGAAGTCGTGCGACACGGTGGCAGCCTGGGCCAGCAGACATACCAGCTGGCCGGGCACCAGCAGCCAGAGGGCGAGTCGTTGGAGGGGATTCATGACGATTCCGTGCAGCATCAACTAACTATGTACCTGGACAATGGACGGCCGACCATCAGCAAGGCGAGAGGGGAGGGGTGGAAAGCGGTCGTCAAAATAAAATAAAATAGAATAAAACCAGCCCCCTCGGTCCTGCGCGGTTTTCGACGGCGCGTGACAGAATTTGATACGAACTTATCAGATCCGATTGATAATTCAAGACACGATCCTGGTCGCAGCCTCGTCTTTGATTGGCCTGAGCTGCTCACGAGGGATTTTTAGTGGAAAACCACGTGTGAAAAGATCTCGGCAAACGAGGCAGAAATCCGATTACGGCGAGGAGAAAAAAAAACACATCTCTTCTTTCTGTCAGAGATCGCTGGTGGATCGTTATTTTATTACTCGTTTCTTTCTTCCCTCCTCCTTTCTGCTCATCTTGCTGGCTTCGTTCGTTCCTGGTGGTGAGCGGGCGAACGATCCTCCCTTTCTCTCGTCTCCCTTCTCCCGAAACCATGGCGTCGAATTTTATCTCGGTCCCAGTCTTTCTGGTTATCTTCCGAGAGACACTAGAGACGGCCATCATTGTCTCTGTGCTGCTGGCCTTTCTGAAGCAGACCCTGGGCGGCCCAGATCAAGATGCGGCAATCTACAGATCTCTCTGCAAGCAGGTAAGAAGTCACGATTGGCAATTTTCTTAAATATTTATAAATTTATTCTCCGGTCGCATGCCCAAATTAACATGTGAATGAATGCTCCAGGTCTGGCTGGGCACCGCCGTCGGCTTCCTGATATGCCTCTTCATCGCGGGCACCATCGTCAGCATCTTCTACATCTACGGCCGCGACGCCTGGGCCGCCCACGAGTACTACTACGAGGGCGCCTTCTCGCTCTTCGCCGCCCTCGTCATCTCCGTCATGGGCGTTGCCCTGCTGCGCGTCGGCCAGATGCAGGACAAATGGCGCAACAAGCTCGCCAAGGCCCTCCAGGCGCCGATCCACGCCGACTCGGGCAAGGGCTGGCTGAAGCGCCTGGCCGAGAAGTACGCGCTCTTCTTCCTGCCCTTCATCACGATCCTGCGCGAGGGCATCGAGGGCATCGTCTTCGTGGCCGGCCTCTCGTTCTCGGCGCCGCCCGCTGCCATCCCCTTCTCCGCGCTGGCCGGTCTGGCGTTTGGCGTCGCGGTGGGATACGCCATCTTCAAGGGAGGCTCGGTGATGCAGATCCACCTGTTCCTCGTCATTTCGACGTGCTTCCTATATCTGGTCGCCGCCGGGCTCTTCTCTCGCGCCATCTGGTACTTTGAGACGCAGGAGTGGAACATCATCGTGGGCGGCGACGCGGCTGAGCTTGGCGACGGCCCTGGATCCTACGATATTGACCGCAGCCTTTGGCACGTCAACGTGAGTACCCTATTGCTGCGTCTTTCATCAACCAAAGCCAGGTATAAACTAACACATCGCAGTGCTGCAGCCCCGAGGTGAATGGCGGTGGCATCTGGGCGGTTTTGAACGCTGTCCTAGGATGGACCAACTCGGCGACTTACGGATCCGTCATTGCATACAACGCATACTGGGTGTGTGTCATGGTCGGCCTCGTCACCCTGCGATTCCGTGAGAGGAATGGCCGTCTGCCTTTCATGGCTGCCAAAAAGGCTGCACCCAAGCCAGACCGCGGCACGGAGAGAGAGGCTGCACCGCTATTGGATGGAGGTGCAGAGTAGAAGAGACGGCCAAGCTTGATGGTCAATTCATCGCAGTTGGCACGCGCCCTGGACATGGATCTGTTCAGTGTGGCCAGGCCAAATATTGTTTATATACCCATCGCCTGTGCATAAGATTTAGAGTGTCGGTCTTTACTTGACATTGACACATCAGCATATCATTTGATGATGATTATGAAATTCAAAAGCAACTTTACATGGACTTGATCGGGCAGAAAGAAATGTCCCAACACGAAATGATCAGTAATGCGCCTCATTGCCACGGCATCATCAGTCATGCCACTTCGTACCACCATCGTTTCACTTGTAGCCAGCACAGTGCCTCAATGCCCAATTGTTACAGCGCCCCAAAGTACTTCCAGAGGGTCACATCCCTGCCAGATGAGCGAGCAGCGGAAGTACTTGGTCTCAACAGCAGATAATAGTGAATATAGACCCAACTTATGACGATGTTATATTTCCATCCATTTTCCTGGCTAAATATCCGTTCCAGATTCCTGTAACAACTTAAAGTGAGCGACTCTGTGACAGTCTGACACGTGTAACGGTGTAGAATGGTGTGGGTGTGGCCGGTTGGTGAGAACAGGGGAAATGGCATGGTCCGTCCGTATATTGTCACCTCATTTTCCCCCCTAATCCCCAATGCCTCCCTAAAACCGTCCTGTCCGTCGACCTTGGCCTTTCCCATCTCTCACCAAATGTTAGACCACGTAGGAAGGGGAAGCATTCACTCACAAACAGCAGACGCAGCATGACTCTGTCCTTCACTGACATCTTCCGCGGCAGATCCAGAAGGGTTGCAAAGGATCTCGAGCCACACACACGCTCCCGCCAGACCAGCGCCTCGTCCCGCGACCGGGCCAATTTGCCGCCTACAGAAAACTCCACCAGGCCGCCATCCTCCTGCAGCATCGTCCCACCCGTCTTCGAGACGGGCAAGATTGGCTTATTCATCACCCATCCGGCAGATCACCCGGGTAGCATCGAGGCTCAAGCAGATGCCGAGTACGCCGTCCTTTGTCCCCATTTTGTACTAAGAGCACGACCTATTAGAGGAAGTTGCTGACTTGAAGTAGCATCGTCGCCGTCCACGGGCTTGGGGGTTCCATCAACAGAACATGGGGTGAGACCCGTAGCTCTCTAGAGCGTCTTCTTCCCAGCTCCTTGCCCAGCTCGCGGTTCTTAGTATACGGCTATGACTCTGCTTTGGCCTTTTCCAAGCCTTCCTCGGGGTTGGACAATTGCGCCACTGACCTCCTTTTGCGCCTGAGGGCAATAAGAAAACGCACGCAGGTGAGGTTCACCTCCAAAGCCAAGTCCGTGGCCTTCAGTTATCTAACATCTGATGATAGGCAGGAAAAAGGCCACTTATTTTCATCGCACACGACCTGGGCGGTGTCATTGTAAAGAAGGTACAGTCAGATCCAGTTCAAACAACGATCATTCCACGCATGATTCACATGCTAACTTGTCTTCCAGGCGCTCATCCTAGCCGAGGATGATCCTCAGAAGTACTGGAACATAACCAAATATGTCAAGGGTATCGTTTTCATAGGCACGCCGCACCGTGACTCTGTGGAAGAGCCGTTGGCAAACATACTCCAGCATCTGGTTAGCCAGGCTAGGCTCAGACAAGGGATGAGAGACTCCATAGTTCGCAATCTAAATCAGAATATCGAGCTCATTTCAGATACCTCTCGTCGGTTCCTCCCTCTGACCCCTTGTCTAAGCATTGTCAGCTTTTACCAAGAGCACGCCGAGGCGTCCGTAATGGTGCCCAAGTTTGCAGCGACGCTCGGCATAATCGATGAGAAAACCCACTCAAGGCAATCGGAACGCCATGATGAGATGTGTCATTTTAGCTCTAGCCAGAGCCCGGAATACCTTCATCTCATTGACGCTGTCAAACATATCATCATAGAAGAGGAAGCCAGCCATGACTCGGGATTACTAGGCTTGGACCTTCTGCCAACAAGGCATAATTCTCTTCGCCGTCGTGGGTCGCGACTTATGAACCGGCTCAGCAAGAAACTCTCCGAGTCCACTCTGAAGATCTCTGCGGAGAATCCAGGGCGCTTCCTTCACTTCTATCGAGACGGGGAGACTTCACGTCCTCCTTCAGCTGCGGTGTCTACAAGGAGCGCCGCGAATCCCGAAATTACAGTGAGGTTCAACGGCCTGCGTAGACTGTCTATGGATACCGAATCAGATGAGACATTCACTGAGGTCCTACAACTCCCCAAAACCACTTTAATCAAGGATCTCGGAGGTATACTCCGCGCTAGGATTCCAGGTAAAATACTTCAACCACTCCAACCCAATGACATTCCATGTGACTAACTTATCTTCCACCTTAAGATATTGACCTAACAGGAGGATGCCGAGATATTAAGAGATATAAACACATCGACCCTGCACAAGTCGATTCCGAATGGGCCAGATTCGAAGCCTTCGGGCACGAGGTCAAAGTCACCTGGCTCGACGTGTTTACAACATCCGTGATGGTCACAGAAGGAAGCTCCTGCTACGACAAATCCCGAGGGCTCAAGATCAATCATCGCCAGACAATCAGCTCGTACCTCAGCCAGCTATACCCGAGCCCGGTTGAGGCCAGGATAGACGCCGTCCACGCCGATGGGACCAGACAGCCATTTACCCTCGGCACTCCCAGCAGTGCCATCGTCGCCGGCCAAAACGGTACTCCCGACCTGCGGATTTCCCTTCGAAGAAAGATCGGCAAAGGTGAACGTGAGAAGCTGGCAGATCTCCCTTTTGGTCTTCAGAGATTCCCGATTTTCGACGTGAAGCCTTTCCGTGACCGCCTTCCTGCCTCAGTAGTCGCCCAAGGCGGCGCTTTCGTCCCAGTCAACTGTATGTTCCCTCAACCTAGTCCTCGCAAGAGACAGTAACTAAACTATGTGTAGCCGAACTGGAGACGGTCAAGTTGGGGTTCCAATGCAACGCATCCAAGAGGTTCCTGATCCGCTTTCTCGTCAAAGGCGAAGGCGCTGTGGCAGGCGAGCTAGCCGTGAGTGATCAAGGCCTCGACGTCGTCAGCTGGAACAAGAACATATCTCACGACGGGAGCGCACTGATCCCTGACCCAGATTGGTTCGGCACCGAACAGGCGGTGCCGGAAATCACATACTCCTCCTTCAATGATGAGCGGGATTCCGGGTTCTCATCCCAGGATTCCGAGGAGGACAGCATATCGCAGGAAAAAGTTGAGCAACAAAAGCCCAACCAAGTCCATTTGCAAATCATTCCAAAGCTGGATGTTGGATATCACTACGCATGCACGACCAGAAACATTGCCAAGCAAGAACTTTCTGGAAACGGGAAGTTTGTCCCCGAGCGAAGCCAGAAGATCTTCACTACTTACTTGCCGGATGTTCCCAGCGGTACACGTCAGCTAGACGTCCTGAAGACGCCGGAGGAACAAGGACTCTGTCATGGAGATAGCATCCACGTCAAAGACTTTAGGAAAAAACTCCCTCCGCGATTCAAGACGATTAGGGACTTGTTCGCGGAATGTCCGATCCGGGGTCAGCCCAAGGATAGCATCGATCTATCCTTGTCAAGCATGGAGTGGTCGTATCGGATTTTTGCGAAGACGGTCACCGGCCAGGCTATCCCTCTTGATGTCTTTGGACAGACTACTGTATATCAACTAAAGGTCTGGTTGCATGAGAAGGAGGGTACGGCAATTGAGGACCAACGTCTGATATTCGCCGGGATCCACCTGCAAGATGGTAAGTATTGCTCCATTCTGGCCTTAGATAATCCCGACCTTTCTCTAACAAATCCAAGATGCCTGTGTTTGCGATTACGATATTCCAAAGGTATGCTTTTTCAAAAAGCCTCTTGCTTTGCTTTCGTTATTAACACTTTTCCCAGGGCGCCCATATACAGCTCGTGCAACGCGAGGTGCTTGAACCAGTAACTGCAATTTTCATGTACCAAGGCAAGATGTATACAACGGACGATCGTTGCTTTCTCATAATCTCGCTCAAGCAATATATCCAAGAACAGTTCGGAATCCCTATCGAGGACCAGCGCATAGCCAATGGTTACAAGGAACTAAAAGACGGTACGCCCCCTTCTTCTTAACTCGCCTTGTGATGTTTGAGGCTAACATTTTCCAATAGGCGACACAATCTCCAGCGAGAATGTATACCAAGTTTCAACAACCTCAGATGGGGGCGAAAGACCTCCCAAGTCAACCGACCTGGAAGCCGCCCACGAGCATGGTTCCCAGATCAATCCGAACGACATGCGGAGTTGGGACATTGCAAATTCAAAGATTCTTACTTTGAGCCTCCTGGACCCGGATACTTTTACGGAGACAACAGGATTGGAGTTACCCGAAATTCCAGGAACAAAACCCAAAGCTACTCCGTCTGCTGGCGGTTACTACACCAGCTCAGCCGGGTTCCCGCCATCCTCTGGCTACGAAAAGTGGCTGCAGTGGAGGGATTGGGGGGAGCCTGATCCCTGGGCCGAGACGAGCGACGACGAGACGGAGCCCGACGATGAAGCCTCCAGTGAGGAAGATGGGGATATCGACCCTCCTCCTGCCAAGCCAGAACCGCTGCTTGGGCCTCCTCTCATGGTAACAGACATTGACGATTCCACACCTCCGCTGAATTATGAAAGTCAAATTACCGCGCTATAGATTTCAGAGATAGCGATTTCTTATTGTAACATTAGATATTGAATTTTCAGGGATATAGAAGGTTATTATTATTGGGCGGTCATGTTGTATTTTAACCCCTTTCATAGATTTACGATATACCTTGCTAAAGACTTTCTTCTTTGTCTCGATGTTCGTCATGTCTTAAATCATCCATTTGATCTTCCATGTCAGTTTCGGTCTTCTCAATGCCAGCTTCACACTTGAACCGTCGCAGCCACTCGCAATTATCTGCCGGGGTCGTATTCCAAATATCATCACTATACTCGTATTAGTTGACTTATCGGGAAAATATTTAGATATCCAGCGTTAACTTACTCATCATACATAATAAAGCGAGCTTGGTGGCGTAACTCTTCATCGGAAGGAACGTGGAAGTTCGGGTTGTTAGGGGACATTGTTGCCTTGACCCATCTCTTCAGTTCGCGAGTTACATAATGGTGAAACTTAGAGTCGTTGAGAATATAAAAGTTAGTCTTCACCCAGGTTGGCCGTTGATCTATTGGCTGTTGCGCCGTAGCTATAGAACGGCTGGTCGGGTCCCATTGACTCGTAGGATCAGTGGAGATCGGGACATCTCCATTCTCGGGCGAAGGCATAGATTGCATCCCAACGCTGAGGGTTGGCTGGTAATAGGGCTGGGAAAATTGTGCAATCTTGTCCCCCTGGGCCACATTTCCAAGACCGGTCCCGGATGCGACGTCACCAGGCACATTAGTGATTTGTACAGCTCCCAGATTATCACTGGCATGAAGCACGCCATCCCCTAGAACAGTACTCATCCGCTGTCTGAACCCTTGAAGCCACGTTCGCGAGATGGCAAGTAGCCCTACCAGCCACTTCTCCATGAAGTCATACTCGGGCATGGCAAACTCCTTGTCGATCCGCATGATGATCCGATACGCCTCAGACTGAAGCTCATCATCCCCCACCACCAGCTGCCCCGACGTCCATGCGCGGAAGACAAAATCCTGTAGCTGAGCTTCGAGCGGACAGCCATGAAACAAGCTCTTGGAAATATTGCTCGGCGCGGCAGACACACTCTCCGCCTCTGATCGGATCGGACCGAACTTGGCCTGCCTCATGATGTCCTCATGGCTGGTGATGAGATCTCGCAGCCACGATGCAGCACCCGGCTCAGTCAGTGCCTCCTCTGGTGTTCTCGACTCGGAGGCAAATATGATTCGGCATGCCTCTAGCTGTAGCGCATCACTGTCTGGTATCTCGCCAGTTTCATCATTGTAGCCTTGCATGTACCATAGCAGCTCCAATTTGATCTTCTCGTATGCACAACGCGGGCTTTCTACCGCCGGAGCACTCGCTACAAACGGGAATGGAGTGCTGCGCTCTGTGGAAATCAGATCTTCACATTGTCAGCATACACGCCACACTCATGCGAGCAGAGAATCGGAAACTCACATGGGGGAATTGCATTCTCCACCATATCCAGAACGGACTTCTCAAACCCCCAGTCGCCCTTCCAGTCCGCTATACTCTGTCCCACCTTGAAGTGGTCAGCAAGGTGATCGACCCGGAAAGACCACGAGTCGAGCGCAATCCCGCAGAAGCCGCACCGCGACTTGACGGGCGGGGATGGGGCCTTCCAGTGCTCTGCGAATGAGTCGATAAGCTTTGCGCCGTGTACCAGGCGTAGATGCTGCTTCAGATGGTCCTTTCGGCTGAATATGCGCTGTTGGCACACGTGTGGATTGTGAGTCTCCAAGTGTTCAGTGTCTGGGTCAGCCTGGCCGCAGAAGATGCAGTATGGCCGGTTGTCTTCTCCCCGGATTACTCGAGACTCATCAGGGGCGCACTTCCATCTATCGATGGATAAATGCAGTGACTTCTCGTGTCTCTGCCAGTCGTGCTTGGTCCCGAAGGTGTCCGTGCAGAATGTGCACTGGTATGGTCTGAACGGGGCTTTGAGCGGTTTCCTCTCGGCCTTCGGGTTTCGCAGATGTCTTTTTCGATGCGGTCTTGGTCGAGCATACTTCCTCGGCGCTGAGGATGAGTTCCACGACACGGCTGATGAGTTTGACATGACAGAGCTGCTGTCGGAATGCGATGACGCGGCACTGCTTGCGGAGGAGCTGCCGTATGATATTCTATCCTTCCCACGGTCTATCGGGTGTCCTTCGCTTCCGCGACGTGCCATCGCCTGAGCAATGGCTGACGCCGCTGCAGGCTCGTCTTCGGGCGGCGAGTCGAACCATCGCTGTATCGGGTCTGCGTGTGGTGAGTTTCCCACCATTGGGGTCCCCGGCCGAGCAGGAATGGGAACTGGACTGGTGGTCGACGTGCCTGGATTGGGCGTTGATGATCTGCTGCCACGGGTCTTGTTTCTTCGCCGGCGTGCGTTGGCTATCCAGTTGGTCACCTGGATCTCGGTGAGTCCCGTCTGGCTCTGAAGTATGCTTTTGTCTTCCTCGCTAAGATACGGGCTGCTTTCGTGGGTCGACATCCAGCCTCTCAAGATCCGAACAGCTTCCTTAGAGAACCGATTGCCGATTTTTGCGGGAGGCTTTGAGGAGCCGTCGTTGGGCACATGGGGGAGCGAGTCCAGTCCACCAGGGTTGGGTGTATTCCAAGAGAATGAAGACGGCGACGGCGAGACGCCGTAGTTGATGGTATTACCGGCAGCAAGCGGACCATCAAAGTCAGTCGGCAGGGCGAAACCCGGTGTTGAAGGCCCCACTGGCGTATCCAGTTGCTGAGACTGGGGGAGGTCACCAACCAGCCCAGGCATCGAGTTGGGTTCTATCAGGGTCATGCCCGGGGCTAAACTCGTGTTGAAAACACTTCCCTGGATACCAAACTGCACGGCAAAGGTTATCCCCCGCGATGATTCGCCTGGGAAAGCACCAAGTCCGGTCTCGGGGACTACTGGAGGGGCAGGCTGGGCCGGAGCAGGGCGCAATGGCGGCCCAGGACCAGAAGAAGTGGTCTCCGCATGCGGGACCGAGTCCTGCCCAGGTCCATGGATATATGCCATTAGATTAACGGATCGCTGGTCCAAGCATGGGGCCAGGCGGGAGTTTGGGTAGGAGAAGATGTCGAGCCTGGAGGGAGCCCACTCGCAACTAGTCTCGATTGACTCCTGTCTTCATCTTGACGGACGCTGATTCGCTCGTTTAGGTTCCACAGGCGCGTCAAACACGCCTTACATTCTGGGATTAGTCGTGCTTGGATTCAGGTGTTTTTATCGTGGCTCATAAGAGAGAGCTGGGAGACTTACATCTCATCCGCCAGGCTGCTGCCGAAGGCATTTCCATCCCAGACTCGTGACATGTAAGATGACCCTCTTCGTGCAACATACCATCTCGTCATTGACGGTTTTCATACCATCGTGGTCGCTCATCTCCCCCTGATCCCCCAAGCTAAAAACTCTTGACGCCCTATAATTATAGCGCTGTTAATGCCGCCACTAACCGCAACGTCATCGAACGTCCTTACCTACTTACCCTATACCCATCTGTCATTCCCGAGATCTGTGTGATTAAGAGGAGAAACTGAGCTCTAAGGCGTTGGAAATTACTTTTGTTAACTCAAGATTCGCAAGGTTAAGCCATAAATGATTTTTATCTTTCCGCCAGACTGATACTCGTGGACCGCTGATGGCGAATGATGCACAACAGTGTTATCATCTAACTTGGTGCAGTGTATACAACAGAAACCGTAGCACCTAGAGTGTGCCGACGTTGTAGGTACCTAGACGGTCTTGTTATCGTGTCAAGATGAGGGCACTTGAAACTTCAGTCAACCAAAATGAAAATTAAAGACTCTTTTCTCTCTTTACGTAAAGGCCTCGTTTTTGGGACGAGTGTTGAACTGTACTTTCTTCATCTACAGGAGTTATTTCGACCCTTGTCATTGGTCATGGCTGACTCGAGTAAGAGCTAATTCAATAACAGCGGCCAAGTCCGACCGGTCAGTCTATGTGATTTACTTGTCATTAATATCAACGTAAAAAAAACAGAAATTTGATGAAAATTTCGTATTCATGTGCCCAGTAATTAAAGGCAAGCTCTTGTATTACCTGACAGCAAGTAGAGGATTCCGGCTGGGAAGTTCAGCGGACTTGTGGAGTCGCCCATCCGTAGGATCAAATCACAGGGGCCTGACTTCGCTCTCTAGTGCTAGTGTCCACTATAAATTACCTATGCCTTGTCATAAGAGGCATTGTCTGCTTCTATCAATCTACTACGTGTGATCTGATCTCACAATGGCTGAATATCGACACTATGCGAACCCTGATCCGCAATGGGTAGACGTACGTTGGCAAAATTGCACCGCCGTCAAAAAAAAATAGGCTAATATGATTGATAATAGTTCCCTAATAATTTGCCTCGGGATACCCTCGTTACGCGTGGCATGACTCGGGCGCATGATCCCATCAAAGCACAATCAGGACTGGATATTACCGAGTTTGACGTGAAAGTGCGTGATGGAGCACCCATAGCCATCAGATCTTATCGCCAGACGTCGCTTGCTGATGAGGCACTCCCCCTGTTTCTGTATATGCACGGGGGCGGCTTCGTGACAGGCGGACTTGAGACAGATGACTCGACCTTGCGCGCAATTGCGCAAGAGCATGGCCTTCTTGTCTTGAGCGTTGAATACCGATTAGCACCGGAAAATAAGTTCCCGGTTGGCTTAGAAGACTGTTTTGATATTGTGCGCTGGGTACGTTAGATTGTGCCTCCGTACTGCACATTTTCCAGGCACATGGCTTATACAGGGGCAGGTGACAACGACAGCAAGCCAAACTCGACTGAAGACAGATTTGTCAAAGGCATTTATTCTGGGGGGAACATCAGCAGGAGCCAATTTCACGGCGGGAATCGCCCATCTGGCATTGGAAGAAGGCCTTTCGCCCCCATTGTCGGGGCTTATCTTCCTGGCTGGTAGCTTTTGCCACCCGGACGTACGGCCAGCCAAGTATCTAGACCGCATCCTTAGTGTCGACGAGATCAATGACGCCCCTGGTCTGACAAGAAAGTCGATTGACTATTTTGCTGGTAAGAACTTGTGGTATCCCGGCCCAATAAAGATATTCTATGTTGACATGCTATAGGTAAATACGGAGCGCCACCATCTGACAAGCGCCTCTCGCCTCTGCTCTTCAATTCTCATGCAGGCATCGCAAAGAAGGCTTATTTTGCTGTATGCGGATGGGACCCACGCCGAGATGAGGCGCTGTTGCTCAACCAGCTGCTTAATGAGGTCCAGATCTCAACCAAGCTTCATGTGTACCCTGGGCTCCCTCATGGATTCTGGACCACGTGCCCGGAGCTACCCGTGACGAAGCAGTGGCTCCAGGACCTGCTCGAGGGCATACGATGGTTGCTTGGGTGAGGGCTTTTCTTCTCAGTTTTTTTCTCTTTCATTTAGCTGTTCTTTTGTCTGAGGGAAAACACCGCATGATGACGAGGATCCATGCCAATTTTGATGGGACTAACATGGGACCGGCTCGAGTTTTTGGCGTGACTACCACTTTGTAATGCCTTAGCTAAAGGGCAGGATTCGCTACAGAGCCCTGCCTTTCCCGTCAGTCAGACGGGAATAAGCTGCCGTAGCTCACTGGGCGCCAGGGTGAATGCACGCAACGAGTTTAGCATGATGGTGGGCGGATCAGATTAGATTAGATTGAGAAAAGTTCGTGTCATGAGCTGCTCCACGCCTCCACCACCCCCAAGTGATCCTTCCGAACAGAGTGTTACTTTCCGGTCTTGGCAGAAAAGTTCGAAGTAGGGCTGGGGTTCCAATGGGGAGACCAGGTGCCAAAGAAGAGGGGCGAGAGAAACCTCTTCCGATTTTCCTATTTGTAAAGGCGGGCAACAGTTAAACCGAGTAACTGGGTACACTAAACTTGGCGGAACAAACAAATATAAAGCTCGTGTGGACGTGCCTGGATTAGAGTATCTATCACAGCGATCTCTTTCCCACAGCGTCTGGGAAAATGGCCTCAAGAGAGCAACCCGAGTTGGTCAACGACAAGGTCGCCGAGGTGACCGAGTCTACTTCACCAAGAGATGACTACCAGCATGACCATACTTCTACGGTCGGCGATGTTGTCCAGTCCCAGGGTGTCACCCGGATGGAAGCCGTGTATCGGGAGGCTAAATCCAGCCGGGTCTCATTCTTTCTCGTCGGCGCATCCGTCCTCGTCTGCGCCTGGGCGTACTCGTTCGATTCCTCAACCACATCTTACTACAGTGTCGACGCATCATCCCACTACGAGCAACACAGCTCAGTGCTTTCCACACTGAGCATTGCCACAAACATCATTGGGGCGGTTGCGAAGCCCTTCATCGCTAAGATCTCCGACATCACCTCCCGTCCCTACACCTACGTCTTGGCTTTGTCCTTCTACACCGTGGGCTACATCATCGCTGCCGCATCACAGAGCATCTCAGCTTATGTCGTGGGCGAGGTGTTTGTAGCCGTCGGCGGTGCCGGTCTAGATCTCACGAACGACATCATCGTGGCCGATTTGACACCTCTCGAGTGGCGTGGCTTTGTTTCGTCTTTGCTGTCTTCGCCGTTCATCATCAACACTTGGTTTTCGGGCAAGATTGTGGATGCGCTTTCCAGCAGAGGACAATGGAGATGGTTAGTACTTGGCAATTTTGTGTTCAAAGGAGACACGACGGCTAACGGGAAATTCACAGGGGATACGGTATGTTTGCCATTATTATGCCAGTCGCGCTTGGCCCCGCCATCGTGATTCTCATCTGGCTCGACCGAAAAGCAAAGAAAGATGGAATTGTAAACATGGCGTCTAGCAATGCCGCCCGACGAGCAGCCAAGGAAAAGGCAGAGGAAGATGGCCACAATGCCCCCAGTGGGACTGTCGTCGCGCCAGCAGCTGAGATGTCCGGGACTTGGAAGAGCCGTGCGCTGAAGAACCTGGAGGAAATTGATGCCTTCGGGTTGATCCTACTTGGTTTCGGCTGGTCGTTGTTGTTACTTCCGTTCTCTCTCAAGACATACGCCAAGAATGGGTGGAAGAACCCCTCGCTCATTGCAATGATGGTAGTGGGAGGCGTACTTTTGATCTGCTATGTCGTCTATGAGATGAAATGGGCCAAAGTGCCAAGCGCACCGCGACGACTCATCTTTAACAGGACATTTATCATGGCGATTATCATCGACTCAATGTACATGCGTAAGTTTCCACTGCCTCATGTGAGATACTGATTGCTGTACTAATACGGAAGTATTCTACAGTTGCCGGTAACATTCGAGGGCTCTACTGGAGCTCCTACGTGCTGATAGCGAAGCCATGGAGCCAGCAGAATTGGGTGTACTATGGAAACACCTTGACCTTGGCACTGTGCATCTTTGGCATCATTGCTGGCCTTTTACAGCGTTGGACTCACCGATATAAGACCATCCAGCTCGTTGGTCTGTCTCTGAAGATCATCGGCATGGGTATAATGCTTGACGGTCGACGAGCCACCATTAGCGACGCTGCCATGATCATTTCCCTAATTCTGATCGGAGCTGGTGGTGCAATGTCTGTAGTGGGATCACGAGTGGCCTCACAGGCATCTGTGCCACATCAGGACGTAGCTTTGGCCATTTCACTTCTTTCTCTCTGGAGCAAAGTCGGCAGCGCCATTGGAAGCGCCATCGTCGCAGTGATATGGGCAGAACAAATGCCAAAGCAACTGCTTGAGCACCTCCCCTCCACCGCCACTGCAGCCGAGCGCAAGAAGATTTTCAACAACGTCAAAGCGGTGCGGACTACATACGCCTTCGACAGCCCCATGCGCCAGGGCACCATCGAGGCGTACCGACGAACTCTGTACTATTGCCTCGCCCCTGCGTTGGCTTTGGCATTTATCCCCCTGGTGGCTGCGTGCTTCCAGACCAACTACTACCTTGGCAAGCAGCAGAACGCCGTGACCAATGTTGGCAACGATGGCCTGCCTCTTGAAGAAGATGAGAAACGCGCAGATCCGCTCCCGCGACCGAAGAACAAGAAGGAGGCCTTTTTGAGGTTCTGGGCTGGAAAGAGGTAATCTCTTCAGAGGCGTAGTGCACAGCACAACACCACCTCCCTAGTTAGATGTTTCTACAACCTCCTTTTCGACTTCTAAATCATAGGTCTGAGGACCATCTTACCAGAGGCATAAACCTTGTGCCTAGCTGTATGGGCTATTTGACATCGCTCCGTTGTGATGAGACGCACCTGCGTTATTGTGGTGCTTCTAGACTAAATTAATCACGTTAATCTCCACTACACAAAAAGCGACAGCTTGAATAAAGAGAATGGATCCATAGACTCCAGTGATATCAGAATCATGTGTGACCAGTTACAGCGCCATCAATGCGATAATGTCTCTCGTGCATCATTCACTGGAATATCGTTCATGAAGCTCCTGCCCGCTCGGGTCAACCTATTTTGTAAGGAATGTTTGGAAAAGAAAACGAGAACCACCGTTAAAAGACTTTCTCCTTTGAAGTACGCAGGAACTTTCTGGAATCCAAAGCGTGTTGTAGCCTTATCTGGTACCCCTTTCAAGCATGGAAGAGCGGTCTACCCTTTCTAGCGGTTTATGCAATATGTAACATTATGAGACTAATACATGGACTTTACATCATACTTGAGTGGTGAAAAGGCCTGACTTAAATGGAGAATAAACTCTGACTTTGTACTGTGGGAAGGGGCACTGCCACCGATAATGGCTTAAGACTATGGAACCAAAATGTTGAGGCTTGAGGGTCTCAGGGATGCTTGTACGCGTCCGCGGAGAGCGAGAGAGATGTGGCTATCGTAATCCATGGTGTTTATTCTGTGATCGAAACAATGAGGAAGGTACCAAAGACGTGTCCCATATGTTATGGTAGCAGTGGGTATACGAATTGCCGAGAAAGAATGCACAATGCTTGAGGCGGTATGCATGCCTCTTCTAGGCCAATTAAAGCAGGTAAAGTTGGCTCTAATGGGTCTCTATTTCGTACTGGCTGCGTTTGTACGGCAGTGTAAAAGCTCTCCTGCCCCAAAGACAGTAGCATTTCTTAAGCTACGGATCCACCGCTGGTCAAGTTGCCCGAGAGTTCCTTTGCCGATCGCAATAGCTGGACCCTTGATGTTACAAGGGTGCCACATGATGTGAGAAAGCGCTTCTTCTCTGAATGTTCTTCTCTGTTCACCTCGCCTCAACGAGGTAGTCCCAGGGAAACCTTTCGCTTACTCAATAGTTCATCCTAAGACACGGCACGCACACTGAGAACTGAGAGAAGAGACTGCCTTTGACATCTATACTACGACTGTATTTGAGATAAAATCGGGCCGAGCTTTCGAGCTCCCTATGGGAAACCCTTGCGATTCGCCATGCAATATTGTCATTTCATTATAGCCAGTCAATTGGAAAGAGAAGGAGAGAAATAACCTAGCAAGGGAAGTGTGCTCTGTAGTTCTGTTAGTGAATCCCTCTGCGACGTGGACGCGCGTACAACCTCGGGAGGTGGGGGAAGGCTCTCAAGGGGCAAGATTGAGAATAGCTCGGCCCTACCTCTTCCATTTACGAATCAGTGGGAGTGTTTGCTCCTATGTTGTTGCGGATAGAAGTACTTTTTTTCACCTACTACCGTCGCCCCCCTGACCGGCTCCCAACTGCGCCAATTCTTAGCATGCAGGCATAAAAAGCTTGATTAATGCCCAGAAAGGGACCGTGCCAGGGTACAACAGTTTCCGCTTCCCCTCTAAAGCTCGGACGATGAGCCAAAGATGCCCTGGGTAACGTAATGGCCAAGCCCAGATTCGCCAAGTCCATGCAGATCGAGGACGCGCAACGATTCAACCACGGATTGCAACAATCCCGGCCAGGATCACCGCTCTTCTAGCCAGGGTGTGTGGGTGGGGAGCCGGTCTCATCAGCATGTAACATCACAGGAGCTTACGAATCTTTTGGCCGGATGGCACCTCACAGATACAAGATTCATGCGTGCCTGTATGAAGTCCTTGATAACTCCACATGGTCCGTGACGAATGCGGTTTGGTAGTATTGAGGCAAACTGAGCCCTGGCCATTGACAACAGGGTGGGAACTGTCAAACAGGGGATTTATGTAGTGGATATGCGCGCCGAAACAACCTTACAGTTTACTTTACACCTTAACCTACGTGTAATCGAGATTACCGAGGTATTGAGAGCTTTAGCTGATAGAAGACTGGTGATAACCATGGAGCAACCAAGTCGATTCTCTTTCTCAAACCTCCCTGACAAGTGTTTAAGCGGTACGCCCCGAGTCAATATCAATTATGAGACTCAAGTGTCAGATTGAAACTGACGAAATCTGGTCTATGTCACTTACCTTGAGTTATCCCGAACCCACTCGCCCACTCGGCGAAGGGGCTTGCGGCCCCCTGGTCAATCCCGCTTTCTGATGTTTCGGGATCTTGATCTCCCCTGATATTGATGTCACAGATGCCCATTGAATTATTTATGTTGCCAATCATTGCATGCTGATTGGTTCAGAGACTGCCGGTGAGTTGACTAGGGCCGCGTATCCGTAATCCTTTTTGGGCATGCAAGCATTGCGGAAGAAGGAGGTCTCATGTTTAGGGCTCTGCGCTGGCTGCGACTAACGCAACGTCTGATGGTGATAGTTGCTGTTCTGGGAATTGGCGCCGAATGAGACTGCACATACAACAGAGGCTGGACTCCCATGAAATGGAACTTCAGGTAGGTATATAAGAAGGGGTTGAAGCTTGACTTTCTCAAAACCTTCCAACTCATCGCCGCTCAACCTCATCCTCCTGCACTCTCAAAGTCATTCTTCTTCACCTCATACTATGATCTTCTCCCCTCTTGCCGCTCTTGCGGTGGTCGGCCTTGTGGCCGCCCATCGTGGAGCAGACCACCACCAGGAGCTTCGCGAACGCAGCGACTTTCTCTCGAAGGTTGAGCGTAGGGATTTGAGCCATTGCGCTGAGTACCGTGCTGCTCGTGGTATTGAGAAGCGAGCCATCGCCCGCCGCAAGCAAACCAGATCCCTCAAGTCTAAGCGTGGCCTTGTTGAGCGTGCTCCTGAGGATATCAACAAGTCCCACCACTCTTCTGCTGAGTATACCGCCAACACGCCTCTGGATGTCATCTTTGGCAGCAACACCTCATGCGTTCTCAGCCCTGAAGTGACTGAGGGCCCTTACTGTAAGTCTGAAAGGAGGAGACCTGTATCATAGCCAATAGTCCACTGACTTAATAACCTTACCTAGATGTTGCTGGTGAATATGTTCGACAAGACATTACTGACAACGAGCCCGGCGTGCCTCTCATCGTCGACCTTGATGTCTTTGATGTTGAGACTTGTGAACCTATCCCCGATCTCTACGTCGAGATTTGGAGTAAGTCTACACTGCTCATATTTCATCCTTTTAACACGATATATGCTTACAACTTCTCATAGGCTGCAACTCTACCGGAGTGTACTCCGGTGTCGCTAGCGGCGGGGACTACACCGAAGCCCCTGAAAATCTCGACACAACTTTCCTGCGCGGCTTCCAGAAGACTGATGACATTGGTGCTGTTCAATTCGACAGCGTCTACCCCGGGCACTACTCGGGACGCACGCATCACATTCACGTGATGGTCCACCCCAACGCCACTGCTAGGTCCAACGGCACGATCGTTGATACCATCTCCAGCCACGTCGGCCAGGTCTACTTTGACCAGGAGCTTAGCAACGCTGTTGAGGAACTTGCTCCCTACAACACCAACACCCAGTCGCTCACCCTGAACGCCGATGACTTCCTCCTTGCCTCGGGGCTTGAGACCAGCGACCCATTCCTCAACTATGTCTTGCTCGGTGAGGACGTCTCGGAAGGCGTGCTTGCTTGGATCAGTTTCGGTATCAACTCCACCTATGTCAGGACTGTGAGTGCGGCTGCTACCTATTACGAGGGTGGTGGTGTTTCCAACGGCGATGGTGGCGGTGGTGGTCCAGGTGGCCCAGGTGGCCCTGGAGGTCCATCTGGAACTCCCTCAGGCACCGTCCTTCCACCCTCCGGAACTCCTTCGGCTTAAAGGGCTGAGAGAGTAGTGTAAGGGTGTTAAGAATCTACTTTGCGAATATTGATCAAAGAAAAAGTTAGAGTGAGCTAGATGGAGAAAAATAGGGCATGGGTTCCGGTTGCTCTCGGATGGATGATTTAGGTTGTTTGGACAATCCTAGTTGGACTTCACTTCATCGGCTTTTAGAGAAAACGGCCTCAATTGTACTACGAGAAATTCAACTTGACAGGCAGCCTCTCTCTTTTTTGTTAAGAAGAAAGATAGCATGCCAATAATTGATTCATTCTCAAATGCCTGTCAATGTATTATCGCCTCTTGCAGCGCCACCTTCAGTACTTGATCAAAAGATGCTTGATTACATGATGTTCTTAAGAACATGGCTTGAAGTACTTGAGTAGATGAAATTTGTGTGGATGATAAAACGTTCTAGTACTTCATTTGGCGTCATTCTTAATCACAAGTCTAACGGGTACTTTCAACTCGATGATCAGTCAATAGTTTGCAACCGACATACATACAAAAATCTAGTCTATCTACTCTATGAGCTAATATCGTCATTGTTTGCCGTTTACGTTAATTTTGGTCCTTGCAACAAACTCATCAAAAAGTTGCTGCACGTGCTCTTCCCTCACTCGCTCAACGCCAGTACACACGCGAATAGCAAATTTGCCATTCACAACAGTACTTGTTAGATAGAACTCGCCTGTGCCGTTTACTAATTCATACAGTGCCTCTGTGCGTGCATTGATCTCAGCTTCATCGGCCCCTTTGACGCGCAGGGTAACAAGCCCGAAACGTGCGGGTGTGAATACTGTGAATAGATCGGGTCGGCTCTCAATCTTCGCCTGGAGACTTTCACCAAGGGCGATCCCGTTACGGATGTGGTTCTGTAGACCCTCGATTCCATAACTGCGCAGAACAAACCACAACTTGAGTGAGCGGAAACGGCGACCTAGAGGGATTTGCCAGTCACGATAATCCGTTACCAGCTCGTTATCACTGAATTGGTTTCTCAGGTAGGGGGGCTTGATACTCATTGCCTGGATTAACCAAGCTCTTCGACGAACCCAAACCGCGGAGCAGTCAAACGTAGTGAGCAACCACTTATGCGGGTTGAAGTTGAAGGAATGGAAACGAGCCATTGGGGGCGTCAAGGTCCGGTTTTCTTCTAGCAATAGAGCCGATCCCGCGTACGCAGCGTCGACGTGAACCCAAATATCCTGGTCAGAATCGAATGTAGGGGCCAAAGCTTCCGCAATACCCGCGAAATCATCAACGGCGCAGACATCTGTAGTTCCCATTGTGGCAGTCAGGTAGAAGGGGTGAAGACCACGGGACCTCAAATCCGCCACAGTTTTCGACACTGCCGCTCCTGTAAGGGAAAAGCCTTCCTCCTCGGTTACGGGAATAGCGGCAAACCGAACGCCGAGAACCTGTGCGGCTTTTTTTGTGCTTGAGTGAGAGCCGGCGCTTCCCAGAGCGACCAGTTTGCTGCGATATGTCCAGAGCGTTTCCTCCTTTTCTTCTCCATCGGGCAGATCTTTGGTGACTGCTGCAAGATACTTGTCTCGCGCAGCACACATGACGGTGAGGATAGCCTCACTCGCGCTGCCATGAATGACCCCGCCTCCATGAGTGCTACCCCCGCTAAGATAACACTCGGGTAGGCCAAAAGCCTGAGCAAGCCAGTCCATGACAATAGTCTCAAGTTCCGTCACGGCGGGACTGCAGATCCAGTTGAAGTGTGCTCCGCTGAAGGTGTTGGAGTACATTTCACCCAAAGCGGCGGGAAAGCTGCTTGAGCACGGGAAGAAGGCCATAAATTTTGGGCTGGCCCAGTGTGTAATTCCGGGCAGTATTTTAGACTCGATGTCGGCATGAATTGCCTCCCATGACTCTCCCTTGGTTGGCGCCGAGGCTGGGAGGAGAGGGCGGAGATAGCCTGGCGTCACCGTGGAGAGAACCTTTTGAGAGCCAACATTGTCATAGTATTTCGTGACTTATTGAAATGTTAGCATCAGGGCTTCTGATTTCAGGTTGTTATCTTGCTCTTAGCTTACTGTCGTCAATGGCAGCCTTCGCCGCCTCGCTAAATTCCTGAGAATTCATGGCTTCTAATTAATCGCACCTTTGAGTAATTTTGCCGAAGGTAGAAACTCTAGTGCCACGAAAACACCAGCGATAATTATATATCACAAGATTCCGGCAGTTACAGATATATGGAGCCAGCCAAGTATCACTCAAACACTTGTAATCGTCAGGGTTATCCTTGTGTCAGACGTTCATATATAGCGGTGTAAGGATAGCAGTAAACCTGGTCCATGGATTCGTGCCTGGCTGTTCAATTGAGCGCAATAACACCACCTGCTTCCCCGCTCGCCCCTCTCCTGGTGCTTATATCTCTGGGCCTTTCCGCATTCCGACTGCCAATTCCGACGTACCTTTCCTAACTAAGCTGTACAGGAATAATAAGCCGTAAACCTTTCATGGCAATTGCGTCTAGAGTTTCTTCCTAATTTGTTGCTTTCTGATGATAAGCAAACCAACAAGCGATAAACTAAATTTCTTACTATGGCCAGATTGGAAGCTTTTCCACCTTCTCTCGGCAGTTTCCCAAGTCCATCTTACCAAATAACAAGAACTATCTAGCTCGAAGAAACATACAGTGAGGGTCTAAAAGTCTGTGTCTAAGTAGATAGGTGCAGGAAGACTAAGTTCCGACCGAATCACGAAGTGTAGATTTCATAATCCAACTCTATCAGGTTTAGATTTATAGGTATAATGTCCTCTTATTCATCTAGCCTTCTTCAAATCTTCAGTTGGTGAGGACTGAGCCGACAATATGTCCCGGAAATCCACCTCTCGGCAACCAAAGTAAAATGTCCCAGACGAAATCAACAGGTTAGACCCATAAGATGACACAATCAGCTGACATCTGCCCAAGTTTTCAACAATTAGCACCAGTGGCGTGAAGCCAGGGGTCGCGCTCTGGAAACGGACCCCTGTCTGAGCCAATTCCTCGCGGAGTTAATCGATGCGAAGATTCCATTAGCAGTTAGCAAGTCTTCTCGGCTAGCATCTAGTGGTCTTTCGGTGAATAGTCTACCCGTACACGTTATTCGGGACCGATTCAACGCCATCCGGGTTTTGCAAAAGGGCCGTACCTGCTGATCGCAATGGGGGAATCGTGGCAACTGTGAATCATACTCCGTGGGCTCGAAATTCGGGCGGAAAGTGCTCTTAAAAAAGAAAGCTTCAGTCTCGGAGAATGTCCACCTCATCTTTCACATAAGCGAGGAATGCTATCTAGGAGCTCATAATATTGATTCATCAGTAATTGGCCAAATTTCGAGTAGTAAGAGAAAACATCATGGTTGATTCTTGAACCTGTAATTAAATTCATCTCCTCGCTAAGTCTTTGATTGCTTGTACAAAACTGTTAATGATTCCTATGGATATTTCAAATTTACTTTATGATTACAGCATATAACCCCCGCGTTAGTGTAAAGTTAGTCGACCGTTCTATACAGCATCCCAGTTGTTGGGGGGGCTGTGACCCCGTTGACTTTTCTGAGTTTTTGGTACTTCCGCCACTAATATGGATACTTTCTTCTCCTTCTTGATAGCTTCAGTCTGTGCAATTGTGCTAAGTTCAATTCCATCGTCATAAGAACCTGTTTTAGAGGCTATTTGAGTAATTTTGTGGGTGCTCTTGATGTCATCGTGGTCGTGATTGAAGGGAAGATGACCTTGAGCTCGACTTGTGCGACTCGTCGTCCACTGGTTGACCGTTCGAGTACCGCTCAGTGCTCCGTTCATTTGGTGAGTAGGGTCCGTTATTTTCCTATTCGTGCTACTAATTGTGCTGCGCAGTCCGAGCTTGTGGCTAACAAGGCGAATAAAGGGTTGCAGAGCCGGGAAACAAGCTGTCCAAAGACCAACGTGGCCTTCGAAATTGGTCCAAGGTGAAACGGTGGCCATTTTGAATGTTCTGCAACGACAAGGTCAACTTTGATCCAGCATGTAGGAAGTTGCTCACTCATACGTATCGGTTGTAAAATCAGTGCTGACAATTATGCTCAGTCGTACAATTCCGGTGATGATAGCAAAGATTCCGATGCAGAAGATTAATATGACCTGAACCATTTTCATAGAGAATTTCATCTTCGCGTAAATGACTGAAATTGGGAGGCCGACAAGAAATAGGTCAATGACAATACCAACTGCACTATGTGTCCACATCATCGGTGCTTCTTTCGACTTATCGAGACATTGTCGGTTCGGCGCGGTGATGTCCCATAGATCTCTATTCCAGAAACAAATTTAGCACGGTCACACCTATGATATGATATGTAAGGTCAGGTATACGTACGGAATATGCTTGCATTCGGTGAGGATGAAAAAGAAGGCGATGAGAGTAATCGCAACATTCACGAACGCCACTCCCCAGATACAGCGGATAAAGAGCTCTGTACTCCAACATCAGTCCTGCATATTATCTCGCGAGAGCGTGTGGTCTTTTGGACTCACTGTCGCTATTCAAACGTGGATAGAAGGACAAGATTGATAGTCTCACTGTCCCAATCGCCAAAAAGAAGATAAGTTGTAAGGTTGTCAGAGTCTTGATTCGAACATCGTTAGCTATATAATGGACCCAGCAGGATGGTGGTCAACAATCGTACTGCGAAGAATAATGGGATCCTCTCCGGAGGGACTTGGTTCATGTGGGTTCCAGATCCATAGCTAATGGCTGAAGAGGAAGAGTTGAATCAGTCAGTGAAATGATACCAAGTTGGGCGTAGACGAGCTAGAATATTCGCATACCTCGGATTTCCATACACGAGAGAGCAACGAGCAGGCCCTTGGGAGAATTATTAACGAACAGCCAGACTGGGATAAACTTGGCGGTGGCAACTCACATAACCGACGGTCGCAATCAAATCATCAATTCCCAAGGCCCGTAGCATGAATGCTCTGACGCTAAGCCGAGAAATCAATATTACTGTGGAAATGACAATCAAGGCCACATTTATTCTGTAGAGGATATGGCCGTGAGAGTCGGCTGGAAGCTGCCACTCCTCCATGCTGAGCTCTTGACGATCTGCACAGTGGGTGAAGCACATGGACCTAAAGAACCCAAAAGAGAAGAGCACGAGAAGAGCACACATTTTGTAGGACCTGGGGAGGATTCTTCAAGGTTCAGCTAAAAGGAGCCAAGAACACTATTTCCCAAAGAGCCCAGTGGCATTCCACAGCATCTCGCCGGTTGTGATTATCAACGGACAAGAATGGCTAGGCGCTTTGCGGCGAGGACGCCAGCTACATTACTTGTATGCTGGGGGCTGAATAAGGCGAAACGCTATGTCACCATCGGGAACCATGGAATTGTGTGTTGGTTTAATGTTTTCCTGGAGGCCTCGTAGTGGCAGAGGGATCTCTGTGATTTTCCGCTAGAAGCGACTAATCGGATCAGGTGGAGTCCTCAACGATGCCAAATGTCGGCCAAAGATTGTCTCCCTGAATCTCAACTCCATGTCTAATCAGTCGAGAAGCGGTAGGGGAGGGGATGAGGACCACGCCAACAATTGGAGATGCTCCGGACGGTATGATTCCAACAGAAATCCAGTCTTTGATTACTTGCCAGGGTCCCAGACAGTGCATGTTGGTGGTCATAATACCTAGCTTCAACTGATGAGCTGAACTTCCTTATAAGCTTGGATCAAAACTCAAATCACATGCTTAAATACTGGAGCGAGACATTGTCCCCCAGCTTTGCATCGACATGTTGAATCAAGCGGCTGTAGACCATACGATGGAAGCTTCCAATATTTACGAGTTTGGCCGTTAGGTTTAGGGCGCTATTGACATTAGGGGTCTGACTTACCACAGAGTAGGCCACGTTGGAATTGGAGCTGAGCTCGGAGACGTCAGTAATTTCGAACTGCGCTGGCAAAAGAATTTCTTTCTGACATTATCTCCTCTTAGATCTAGCCCTGGAGATACCCGTGCGGACAAGCCTTGCATTCTTCTTTCGTTTGTTTCATTCAATATTGGAAGCATACGTCTTCAATAAATCCGAAAAACTGTTGGTTTAATTAAACTCCCGTAATAAGCAAAAGATAATAACAGAATCCAATATCGAACGAAGACTTAGAATGCTACTTGGATTGTGCGTTCCGGTAGGCCTTCATACTTCAGCGATGCTGGATTTTCATTCGGTAAACCTGACATAAAACCTGATTCCAAATTTCCCGGAATAATGGGTTAAATTTTCTACATCTAAGCAGCAATAAATCCCAGACCTCGTATTAAAGATGTTGGCCACATTATCATAGATGGGGATTAGGATCCAGAGCAGACTATTTCCCCTCTGCCTTATTATATATTGATGATGGAAGAAAACCCCACACTACTTTAGAGTAATTTGGATCCAGCGACACTTCGATAACCGTTTTGTCTTCATAAATCGCAGAACGTTGTACGCTAAATGCTCATAGATTCCGTTGTTACAATGTGTGATCGGCAACGAAGATTCAGAAGAGAGGAAATGCCCACAGAGTACAACCTCAATCCAGAAGGGGAAATGATAGCAATGCAGATCCAGAATTCTGACTTTTGTTCTGCATGCAGGCTACCACGATTACGCAGCGTTGAAAACCTGATTGCATCTGCTACAAGCGGGCGTCAGTCATAGTCAGCACATACACAGCTCCGTCAACAGATAACCCCGCATTTGCACCTTATTTCACCTTATTTTGACTGAAATGGCATTTTTGAGCAAATAGAAAAACTGGGGGCCGAGTGTCGGGATAACAAGCGGCCATAATTTGGAGAGAGAGAGACGGCTTAAGGCCACTCTGTTCGGGATGGCCCAGTGAGACCGGTGGAATATGCTTCTTGCTTTTTCCAAGGTCTCACAGCGGGGTAGGCAAACGGGGTTCACACCTCACCGACGTAACATTCGAGGAGGGGGTGGCTGGGAAATGCGAGCTGATGGCTGGGACGATAATGAGGCTGCATTCACGTACAGCACTGCGACCAGTCAATTACGCCACAGTCGACGCAGGAAGCCCAAAGTAGATTGTACGACATGAGTTGCTGCATTGTCAGCCATTTCACTGTTGTTTTCGTGCATTGTTTACCGAATGTGCAGATAATGCTGCCCTCTCCGCCACTGTTACTGCTTCGCTTTGACCTCCATTTGGGTGGAATTTCTGCCCGAGCTGAAGCAATACGATGTTACACGAATTAATAATGCGAGCTTTCTATTGGAAAGCTGCAAGCCACTGTTTTACACGCTTGTGAGGGGTTGGTACGCTCCCAAAATTTCCTCGCGGCCAAATTTCTTGAGTTTCCCTCTCGAACCAGACAATTCTTCATCTCCAGCAAGCGGCCAAACTTTCCACATCCATCCGTTTGTGTCAAGCAACATTGCCTCGATTTGATCTCGTCTCTCCTTTGCGCCCATCATGGCGCGCGGCTACTTTTCGCCAATCGACCACCTCCAAGGCCGCCTGGTGCGGGAGGCCCTTGTCAACATGGACCATATCGCCCACATTCTGAGTGACAGGTCTCCGTCGTTGACGTACAAGGACAATGGTAATCAGTGCCCAACTCCGTCGTTCAGTATGCGAGGACTAACGACGAAGCAGTATACTACAGCGCTATGCTATCCCCGGATGATGTCCCCTCATCTGAAGGAAGGCCGATTGGGTTTGAACACCAGGAGGAGAAACTGGCTGGCGAGAAGGCAAAGGATACAGCGTACCTGAACAGCATTATTGAGCAATGCATCGACCGGTACCTAGATACGATCGACAACTTCTGCTGCCTGCTCCAGCCTGACTCTCGTTCCGCCTCCGAAGAATCAGCTGCTGCATCGGCTCCAGCTGAAGAAGAGCGTGTGCTGGCATCGCCATCGCCCCCGGAGAACGAACCTGAACAGTCGGATTCACCTAGTTCACGATATGCCACTCCCGCCCAACCTGACTCGAGCCCAGAAGCTGTCAACAATCGACCTTCTGTCGTCGAACTCAACGAACCCGAGTCGCCACGAACAGTGACCACCATCGACTTTGAAGACGTGTATCGAGGCGGCACATCCGCGACGACGCATTTCATTCTCGACTACGAACACTCCCTCAAAACTGCACCGAATGTCAGCGGTCGCTGGTGGATTTTGCGCTGCGAGCAATGCGACTGGCACGGATTATCCGAGAGACCTGGGACATTCCACATGGAGCTCCATCCCGAATTGAGGATCGACGACCTGGAATCAGCGATCGAGTCGTTTGGAGTGCTCGTTCTCAATTGCACACCGGACCTAGCCAATATGAACAATGTCCATGTCCGCAAGGTAATGCAAGACCGGGCTTCCGAACCGACCACGGCACGAGCGCGACACAAGCACAAGAGAAGAAAGGTGGTGAAAATCAGTGTATCCCCTAGATCGTTCACGGAACGGCAGTTGATCTCGGATCCTTCTGTCGGGGAGATGTACCTCGCCGGATGGTCAGATGGTAAGCTGTATGGCGCCGTCGCTCTTCCTCTCGGAGACTTCATGCCCAAAGCGTCCATCCCTGGAAGCATGTGGGATTCGGGACTGCTCTCAAGCGTGCCCAAGTGCTACCGAATCAACAAAAGGGCGCGCCACTTCTCTTGGGCCGAGGGCTTCGAAGACGGCGGTACACGTGTGGGCTTTCGGCAATTCCCGCTGTTCTACTTTGACAACCCAAAGGTCGAAGACGGTCATGTTGGCTGGGCATATGCGCACGATATTCACCCCTTCGACTTGGACAAGGTGACTTCAGACTTTCCAAGACCTGCCGCCTTGTATGCCAATCACTATAAACTTTCAGACCATACACCGTTTAGCCATGGTAGGTTTTCTCCAGGCAGTTACACTCCCTCGGCGGTTAGCTGATTATTGCTAATACATCCTCTGTAGAGCTTTTTTCGCACCACCAGAGCCAAATTAAACCTGTTACTGAGCAAACCCTAAGCCTCAAGCACTCGAAAGGAGAGAAGAGCAGCAGCGCCTCTCCCACTCCCCAGACCACATCGACAGAGGCAGATACGGACCACGACAAGAAAATAGTTGACGGTCAACGCTGTACGCCATCATCCGATGGTTCTCGCCACTCTTTTGATCCCGTGTTCGAGTCTCAACAACCGACCGAAGCTGCCTTCGATACCCACACTTACAATTCACCAGTCTCCATCTACGGTACCTTCCGACGGAGTATTACCATGGAGCCGGGAATACGTATGCCAGAAGCCCAGATGTCGCCGCTTGGAGAGCCTGCAGATGAGGTCATTCATCAAGCTGTTGAATCAAGCGACTGCCCTCCGTTTGCGAAAATCAAGGCCGAACCTTGCGATATGCTCGGTGAAACACATGATGAAACGCCTTTCGCCGACGCAATGGAACATAGTGTTCCTACACCTGATACCTGCCCTCAGCTTATCAACCAGGATTCGGTGATTCAACCAGACGTGGATGAGTGATTCGGCGATACCACGATGCCGGTTCTTAGATATGCCTTTAGTTTTGTATGTTCAGGGCAGACTCTGACAACACCTGTGGCAGTCCAGCTTGGCATTGATGCGCAGGAGATTCCTAGGTCATGTGAACAAATAAAATGAGCCAGCGAAGCATCCTCTCCTTAGATAACAATGACATGTTGCGAATGTTGTTTCCGTCATTCAACAATGAGAATACGTAGATCTTGCAGATTACCAGTGCCCTATTCTCGGTGATAATTTCCATTTTGCATCTAAGTATCATGTCTTGGTAAGTTGATATATTTATACATGTTGTGACCTTCCCGTTCTATCTGCCATAGGGCCAAGGCGCCATCAAATGGCCACCCTGAGTATGAAGCAATCATTTCAATCCCTAGAGCTCCTAGAGTAATTTCACCGCACCTCAGTGCCCACAACGTATTAGCCAAAGGATGCCGGATGGCAACAATCCAGTGCCAGTTTGAGGTCTAGTTTATCTCTGTCGCTGATTTATCAGGCATAATTGTCGGTTCCTGCCGACAACGACTCCGGCGCCTGAGACTAGGTGATGGCTGTTTGATGATGGCTCAATCAAGCCAGAGTGGGAAGGGAGGAGCCCTGCGACGGAACGTCCATGATGAGTATGCCCAAAAACTTGGCATTACGATGCTGCCAGACCTTTGTTTTGTATGTAACAGTCAGGCTGTTCATCTGCTTGTTTTGTCGAGTGGAAGGCGCGAGGGGGGCTCAAATGGGCATTGCACCATTCGCAGAGGTCATAGAGACTGACTTTCTCACAGTCCAATTACGGCCATGGCATCTATTAGATAGAGACTACCCACAACAAGTAGAACCAGGCACCGTGATGAACATTCTCGCCTCTTGTATAGGGCGTTTGTCTCTACGCAATCTTCATATGTTGATGCCTAGCCGGTCGCCTTTCGGTTGGGCGAATGTCCATAGGATTTTCTGTCTCACGGCAGCTTGATCTTCATTCTTAGGCAAATCCTGGTCTTTGGGGCCACCTCAAGTGTCTCATCATAGCACATGTCGACTGATAATTCGACAAGCACTCAAGCGGAGCAGCCAGCTACCGAACAATCCGATAACAGCGGCGGTTACTCTGCGCGTGCCCGGCACAGCAGCCAAAAGTTGAAAACTCCAGCCAGCGCAGAGAACTTTCTTAGACGTCCATGCATCCAGACATCATTGCATCGGTAAGGAGCTTCTTGGTCTTGTCCATCACCGTGATGACGGACGAAGGCCTCGTCGTCCACCCGTTCTCGACCGATCCCAGCTCATGGTTCAGCAGATCGCGAAACCTTTGCTCTGCCAAAAGACCTGTCCACACAGTCTTTCCAGACCACCAGGGTTCAGTGGGTAACCCAAGGATGATGATGATTTGGGCCAGGTTGTTGCGAAGCACCTCCGAGAAGAGTGCGCCTTGCGGGAGAAACTCAACAATGGGGATTCCGGCGAAACTAGCGTTGGCAGCAGGAGGAACGAGAGGCGCGGTAGGGTCGAGGAGACGAGACTGGGAGATGGAGTAGAAAATCTCGAGGTGTTGGACAATCTGAGAGAAGCAAGAGATGACCAACAACGCCGTCGGGGAGTCAAGAATCACCCGGTCGGCTTCAGGGAATTTCTGGGTCTGCGGCGGACTACCAGATGCACTACTTTGACCGGTCGAGCTACTCGGGCTGCATGAGGGGGAGTGCTCGCCCATTGGATCATTAGAAGATAAGATGAGGCATCCCCGGGGCATCCACAAAGGTGGCCTTGACTTGACCAAGTCTTGTTTCGTTCCCAGTATCTTATGGAGGGCTTTTATCGTAACAAGATAGTCCTGCAGAACTTTCATGAGCGACTGATACGGTTTCAGGGGATTGCCGTCGACCAGGTTGCAGTCGCAGAGAAAGCCCTCAAGCGTGCCGCTAGCAGGCTGGGTCCTCATCGTCTCCCACAGGCCGTGGAGCTCCATGTTGATCCTGGAGAGAGAGGCGAAGTGGTCCTTTTTAGTCAGATGAATAACGGCTGTTTGTATGTCCATAGGCGTCTGAGGTTGGAAGATGGAGGGAGCCTCACCCGGCGGCAGCGAAGGGACTACGACTTCTTCAACGGGCTCGAGAAGAAAATCCGACACCTCGGGAAGCATCCAGTCCATTGACTCCATGTCAATAGGGGTAGGGGCGGTCTGGCTGGCCTGCTGGTCAAGGATCTGGGGGTCGATGGCCACGCTCGGCGACGGCGGAGTGGCCACATTGTGTTGCTGCAAGCCAGGCGAGCCTTTTCCGGCCTCATCAATGATCGGTTTGGTTTTCCCTGCCGAGTCCCTCTTCGACGGGCGCCCGACCTTGCGCTGGGGACCGAGCTGGCAGTCCAGCCCCAGATTCTGGCACCGGGTGCATTTGGCAGACAGGGCCGACGGCCGCGTGCATCGGAGCTTTTGTTTACGGCACCGCTCACACGCAGACCGCACTTGGGTCGGGTGCGGCAGCGACGGTTGCATGGCGGCTGAGCTACCCAATTTGACACGAGGCGCCGTAGGTGGTTTTCAGGAAAACGAATGTCGGATTCGGTGCATTTCCAGAATGCAAATACTGGCAGAATGGATGTTGTCCCTTGACTTGGACCTACACGGCCCAGCCATCGGAGGGTTTCCGCCCATGCAATAAGCTGTATCTGCTCCTCCGGCGGGTTTTGCGACTGCACAATGTCGGAGGGTAATTTGCTCTGTCTGGGATGACTAACCCTCAACTGTGAACTCCGTCAATGTCGGATAAACAAAACTCCCGGGGAAATTGATGGCTGTTCCGAGCTCCAAACACCGACATCTTGACTGCTTTCAAGTCTTGAAAAAGTTGATTTCTCATCATCTTAGTATCTATAAATACTATTTTCCGGAGTATGCTTCATCCCATGTCCCTCTGACGATGTCCCAGTATCTCATCTCATCCTTCCTGGCATGCGATACGTGTTCCGAGCCTCGGAATCGCTCTCTCCTAACCGTGAAGCCGGCCCTCTCTGCCTTCTCTGCATGTGCCTCGACGTCAATGGCGCCAACAAGTTTGTCGGTATCGCTATAAATGTAGGTTCTGCGTGTCTCCAACACAGTCTCGGGATCATTGTGGCGATCACCCCAAACTACTTGCATGTCCTCCCACACGCCCAGGAAAATTAGGGCCGCGTATGCCGATGCCAATAAATAGAAGAATGGGGCCGCAAGCATCCGCTGTATAGGGGACATGCCGACACTCAGAAACGCCATTGCTCGTTCTATGCGATAAATAGACGGCGAGGAGTCAAAGATGGTGATGTGCAGGGGGATCTGTGTGGTCTCCCCTGCTGTTGCTGTTGCAGCGTACTCTTTGTACAGCTCCGCCATGCTCGACGAACCGCCATTGGAAAAGATGTGCAGCAGAATTTGGGCCGAGGAATCAGATGATGGCTTGGAGCCAACGGCAGCGCGGATAACACTAACAGCAGGTCGTACAGCAGGGCCAATCGTAGACGGGTTCAGGAAGAGCTTCGATGTGCTTTGAATCAGGAGAATTGGTGCTGTAGGGTAGTACTGTTGGTACTTCGAGATGTACTTGGCGATGTGCACGTCCCGCGCATCGGTCCATGAGGCAATGATGACGAGCGATGGATCAGAAATGGCAATGCTTTTGGCGTCGCTGGTTTGTGGCCGGTAGTATGAGACAACAGGCGAAAGCTTCTGCATGAAGAAGAGAGGCTCGACGCCAGGGCTTTCAGAAGCATCCGCCATGGTCATGAATCGACGTGTTTGAGGGGCTCATGTCAGAGCTACGGGCACGGTGTCGCTTTATACTCGGCACTTGAATCTATTTACATGGACTAACAAAATAGCATACCTTGATGCTGAAACATGGGCGATAGGGGGAAGTTGGCTGGATCGGGGCAATTGAAATTCGTTGGTGCAACTACCCCAGAGGTTATCTCCAAGACGTCGGCAGGAAATCGGCGACAATGGGGTCCAATCCCGGCTCTCCTCTTCATTAACAGCTCGACGGTGCTGCTACTGGCCCGACAAGGGTAAGGGCTTCGGTCCAACTCCCACGCCGTATCAATGCCTGCCACGGCGCGATCGGTGCTAGACTACAGAGTGAGTATCGGGGGAAAAAGAACTGATACCTTGAAATGGATGTGCTCTGGGCTGTTCGGGCTGACATTGAGGCTGTCGGGGCGTCTCTGTCAGAGCTGAAGTCAGCCCAAAGTCTTGCTGATTCAAGCCTGGAATCTAAATTGCAAAGCTTCGCGATTGGACTCATTTGACTGCTCGCCGTGGATGCACCTTCACCAGCAGACTCGCTCGGCACGTCACTGTCGTCATCTATATGAATTTCGGCTGCTGACTACTAACAAGGGCAACTTGGCCGAGTGGTCTAAGGCGCTAGACTGTATGTGTTCATGTACCTTCCAGTACCACTAAGTAACTTTGCTAACAATCCCACAGCAAGATTTCAAATCTTCTACGTATCAGTACGTGGTGTATTCTAGTTCAGAGATGAGCGCGCGTTCGAATCGCGCAGTTGTCATTCTTTTTTTTTTTTTTTTTTTTTTGCCTTTTACCCATCGTTTGTGCTGCTACTATAGAGTTCTCAAATGCTGCCTTTTGCCATAATGTCACTTGGTTTTGGATCAAATTGCATCATTTCAACGATACGCGCTTTCCAGTCTCGTAAGCAGCGTGACCTCGATCACGATACGCCGCTGCATTAGCAGCCCCAGGCTTGATTCATCTTTTGACATGAGCAATTTGATTTGCGTAAACCGGGTCATAATGGCCCTTTCTCAACAGCTCTCAAGTTCATTTGGTGTGTCATTTCCGGCATCACTCACTTGGCACCCTTTCGGATATCCTCGCTGCATTGGACTGACAAGATAACTTGCTGTGCAAGCCGTGGTGGTTCCACCCATTCATCGATAACGGGATCATCTCTTAGCCATAATTCCACATGCCCAAAGGTGTTATTGGTCTAGCCTCATTCCACGAGCCCGACCGCGGGAAAGCCTCGCACTAGAGCTCCAAAACAGCATTGCAGGCCGCATACTTTGTGGCTGATTGATTGCACCAGACCGGAATTATGCGACTGGCCAAATTTAGATTTACTCTACCTCTTGGTGGGGTGCTAAAGCAAACTGTAAGCCATGTTATGGTGTGCTGTATCAATCGCTGTGATCATCAATCAATTATCAATCTTGTCAATTGATTACCCCATCATAAATAATTGCACACTAATCGCATATCGCCATTATATCATCTCGGATCCCCCAGAATTCCTGGCGCATGCAACGGTCCTGAGTCCTACAAGAACATCCAGTGCAATATGGCTTCAAATCAAGACACAATGAAGGCCATCAGGCTTGAGCGCGACTCGCCCGACACGCCTCCAACGGTGAGCCTGGCCACAGTCCCCAAGCCAAAGCTCATCCCCAACCACGTCATCGTCAAAGTCCGGGCTTCAGCAATCCACCCCAGCGACCAGATGAATGCGCGCGGCGGATTCCCCTACACCACATTCCCCAGAATCGCAGGACGTGACTGGGCCGGTGTCGTGGTGGAGGGCAAGCCTGAGCTCGTTGGACTTGAGGTATTTGGCACCAGCGGGAATACACACGCCTTCACCACCGATGGCTTCCAGGCCGAGTACACCCTCGTGCACGAAGATGCATTGGCGCAGAAGCCAAAGAATCTCAGCTTTGTGCAGGCGGCGACTGTCGGCGTCCCCTACACGACGGCGAGCATCGAGATTGAGAAGGCGGGCATCAAGAAAACCGACACGGTCCTCGTCATCGGATCTTCGGGAGCGGTTGGCTCGGCGGTCGTGCAGCTGGCCAAGGACACGGGAGCCCGAGTGCTGGAGGCTTCTCGCCAGAACAACACTGATGTCAACACTGCGACTGACCCCGAGCTCAAGGTCCTGGATGAGCTGACCGGCGGAAAGGGAGTGGATGTAATTATCGACACGGTCGGATCACCAGCTCTCGTGACCAGCGCTCTGGCGAAATTGGCACTCGATGGCCGATTTGTTTTCATCTCGGCCCCCAAGACTGGCTCAACTGAGATCACCATCGACTTACGCTACTTTTACAGAAAGGACCTCAGCCTCTATGGCGTGAACTCACTCAACGCGACAACGGCGGAAATGGCGAAGAGATTGGATGGGATGCGCGGGTTTTTCGACTCGGAGTTTTTCCAGGGACGGAGCAATTGGAAGACTGTGCCTTTATCTGAGGCTGGGAAGGTGTATGATAACATTATCAAGAACGGCGATACAGGAAAGTACGTCGTGGTTATGGAATGAAGGGGAAAACCTGCCGCGTGAAAATCGTCGTTGGGTCGGATGTCTTCTCCTACGGTCAGTTAATGGGCAATTAAGCTTCAGTTATGACAGCCAATTCAAGTAAAATGGAGTTCTCCTACACAGTAACAAACAATAACTTTATCTATGGGTAACGTAAGGTAGCATCATTCATGTTCTCATCGTGCTTATCTATCTCGGGATCTCGGAGATTTTCGACTCGATTTGCGATCCGACAGCGGAGCACGTCCGAGGCAGCCGACCTGCCATTTCTCGTGTAACTTTGCCCGGATTGTCAATCGCACCCTACGATCTTACAGGAGGGGAGGATTTGGCGTCTTTGTGCGGGGAATTGACGAACTGGAAGCTCTGAGCGGGGCATTACAGCGCTGTTGACGAACCGGCGCAGGGGGATTAATCAGGCAGCCAGCGCGTATAGACGGGAAGGAAGCCCATTGAGCACACCACCTGGTCTGCACCCTTTCATGAGTCAAGTCACGCCTTTCCCGTCAGAATAAATATCCCATCCTGCTGCTCTGCCCCGAGCCCCCCCTCCCCCAGACATAATAAGCCTACAGAGAGACATATCGAGAGCCATGGCTGTACCGGACACTCTGACCGAGGCCGAGCGTGCTGCTGCGTTAGTAGACGCCGAGCAGAAGGCAGTGGCAATGTTCAACAAGATCGAGCCCCTCGTCCGTCCCGGTGTCGGCGAGAAGGAGCTCAGCGACACCATCCACAAACTCGGCGTCGAGCTGTACGACGTCAAGACGCACTGGCACAAGCGAGTCGTGCGGAGCGGCCCCAACACCCTCTGCCCCTTCAACGACAACCCCCCGGACAGGATCATCCAGGAGGACGACATCGTCGTGGTCGACCTGGGCCCCGTCTTCGAGCAGTGGGAGGCCGACTTCGGGCGCACTTACGTCCTCGGCAACGACCCGGAGAAAATCAAGCTGCGCGACGCGCTGGAGCCCCTCTGGACGTCGGTCAAGGCCGAGTACCAGAAGAACCCGGACATGACGGGCGAGGAGCTGTACGACATTGCATGCAAGGCTGTTGAGAAGGACGGGTGGATCTTTGGCGCGCACCTCGCTGGGCATATTGTCGGGTCGTTCCCCCATGAGCGAATCCCTCGTGATAAGACGACTCTCTATATCAGCAAGGGGAACGACAAGCCCATGACAACGCCCGGCAAAGATGGGAAGAAGCGGCATTGGATTCTTGAGATTCATCTGCGTGAGCCTCAGCAGAGGTATGGTGGATTCATGGAGCAGCTGCTCACGGCATAATGACATTAAAATGAGAATGAATCAACTGGCAAACTTTTAGCGATTAATTAGTAGCTATCATGGCCGGGCTCTCATTTCTGACCGATTTCATTTGTGATTAATGGGCATTAAGCCAAAGCCATAATTCCGGTAGTTGAATGAAGGCTTCGCATATTAGGTGTTTTCTTCACAGGCCTGGGCAAATGCACGATGAAGCAAAAAACCACAAAGAAGTCGTGAGGAGAAAAGACGCCAAAGGGGAACGAGGAGCTTGCAATATTTGAGTAGCGGAACTTGATCTGCAATTTCGATATGCCATCATGCGGCATCTTGTGCCATTGACGTTGCAATATTATCAAACTGTATGAATATACCTCCCGTGACAAAGAGTGTGCTATCCGGCCGTATCCGGAGTACGAGTGCGCGATCCGATACCATTAGTTGAGTGGAACCATGGCAGAGACGCAGGATCAACTCTCGGAATACATCATACGGATGATCAATGAGGGGTTTTGAGCGTTTGCCTTCCTGCATGAACCGTCCTACATAGCTTCAAACTTCCCCAGAAGTGACCCCAAAGCGCAATCCCCTTTACACTCCCCACCGAGATCCTCATTTTCAGACGCAGTACACAATGCCCGCTATCTTGCAACACAAGACATTACAAGCCACTCTTCATGGGCATGAGTCTAGCAAAACCTGGCAATTCAGAGGCTTGCAGTATGGGAGCATTCCTGCGAGATTTGCTAGTCCTGAGCCCCCAGCCGCGATTTCAGGAGATGTTGATTGTACCGCATTTGGGTATGAAACTCCATCCCCTATGATTACCAAAAATACTTGAATTCAAACGAGATTATTAAGATCTCCTTCTTTAGACCGCGCTGTCCGCAGAATTACATTGACTTTAGGCACCTGTTGCGTATCCCACCTAGTCTTGTAATTCCTGAACAACGAGAAGACGAATTCGCCTGTCTGAATCTCGACATCACGCTGCCCGCGAGCCCAGATATCACAGACCCGGGACCTCTGCCAGTATTGATGTGGATACACGGTGAGAAATAAATGAAACGAGAGTTGGAATACCTCCATTATCGAAACTTACACCAGTTAGGTGGCTCTCAAGCTGTCTCATTCGGAACTGCTTCAACCAAGCTATGTGGTATATATATTTCTGACTCTTTTGACAGCGGCTATTTGTCTCATATCACTGTACAGATCCTACAAAGCTTGTGGAAGAATCAATCTCTATCGGAAAGCCCATCATAGTGGTGACAATCAACTACCGCCTGAACATATTTGCATTTGGCGATACCGAAAGCGAGCCAAATTTAGCACTGCGAGACCAGAAGAGGGCTTTTGAATACATTGCCTCACATATAGGCGGCTTCGGGGGCGATCCTGTATGTTCAGCAGCTGTTCTATGCGAAAGGGACTGATCTAATATCTATAGGCCAAGATAACAGTCGCTGGAGAAAGCGCGGGTGCGGTGTATTGCCACGCGCACATGGCAATGGGTCTTCTAGCTCGCCAGTATATTTTGCAATCAGGTTCTCTCCATCTGTCGCCACCGCAACCACGGTCAGCTGCCGTCACACTGATTCGAAAGGTAGAGAACGCGGTGTCGGATCTTGGAGGGTGGAACTTGCGCACTGCACCAGTTGATCGACTGCTCGAAGCATTAAAGCAATGTAACTTGGTTTCATTCTACCTTCAACAGGAAAGCCAGCTTGAGGGCTGGGGAGAGAGCGTCGGTTCTGCGGAACGACTCCTGATCGGCGATAACGAATATGAGGTAGGTCTGAGTCGTAACGCTACTCGGCTATAAGGCTAACATGACTCTTTTACTCCGATAGTCTAATTTATGGCGAAACGGGATCGAAGAACTGCCCGCAGACAGGATTTGGTCCATATTTGAACTGGCTGGAGACAAAAGCCAACAGCTCCGAGATGCTTACGGCATAACGGCTGACCGGCCAACTCAGAACCGAATTGGAGCATTAGACTTTCTAAACGATGCTAGATTTGTACTTCCCGTGGAAAAGATGGTCGAAGAGTGGCGGCGGGCCAACCGGCCGGTTTTCCGATTCCTTGTTGACCAGCCAAATCCATGGCAGACATCGAGCCGAGCGCACCACGGCGTTGATCTACTGTATTTGTTTGGCGGTTTCGACTTATCCTTCGATCCTGCGGCTCAGAACATTTCGTTCTCTATGCATCATAAATGGATCCAGTTCATAAACGGGGATAATCCTTGGAACCCCGAGCAATATTGGGCGTTTGGGCCGGTTGGGCTTAGCAAGGCTATTGATGTTCAGGAGTTCAAGGCTAGAAGAAGAGCTCGTCACTTGGCTCTATTGCGAGAGATTGGGCACGATGGTTTTAACCCTGTATTTGGGAATCTCGCGGCTGGGCGGATAAGCCTTTTGAATTGATCGAGGAAATGCATACAATACACGAACCTGCTGAATTTAAATGCTTATGGCATCCCGTATGGCTGAATATGATGTTCTTGATAAGCTCCCCCATAAACTGTATGTAGAAAGGATTGAGCTTAAGAGATTATCGGCTATAGCTGTGAACATGCATTTGAGATAACCGCTTTATCATTGACGTAGCCAAGAATGACATAACCCCCGCATTTGGGACTCTTCCCCTTCTTCCATCTCGCAAACTTTCGAGGACCATATCGAATATTGCATCCTGCGATTTGCAAATCTAAGCTTTTCATTTCATCAAAGGAACCGTTCCAGTAACCGAGAAAGAACAGCCATGGCATTTGCCTTCGGGAACGAAATCTGCCGCCCCGCGTTCGCCAATCGTACTACGCCCAAACTCTCATACGGCCTTCGCTTCCCTGAAGCTTGTGCAAAGCATTGCCAAAACCATTTCCATGTCTTGATTATGTGCTCAAAGTCACTATCAACTAATACTGATGCATTGGAACGATTACGCTCAGCCCTCGGTGACCGAGTCGCTGGTGTGCGTATCGGCATCAGCCCGCACACCCCAATTGCCGAGGTTGTAGACATCGTCCGAGAATACAAGGACAAGAATATCGACTGCATCGTGACACTCGGGGCTGGCAGCCTCACTGATGGAGCCAAGATTGTGCGCATGGCGCTGGCCAACGGAGCAAGTACCGAGGAAGACATCGGGACGCTCTGGGGAACGCAAGACTCCAACCCAGTCCTGCGCCAGCATATTCAGAAGCCGGCGATTCCCCTCATTCACATACCCACCTCGCTATCCGGAGGAGAGTACCAGGCAATTGCCGGGGGTACAGAGTCCGTGAGCAAGGCAAAACGAACATTTCGATGTGAGGGTGCTAATCCAGAGCTCGTTATTCAAGACCCTGAGCTCTGTCTCACGACACCTCGGTGGGTGTGGCTCAGCACAGGCATCCGGGCTGTCGACCACTGTGTCGAGACACTTTGCTCGCTCCAGTCCAATACGGAGGGCGATGAGTGGGCTGCCCGGGGCCTACCGAAGCTGATCAACGGCCTTCTTCTGAGCAAGTCTGACCCTGCCTCGCTGGATGCTCGTAGACTGTGCCACGATGGGGTCGTGGAGGCCATGTGTGCTGTATCGCAAGGTGTGCCTCTTGGTGGCAGTCATGCCATCGGGCACCAGCTTGGGCCTTTGGGAGTGGGACATGGAGAAACCAGCTGCATTTTACTCCCGGCCGTTTGCAAGTACAACCTGGCTCACAAGGCCAACGTTGAGCGGCAGGAGTTTGTGAAAGCCCTGCTTCTTCAACAGAGGGTAGTCGACGAGCTACTCAAGACAAAGGGACTCGATAACAACAAAGTTGACTTGGGAGATGTGATCTACATAGTTGTCGCAGCTCTAGGGATGCCGCAGTCGCTTGAAGATGTCGGAATCAGCCATAGTAAACTGGATCTGTTGGCAAGAAATAGTCTGGATGATATTTGGATACGGACAAACCCTGTGCCTATTACCGAGTCTGCTCAAGTGATGGATATTCTTAGGATGTGCGCTTCGAAGAAGTAAATGGATCTGGAGATAAACTGCCATAAGGTTGCAGTTAAATGGCTGCTCTAAGCCTATATTTATTCAAATCTTAGATATATGTATCACTTCGCCCACTTCCTCTACCTTCTCAGAAGCATTGTTATTCTGGTTGAACTCTGTTACTCAGATTAGTAAATTGCTTCCATATCCTTTTGGTGTTATACCTACGGTCAACGTTCGTGTGTTTAAATCTCCTTGCCGGGACGCGGTTGTCGAACAGCAAATCAATCTCGCCAAAGGAGCGATCCTTGGTCTCTGGAAGTCGAAACCAGCACCAGATATTGCACAAGATATTAGTGCCTGCGTAGAAAAGCGCCGCTTTGGCACCCCAGTTCCATGCTAGAAGGCATCGTGTTAATTGGTTTCTGAATGGAAGCGGGAAATTGGAAAGAGATCCTTACAGACTGAGGATATCATCCGTGGCGTGACCGAGTTGTTGAAGATACCGGTAAGATTGTACGTAAACCTTCCAATTACAATGGTCTTATATCGGAGTCGTCCAGAGGGCGTTTCGGCAACAATTGGGTAGCAGGCAGGTCCGATTGTGATCATATTGCACAAGGTCGAGATTACCAGGAGAACACCGATCGCCAGCTGCGCACCTCGCCCAGTAACAAACCCAAGGCCGCCAATCACCACCAAGCAGACAAACATGAATGCCATGCCAGACATGTAAATTGTAGCTCGGCCAAAGTGGGGGAATAGTAGCCAACATATGATACCACCGACGATGTAGCAGGCGGAAAGTGAGATATTCAGATTGAAGGATTGGACCTCTGAGAACCCTGCCGACTGAAGGAAGACGACGGCATAACCAAGAATGGCGTTTCCACAGAGAATCTGGGCCGCCCAAACCACACAGTTCTGAGTTTTCAGTTAGTGAGCACAATGGTAGTTGGTCGGGGGGTTAGACTCACAATTTCTGTGCGGCGAAGATTGGTGCCGCGGAAGCAGTCGAGATAAGTAGCAGAGGCTGTCTCTGCTTTTTCCAGCTCCGTGGTGTAACGGATGTAGGACAATGTAGCCTCTACTTCGCGTGCCTTATCATCAGTGTCGTCGGCGGCAAGGCGGTCTAGGCTCTTTTTCGCAAGATCCATCTTGTTACGACGAACGGCGTTCCAAGGAGACGCGGGAGCAAAGTAGGCACCTATCATGAGAGGTACCGGCCAGACCCATTGAAGGGCAAAAGGCAGCCGCCAACCCAGATCGCCCTCGAGGTCGACGACCGCGCGTACAACCCCGGAAGACAACAGAATGCCAGCGCCCCAGCACATGCAAACATACGCCGTAACGTATGGCCTGAGGATGGTTGGGACGACTTCACAGGCGTAAGCGGTCGAAAGAGTCTGGACAATGAGCATAGGTTAGTAGAGAAAATGTGCGTCATTTATACATTAAAAATATACCTGGAAGACACCCCACGAGATGCCACACATGAACTCTCCAAAAGCTAAAACAGACAAGGATGGGGCAAAGAAGACAATGAAGATTGCGGCACTCTCCACCCAAGGAAGAAGATATAGGTGGGCCGGCACCCAAAGCGGTCTTGGGAGTAGCCGTTGATGATCAGTCCAAGCATCTGACCAACCTGAGCCGAATTGGTCAGGCCTGATTGCCATGCGGGCGTGATAGTCTTGACCCCGGATTTCGGATCCAGCACACCGAATCTGTTGATGAATTGTGTCTGGCCGTAGAAAGAAGTAATCTATTGGTTCGTCAGTAAAGAGTGGCCTATGAGGAGCATTGGGGGAACGGACAATGACTACGTCGTAGCCTTCCATGATCAGACTCGTGGACAAGAACATGGCCCAGAAAACAGCCTTCTTGTACTTTACCAGGGCTCGCCAGATCGTAAGCCGGCCATCGGCCTCAGCTGACTGCCGGGCCTGAACAACGAGCTCCTGTACGTGAGGATCATTGATGTTGATATCTTTGAGCTCATTCTCAGTCGGCACAAGACGGTTGTCCTTGGGCTCCTCCATGATGAAAGGGATCAGGTGTGTTAACAAATTTAAGAAGACCATATAATGCTGACTCAAGATTGGAGCAACACTGAGATGTTTGACGCCCAAGTCATTAGGTGGTAGTGGAATGTGCGGTCGATCTTTATAAGACGTGTGTCCTTCTGGAAGTGTCTCTTTGATCCCCAAACGAACCCCATGCAAGTGCTCGATGGCTGTGAATAGTGCAGTGTGAGCCCCATGGGGCCGAGTTGTCCGATTTGAAGGGATTATCATGTGGGGGTGGAGACAAGTAACATATTCACGGGGGAAGTGATGAACGCTAGAGAGATCCGAAGGCTCTTGGAGTCACCACCATGGGACACGAGGAGCTATTCCTGTAAGAAGAAGCGCTGGATATGTTGGGCCACCCAATAAACAGTTTCCTAACCCGCTTAGACCAAAAGCCAATCCACAAGCGCTCCAATCACCTCCTCCTTCCCCGCTCCCCGGACCTGGACTTCAGCCCACTCCGCATCGACAGACCCCGCAAACATCGGGAACTCTCTGCTGCACGGCCCTCGCATATGCATGGCTCTTGAAAGTGGCATGATTATGGAAACATCAACTTGATGGGGCTATGGAATCCTGGACGTATCTTGAGACTTAGACAACCAGTAACAGCACAAGGGGCAGAGAACTCGATTCTGCTGCCTATGGTCTTATTCAAGTTCACAGCATGGCTGGTTCCGGAAATGGAAGTGAGCTATCGTCAGCAGACTCGTTTTTCTGCACCCTTTGCCCTAGGAAGTTTCTTCGCCTGGACCATCTCAAGCGTCACGGCCAGACTCACCGTCAGGAAAAGCCTATGAAATGCGACTTCTGCGGCAAACACTTTGCACGCAAGTAAGTCTGCCGCCCCGCCGCAGTTGATAAGTGACTCATCTGACCGTTGACATACAGAGATGCTGCGCAGCGCCACGAACAGTTGCATGCCCGTGAAAGAGGAGGCTCACGCCAACCCACCAAGCTCCGCCGGACCTGCTCAATGTGTGCCAAGTCTAAGATCAAGTGCTCGGGTGGGTTTCCTTGTGGCCACTGCGCCGCTAGAAGCCTTGAGTGTTCATATCAGCATCGTAAGCGGAGGAGTACCGCTTATAGAGTAGAAGACGAGGCATGGTCAAATCCAGACACCACGAGGAACTCGAATTCAGAAGGTCACGATGCTGAGGGCGACACGGGAATTAGAGAACAGAATAGCGATGCTGTTGCGTGGGATCGGGAGTCTAATGGCCTTGTCCAGAACGAAGTGTCGGAGCAGCATGAGCATCATTGGAACACACCGTTCACACCAGTTGCCATCTCCAATACTCCCGGTGATATGTCTTCTCCCAACGCAACGTTAACAGCGTCGCCAGTACCCGACGCAAGTTCTGGGCCGCCGATTCAAGCTCTCTGCAGTCAGCTGGACGATTCACCCACGGCTACTAACTGGCTGCCTTTCGATTATGCACCAGCGAGCGGCCCGGAACCCAACTACCTGGACTTTGCATCATCCCAGGCGCCCTATGATGGTGATGACTCTGAGGCCATCTCCTCTGAGAGTGTGGACCCTGCAGCTCGGCAAAATGACGAAGTGTCGGCTCTCATAACCTACATGCGTGACAGATCTCCAGCAGGGCCCGTTTCTGGTCTGAATATACCAGCTTCCCTGCCTCAACCCGGACTATACGCAGCGGGAGCTGGATTCAGAGAAAGTCAGGCTGACCGACACTATCTTCAGCGGCAAATAGCTCGCTCTCGGCTTTGTCATTCTGGTGAAAGCCTATCGCAGTCTAGACTCCCCTGGGAGGAGTTGCTACTTAAGGAAGTCCGTCATGGCAAGAAGACATATAAGCAAGCTCTTCTCCAGATTCCAGAAGCCATCTTTTACGAGGTGAAGCATAAACTGCTTCCACAAGATGGCAGACGACTTTTGTCGAATTCGTTTCTCATTCGGGCGGATATCTTGTTCGATAGAGATACCTTCACCCATCTCATACAGCTTTACTTTGACAATTTCCATCCTCTGTATCCGTTTCTTGATCGCTCCCTTCTTTGCATACCTGTCTGGGGCTGGAGTCTTTGCATCGCAACGGCAGCAATCGGAGCGCGTTATTTGGGCGTTTCCGAGCTGACCACGTATGGCGAAGAGCTATGTGGTGTTCTGCATGAGCTCCTTTTGATAGAGGTTTGTTTTCATTCTAGAGAATATGGCGCCATTGGTTCGTGTAACTAACAGCGAAAGCTTGGTACAGCTCAACTTCGGACGAGTGCAGGATTCGCTTCCATACATCCAAGCCCGGATGCTCGCGGCTGTTGGGATGTGTCAAAGCCAACTGCCCAGCCATATAAAGTGTGGCCATGTGGCGCTGTCTTTGGCTTGCACTTCGTGTCTTCAGCTTCAAGTGCTGGACGAAGACGACGAAATTGGGTCGTACCAGCAAGGCCAAAGCATCGAACAGGTCTGGCTGGCCTGGCGCTTCCGTGAGACGCGAAGAAGAACTGGATTATTCATATGGGTAGGTGTGCCACGAAACAGGGTGGCCATATCTCGGGGTTGCTGATCCTTCTTTAGCTCATGGACAGCTGCCTCGCGTTTGCCACCGAACACCCCCCGAATATGCCTCTGAAGAACCTCCAACTTCGTGTTCCCAGCAAGGACGATTTATGGAAAGCGAACTCCTACCAGGCGTGGCTCAAGATCGTGGGGGAGCGGTTGGAAGACGATGCCACCGTAGACAAATTTCTCGCCGAGGAAGCAAAAAGGCAAACCATCAGGGAAGCAACGGACTTGTTATGGCGCAATCTTTGCGCTCCTGAGTGCGCAACCGAATTCGGAACGACAATCGTCATACATTTCCTCTTGCGTCACAGATGGGCGGCAGATCAGTTTCTGGGCGATCCTTTGGTTCTTGACTACCAAAGCTCTCAGCACTCACAAGTACCAAACCGGAATAGATATCTGGGCGCAGTGCCAGAGTACGCCAAATGGCGCAACTACACTTGTGATTGCCTGGATGCCCTTCACTTCAAGTCCTCAGGCCTTTCCGTATGTCAGGGTGGCTTTGAAAACTCAGTGTTTCTACATTTGCACATGTCCCGTCTGGTAATTCTTGTGCCTGTCGCAGAACTTCTCGAATACGCTCACGAGAACATCAGCAAGAGCTCGAACCAATTTCTTCCCCACCATCTATACCGCCGTACTAGGCCGAATACCAAGTGGCGGCACGCCATACTTACGTGGGTGAATCAGGATCGTTACAAGGCACGGCTTGCTATGATACATGCAGGAGCCTTGTTCTGGCACGTTAGACGATACTCCTCCCATGCGGTAGTCGAACCTTTTGCCGTTTTTCTTGCATCGCTCGTCCTTTGGGCATTTGTGTCATCGCGCGGTCCTGATCTACCGAGAGATAGTCCGAGCGGCGACGATGACAATATCAGTGATCGTTTCGAGGAGACAGGCCTACCAGCAGCTCACGCCGCGCCCAAACATACGCGTCGCATGCCTAGCACTATACAGATCGATCGGCCCGTGGACGACGAGCTTGTGCAGCACTTTATTCGCTCAGGAGACCACATGCGGATATCACTGGAGGGTATAAATGATATATGCTCAAAGCAGGGTCCCGTGCAAATCCTACGCGAGGCTGTTGGAATACTGCTGGAGCACAGCTCAGTGTGGACAATCTCGGAGAGCTATGCGAACTATCTCAGCGCCATCGCATGTGAGTTGGAGAAAGAAGAACAAATTGTATAAGCTACGAAAGGAATACATAGTCAACAAAAGTACATTAACATGGCCTTTTTAATGTTTCCTCAACTGTTCTGGTGTCATGGCTCATACAGCCTAAACTTAAATCATGTACTGTATGCTCGTTAGCACAACTTTAGTATTGTTAGACATATTTGTGACTGAAATTTCGGATCTGAGGAAGGGAGTGCCTTGAATAAAACCAACTTTGCTGCTATACTCAGGCTAGAAGATCTCGGTTTGCTCATCCTTGAAACCCTGATGGCTGTTGTATTGATGTTGGCACTAGGTATCAAAGGATTTGGACCTCACACAAGTTGCATTGGGACTCGATACCAAGCCTGACAATGCAATGTATTAAACTCGTTAGGAAAAGTTCCGGGCACCCAAGCTACGGCTGACACCGGTTGGCCCGATGCCGGACTCTTTGAACTCGCTCCTCCACACCAAAATCCGTAAGCGCCAACCCACCCCCACTGAATAATCCCGACAGCATGTGAACAGTAGTATTGGCTGTGTTCAAGAAGAGGATCCCATTGAGACTACTACTTCACACATGGAAATTGCCTTAAATCGATAGAGTACGGGGTGCTGCGAGATAGTCCATACTGTGATAGTACACGGAAGAGAAAGGGCATCAGATTTAACAACAATGAAGCTGCTAGGGCCCGGAATAACTCAACGCAGTAAATGGTGATAGTACATAATACTTATAAATTCACGGCTGTAAGAAGCCTAACGGCCGAATTACCTGGGCAAAAGTCAGGCATGTCGCATTCCTACTAGACTAATAGCTCCAAGTACGCTATTTATTTACTTTGCCCCGATCTCAAACGCGTATGCAGTCACATCATCCTGAGGATAAACTGGGAACGTAGCTGAGTTCCCAGTGTAGTTTTGCTGGCCCCATCCATGATCTACAGGAGCATTGACCTCCCCGAAACGGCCGTTGGGAAATGGGAAGGCCCAAATCTTGATGTCCAAAGTTCCCGACTCGGGCAGTCCAAGGCATGAAATATCATTGACCTTGATGAAAGCCGTGTCTGAGACAGAACGAGAACCAAATAGAATTTTCGCGTGCCCGTTGTTGACGGTTGCATACGCGTCGACAGTGCGATCCGAGGATGCTGTGGTAGCAACACGATTGCCGGTCATGTTGCGGTTGTAGTACTTGTAGACCTGGTATTCTCCGGTGGGATAGTAGCCACCGGCCTCTGGGTCGTAGTTGTCATTATCCGCGTTTGGCTTTGAAATAAGGCCTCCGAAAAGATCAAAGACCTGCGCAGCAGATACCCAAACCCCCCTCAGACCACGTGCGTTGACCCTCTCTAGCTGGGCGATCCACCAAGCAGTGAACACGGGCGTTTGCTCGGGAGCAGTAGCATATTCGTTGATGTTGACAGGCCTTCTTGGGAGATCATAGGTATCCAGCACAGCATATAGATCTTCAGTTGTTGTCTCCATATCGCCATAGCCAAGCTCCATATGCCAAACCCATTCATCAGGAATGCTGTTATTGCTCTTGACGTAGGCTGCGAACTTTGTCCACCAGGTATTGTCGAGGCCTGGATAGTATGCAGTCGATGGTCCCAGAAGAGGTACCTCGGGTAATTCCTTTCTGTGTGGGATTCGCGGTGAGCAAACGATCACTATTGCATTCTTCTATAACGAGGGGCTACTTACCGAAGGCGTGCATATCCCCAGCCCCACATATCCAGAAATTGCTCCTGAGTTCGATTCCAGAAGACAGTGCCATAGTCAGGCTCGTTCCAGATATCGATGGTTAGACCAGTGGTGGGACCATTGCTCTTGATATCGGAAATGACTTTGGTTAAGAATGCGTCATAGTCAGACCAATCGCCATCATCCCCGGGATACTTTGAATCAGCCGCCTGACCAGCGTCGTCGCCCCAAATATCTGCAATGAGTAGATTGAAGTTTGCGCCATACTTCTGGCATGTTTTGAGGTTAGAGATGGCAGAGTCCATCCGGATCTGGTCGGATTATTAGCATCTATATAATCGAGGAGACGTGATTGAACTCTACCTGGTAGTCTTCCAAGCCGGTGATCCAGCCTCTGCCACCGTTTCCATCGGGGAGATGAGTTCCTCCGGCCCTCAGGTAATTGAAACCCATATCCTCGTAGAAATGATCCGGTATCTGATCCTGTTGAACAGGCACGCCATACAGAAGCCCCGATGCTAGATGCTTGGGACTTCCTGTACTACTCCCTAGGTTTACCACCGCGACTTGGGTATTCTGCAGAATGGCTGGATGTGCGGAGACAACGGCGGCCCGGAAAAGAATGTTGACAAGCATGGTTGAGTGCATTGAAGTTTATTTGGAAACGAAAAGAGTTTATGTTGATTGAAATCGATGAAGAAGAAGTATGATTTAGGTAAGCTGGCTAAATAGGCTTTGTATAATTTATAGCAACGTAAACATGAGTTGCTGCACGAAACCGTGGAACAAGCATGTGCGGATGACACATCTAGACGAGGACGGAACACTCCGAGGTCGTCAAGGCAGACAGAACTTTGTCGCTGAATTGGTCGATCTCGGATTTATGTAGTGGGGGAAACGGAATTATAGATTGCAAGTATGACCCCAGTCGCTCAAGATGATATTATGAAGCCCGAAGGAACTCCAAGTACCCCATATTACCCCGCGGGCAACCTTAACTGCAGATCCCCATCCTACAGACGGCTCTTGTTTGGCCAAAGCTCGTATGGGAAGTGTATAAGATGTTTACAGATTTAAGCGCTCTTTGCTTATTCGACCGCTTGTTGCTCTTGGAATATGATGGATATATCCATGTCATGCTGTGATCTTCACAACCGGACCAACACGAGGCCCCAGTCCCCATACCTTTTGCTCTTGTGTAGCACCCCATAGGTCAAAGCCGTGAACCAATCCATTTTGAAAACCACGCGCACCAGTCAGCTTTCGTCAAACTGGTCATCGGCCATTGCTGTCGGCTGTCTTAGGTTTTCGCACCTCACTTGTATCATATCACCACGTCTGTTCTAACAAGTCCACCGAAGTGGCATGCATTTAGTGCCAGGAAGGGCTTATTAGAATGACGAAATTCATCAAGTCACTGTAACCCTTCTTAGAATAGAAATGCGGTCATCTGTCTATATAAGACGTGTCATCCTATTTAGTCTGTTGCGATGTCGGGTCTGGCATCTCCCTTTGCGTTGTAACTTAGCACAACTCTTTTGCTCCTGAGACATATCAAAACCGGACTAGAGTCACAGTTCATTAAGCCCATAAGTCAAATATAACTGCCCAATATGAGACACTCATGGCTTTATTCAGTCTGTATTGGCCTCTTTTTTCTCGTTTCCTCGGCATTTTCTCGAGACGACCTGGGCATCGGAAATGGAACCTTTGATCTTACTATCGCCAACTTTGACTTATCGATTGCCCGTGACGCACAGGTTCTAGTGTCTCTTCGACCGAGCGGAGACAGCTTCGATTTCCTGCCGTTTGACAAACTACAGGATCGAGCCTTCAACGGCCAGTATCACTGGGGAGACCTTACGTATCGCTACCGCGTTCAAGGCGAGGCAAATTGGGTGGATGGTGATACCGCCCAGAATAGAAAAGCTCTTACAGAGAGCAAGCACGCGAACGATGTTTTGAAAGCATCTGGCCTGTCGCCAACTCTTCCGAACGGGCCCCTCCAGATAATCCGAGAATGGATGGACGTGGACGGAGATCTCGGTTTACGGTTTACCGTCCGCAACACGGGAGAGTCTAGCGTTGAGATCGGCAGTCTCGGCTTCCCGGCGACTTTCAACAATATTTTCACTGGACGCACCCCGGAAGATGCTCAAAAACTGTGTTCGTTGTCTCAGCCATACATCGGGATGGATGCTGGGCAAATACGCGTCACCCCAATCCGGGGCGATGGGACGACTCTCGTGGTGACTCCACTAATCAATACTACATCATCGTTTGAGGCATATCGATTCCTTTCGGAGCCATATTTCGACTCGACCCGATACCAAACTCACGAATATGAAGGCAACTACGAATGGCAAGTGTTGACAAAAGCCTGGGCTGAGAAGGAGTGGGCCGATCAAGACCCTTGGAATAGCCCCTCTTCCATGATAATCAAGGCGGGGGAAGAGGCACGCTTCGGGCTTCGGTTTTCTCTTTCGCTTCAAGGCGTAAGAGGTTTCGATAAAGCTGTTCGCAAGACTGGTATGCCTGTTGCTAAGAGCGTACCAGGCTATATCCTGCCGAGGGATCTTCCAGGAAAGCTCTTTATTCAGTCTGATTCCGAGATTGTTTCTATCATCGCCGATCCCGAAAACGCATTGAGTGTGACAAGGGATGGTCTTCACGAATATAGCATTACACCTTCGGACTCTGCGTGGGGGAGAGCAAGGGTGCAGCTTGAATACCGAGACGGCAAGACCCAGACAATACACTACTACATTGTTAAGGCCACAGTCGACGCCATTTCGGATATGGGGAGCTTCCTGACCAAAAACGCATTGTTCAATGACTCCTCTGATCCGTTCTTGAGGTCGCCCTCAATTATGAATTACGACCATGAGGAAGGGCATATCCTAGACCAAGAACCGAGAGTCTACCTCTCCGGACTCAGTGATGAAGCTGGCACGGGGGCGTACTTGGCAGCCTTCATGAAACAGATTATCCAACCCAATATGGCTGAGCTAGAAGTTCTCAATGCCTTTGTCGACGAAGTCATGTCAACAAATTTGCAACGCGAAGACAACGCTATCAGGAAGTCACTCTTTTTCTATGAACCAGATAAACTTCCACAGTATAAATACGAAGAGGCTGACTGGAGCCAGTGGGGATCGTGGAACAAAGAAGCGTCATACCTTGTCGACCGGGCCTATAACTACGTACATCCAGCTGCGGCGTACTGGGCACTCTATCGTGTTTCGAGGTCTTATTCGGATGTAACCACTCATGACTGGGACTGGTACTTGAAAAGAGCTCATCAAACCATTATGCGTTCTATCAAGAATGATGTCCTCTATAACGACCTTGGTCTGATGGGTGAAACGGTATGGGGTGAGATTCTATTGGACCTACAGCGCGAAGGTCTTGATATAGAGGCAAGAGAGCTAGAGGAAGCCATGAGGAATAGGTCGAGTCACTGGAATGCTGTTTCTTACCCATATGGGAGTGAAGCACCGTGGGACTCGACAGGCCAGGAAGGAGTATATTATTGGGCCAAGTAATCACTGCATTGACACACCTTATTGATTTTCGAGCTGACACTTGCACAGGTATTTTGGACTTTCGACCCTTACAGAGAAAACTGTCAACAGTGTCCTGGGCTTCATGCCCAGCATCCCGCACTGGGCATGGCATGGGAATGCCCATCGATATTGGGACTTCTCGTACGCCTCTCCCTAACGCCGGAGTCATTGTGACCTGGAACAGCGACTAATCTCTAAATTTAGAATCGCTGCCAAAATAAAGACCTTTGAGCGTCAAGTTCACCATTATGCCTCCGCTCTCAACGCTCAAGTCTTACTGAGTGCTTTCAGGGACGACCCTTCTGATACGTACCTCCTTGACATCGGCCACGGCGGTAGCTTTGCACCGCTCTCCAATATTCATCAAGATGGATTCCCCAGCGCAGCGTTCCATTCTTTCCCCGAGCTGCTGACATGGGATTCATACCTCAGTGATTATGGTCAGGGTTTCTTGGGCCTATCGCTTGCGGCTGGGACTTATATCGCTGAGGACCAAGATATAGGCCTTGTGGCTTACGGGGGTATTCTGAACAGAGCTCAAGGGACAGTATCGGTTGAACCCCGCGACCCTTCTAGAAAGAGGATTTTTATCGGTCCTCTGAAAACAATGATTACCATTGAGACGGGTATTATCGAGAAGCTTGTATACGACGAGTCTGGTCGTTCCATTTCGTTCACAATTTCTCAACTACCCGATGCTCCTAGTGCCAAAGATACCATTATGCGCATAGATTTTGTGTCTGGAAGCAATTGGGAATTGCGGGATACGAGTACTGAAAAGGCTCGGGGAGGTTGGAAAGTTCCATTGCTAAAGTCGGAATCAGTGCAGGTGGAGCTCTATCGGGAATAGAAGAAGATCGTGCTCGCTCCACGTCACTTAATTTGGCACAAGAATACATGTTACTGCGGTATCAAGATAACATGAAATATTGTAAGAAGACTTGAAAGTAGCGCTATGGGCGACGCCGCGTCGAGGTTCAGGATCAGATATAAAGTACTATTGCGAGCTGACTGATCAAGGTATGCTTCCTTACTGCCTACAACTTGAAATCTAAACGGCAGCGGTCATCGACAATGGTTGAGAAGTTTCTCTCTTGCCATAGCTTAGCTATGTTGGCCCTGTGGGGCTTTGTTACCTTCATGTGCTTACCTTCTCTTAATGTGTGATGTAAAGCCATCTATCTGGGCCATTCCAGAGACGGTCTATGGCATAGAGCTTAACCCCGATGCTCGGAATGAAGCGTCCTTTAATTGGCTTCGTTGGCTTACGGTTAGGGCGGCACTTCAGTACCTCGCCAAGTCTCAACAGACAGTTCTTTCTCATAACTGTAGGCATGAACTATCACTCGGGTTTATCATGTGGGGGTTCAGGCTTGAGGGGGACCCTCTTTCCTACAGTGTACTCCAAGTGTGTTCCTACAATCACAGCTCCGGGAATACAAATGTGCTACCTTCCAGCCAGGGGTGGTTCAAAGAACCTCAACTTTCTGATTCACATTGTGGCCACGCTATCTTCGCTACCTACTCGCTATCTTTACACTAGAGAGTGATTTAGTTTCCAGCTTTCGAAGATGCCGCTTCAAGATTTCCCTATTGACAAAGTCGACATAACGTCTGAGTTCTGGGGCTACATCCAAGATCGTTCTAGACTTGTAACAGTCCCTGCTGTGATTGAGGCCCAAAAATCATGGAACCACTGGACCTGTCTCACATGGAAGGAAGGCCACGATGTTAAGCCTCATCAATTCTGGGATAGCGATATTTACAAGATCGTTGAAGCTGCTTGTTACTTCCTCATCAAGCACCCCGATGACAAAATGAGAGCCACGGTCGAGGAGGCTGTCAGCATGATTCAAGAGGCTCAGTATGACGATGGGTACATCAACTCTTTCTATACGGTCAGGGGGATCGATCAGCGCTGGACCAACTTGAGGGATGATCACGAGCTTTACTGCCTCGGGCATCTATTGGAAGCTACTGTTGCGTATGAAATACTCACAAAAAGTGGAAAGCTGCTTGAGGTGGCCAACAAGATATGCGGACATCTCGACTTGATGTTTGGTACCGAGCCGGGAAAGAAGCGTGGATACCCAGGTCATCAAGAGGTCGAGATTGGTCTATTGCGCCTTCACGATTTAACCAAGGATGATCTACCATTAAAGCTAGCCCGGTATTTCATCACTGAGAGAGGCCGGCGCGACGCCAATAATGAGACCTTTTTCGACAAGGAGGCATTTGCCCGTGGAGCAGACCCATACAAGGACATGGGAACGGAGCACAAAGCTTGGTTTCAACACCCCCGGGACTATGCTTATCATCAAGCAGACGAGCCCCTCATCGATTCTAGCGAGGTCAAGGGCCATTCTGTCCGAGCAATGTACTTCTACACCGCAGCTACGGATCTTATTCGACTGTCTCCAGAGAAGGGGGAAAGTGGTCTTATTAAGTCGGCTTTGGATCGGCTATGGAGGGACATGATTGACAAGAAAATATACGTAACAGGAGGCATTGGATCGGTGAGGCAGTGGGAGGGGTTTGGGGAGGCATACTCTCTTCCGGACCTCGAACACGAAGGCTGCTACGTGGAGACATGTGCCACATTTGCGTTGATTAACTGGTGCAACCGTCTGTTAAGGTTGGACCTGAACTCTGAATATGGCGATGTCATGGAGACTGCTCTATACAATGGATTTCTCGGGGCCGTGAATCAAGAAGGCGACGCATTTTACTACCAGAATGTCTTGAGAACACGGAGCGGAGAGCTCAAGGAAAGGAGCAAGTGGTTTGGCGTGGCCTGTTGTCCACCGAATGTCGCAAAGCTCCTGGGGAATCTGGGGTCCTTGATCTACTCTCACGATCCTTCTTCGCATCTGGTGGCTATTCATCAGTATATCACCAGTGAGCTGAAGATTGATGATGACAACATTTCCATCTACCAAAAGTCGAACATGCCTTGGCAGGGGCGAGTCAAAGTCTCAGTTCAGGGATCGGCAAAGCTCGCTCTTCGCATTCCGTCTTGGGCGAATGAATGGACATGCTCAGCTAAAGGACGTATGGAAAAGGGATATTTTTACTGTTCAGCTGAGAACACGGAGATCCATTTAATTTTCCCTGTAGTATTCCGCAAAATTTATTCCCACCCTGCGACCGGCAAGAATGATGTTTGTCTGATGAGAGGACCTCTCGTGTACTGCCTGGAGGACGTCGACAACAAGGAAATTGACATTGACCGTGCTGGCATTATAGACGGTCCTGTGAATGATGGACGGACGATATCGATTTCCGGCCTTGACGGCGTGGTGACCGGCCAGGCCGAGGGCAGGCAGTTGAAGAAAGGTAACCAGAGCCGACTGTATGAGGAGAGCCCCTGGGAATATGAGAGTCGCAAACATGGTTTGATTTCTATCCCTTACTTTCTACGGGCGAATCGAGGTGGGGAGGGAGCGATGCGAGTCTGGGCACCTCGACTGTATAATGTTTCCGAGGATGTCGAACCTGTTCAGAAGAGTTAAAAAAAAAACACCAGATAGCCCATGATATAAGTTTCTTGGTGCTTTGATCAATCTTCAATCCCGACCCATCGTCGACTAAGGAAAACAGTCCGTGTCCGCACTGGTGACAAGAGAGCTTTAGCCGTAATTGCCCGGATAAGAAGCTCACATGAACTGCAACTTGAGCAGTGGCTGCCAGATTTGGGGCCTAGGAGACACCTGTCGGGAGTCTCCATCTAGAGGGTCAGGCTTTGGAGTTCTTGACTACAACTCTTAGTAATGATATTGATGATAGTACCCTAGCTATATCACGTTACATGGGGAAGGTCGGTAGTTAGACCAGTTTCATCCTCACTCCGTCAGCTGTGCCGCCCATTTGCCCCCGCTGGTCCCTTTTCTTAGCGGACTACCTGCAAGAGGGAGCACATTCAGCACGAAATCGAACTTCCGATTCTGTTCCATGGGACCATTTGAATCTCTGCTTGTTTGTAAGAAACGTATGATTGTCTAGATCTATGAACGGCGAAGCCGGAAACATTTATAAAGATCAGACGAACGCAGTGCTTTGCGCCTGTTGCTAGGTGAGATATCAAGCCACAGCACAAGCCAATATTTTTGCACCGACCACTAAGGAATTCCACACGAAAACATGATGTTTCTTAAATTTGCTCTCCTTTGTTTATCTGCAACAAGCGCCGTTGTGTCGGCAGTTGCCGTGAAGCGAGCCCCTGGTGGAGTTGTCAAGAAAGCTGGCGAGCCTGTTGTCATCGACCCCAAGGGCGACTATCTCCGTGTCAGCTTCATGAACGACGGCAGCCTCATCGGGGGATATACCGCCATACAAGACAACGGGGAGAATGTTCTGAAGACTGTTCGCTCGGTTGACGGGGGTGCTTCGTGGCAATACCTCGGTGAAGTCTTCCGTGGACCGCGCGCTAAGCATGATATCAACAACGCAATGCCCCTGCAGCTGCCGAATGGGCGGGTCCTGTATGCCTACCGAAACCATGACCGTACAGGGGATGACCTCCACTACACTTACTTCCGCATATCCATTTCATATTCAGACGATGGTGGCGTGACCTTCAAATACCTCTCAACCGTGGAGGAGAAGGTCCCAGTTGCCAATACGGCCAGTGGCCTATGGGAGCCCTTCCTCCGTCTGGCTAGGGATGGAACTCTCCAGTGCTACTACTCAGCTGAGAACAATGGCGGAGACCAGGACGGTTTTATGAAGTATTCTAAAGATGGAGGTGCCACCTGGTCAAACTGGATCGCCGTGTCCGGAGGGGACGTTACCTCGAGAGACGGCATGATTGGTGTGGCACCCATTGACAACGATGGGAACCTAATGTATGTTATCTTGGTTCTTCCCTTTACCTCTTCCCTTTTCTTCGTTGGCTTTCGGCCCGCCAAGTCCCAGGCAAGTTCTAACGGTAACGTCACCATACATAGTGCGGTATTTGAGGAGACCCAGACAGGTTCCTTCCAAGTCTCATACGTCCTCTCCCACGACGATGGTTACACCTGGGGCCAGCGTGGCAAACTCTACACGGCTCGAAACGGAGGCATCGCCGGTGCACCCCAGGTCTACAATGTCTGGGGCACACTGGTGGCAAGCTTCATGACGAATGAGGATAGGGCAGGCACGAGCGGTTATGATGGGGCGCAGATGAAGGTCATCACCAGCACGGATGGCGCCAAGTCGTGGAGCGCTGGCACCGTCACCGGCGAGGTGGCTTCGCACTGGCCGGGCGTTTTCAACGTGGACCCGACACACTTTCTGGCACTCTACTCGAAGGATGGACTTGGTATTGTGACTCAGCGGTATGAGTTGACGAACTAGTCTCGCCGATGGATGAATGTTTTCACGTTTTACTATTGAAGTAGGTAATGTAACCGGAACCGGGCACATGAACGGCCACAGGGCTCACATACTTCCAAGACTCTGATACTGACCAGGTCGTGTTTGTCATAACATTGATTGATATTATAACGACATACTCTTAGCCAGCCATGATTAATCTTAAAGTATGGACATTGAGCAATGATTAGGATTCAGTGCTAGTAAAAACAAACAACAGTAGACAGTCAAGAGAAAGTCAAGACTTTGTTGCACAATTTGTCACTCGTGGCTCATCGATCGTGGAGCCGTAGTGTAGTCAACCTTGGCCAGCACTTCCGCAAATTTAGCCAGGTACTCCCGATTCCTCCTCTCCATATCGCCCATCCCACCTTCTCCTGTTACCTCCTGATCCAAGAATGTCGCTGCAATCTCTCGAATCTTCTTGATCTATTTCATGTTAGTAATGTTCGCATTCAGGAGAAATTTTAGTACTTTCCATCGAGTTGCCATTGGCTTCCAGAACAGCAGGGGCGGATACGTTGACAATACTCAAAAGATCCTGGGCAACAGATTCCCTCATCTTCCAGAGCTGGTCTATGAGTCCACTATTCTGGGGACTCAAGTCCGCCTCCTGGGTGCTGCTAGAGGGCGGGCGTCTCCCTTCTAGCTTACTCATGCACATTTCCAAGGTCAAGGATTGGAGGTAGATGCTAGTGATGTGAATGTTCGCTCTCATGATTTCAAATTGCTCCGCTTTTCGAGGACCCATTAGGTGTGAAAGAGGAGGGCTCCCTGGACTGGGAAGCTTGAGCGAGTCTGGGATTTTCCCCAGAGTTCCCTCGAGCCTAGCCATAACCAGGACGAGCGGATCTAGGATGTGGTCATCGGAGAAGCCGAGCGAACGCTGAGGTTCTTGAGTAGCATCTGCGAATAGGCGGGCGGAGATGGACGAGGATGTGAGTCGGAAATATGACGGGGCCCCCGGAAAGGCTGTGTCAAGTAGATCTACCATGCACGTGAACACATGGATGAGAGCGACAAACCCGGATATAACAGGGGTAGAGGTCGAGATTGCTGCTGGATCTAGAAGCTGTTCGTCGCTCAGCTCGAGCGGCAGTAAAAACTCCCAGCTCGTATGCTTTGGGTCATATGCGAGGCCGGTGTGAGGGACGATATATGACATCCGATCATGTCTGCGCACAAAAAAGTGTAAGCATGAAACAATGTCTAAGGAGGAGGGATATAGTTTACATGTTGATGATGAGAATAAGCCAAAAGCATCTCTTGCACAACTCGGCCTCTATCTTATTGAGCTTTTCATAAGATTCTTCTTTGTATAGCTCCATTTCGCGAAAACAATGGCTTGCCTCGCTGGTGTACGCCCAACCTGCGATTGATCTGCCAGCGTAGTGAGATGCCATGGCAAGAAGGAGCGAAATGATGATTGAGTCCACAGAGGGGCGATCCATCCAGTTGGTTCCCAGGGCTAGGCGGCCAACGAGCACTAGGTTCGATGCTCTATCTACCATCTCGCCTGTATCACTGTAGCTTGTGATGCCGTAAGAATCCAAGGTCCTCGGGATGGACGCTATTGTTGCAGCGCAGACGGCCAAGCAGAGCTGGAAGAATAACTGGTCACGCTCGTAGTCACGCGAAGCTAGCCTTGAGGTGAAGGTTGGTACATGGACATACGGGAGTAACGGGTAGACTCGATGAAGGTAGTCGTCAAGAACGGCCAGGAAGACGGGCTCGGGAAGAAATTGAGCAACCGTGATGCGGCCAATGGGCAGCGGGTTTGGGCTTTGGAGGCCCTGCTGCATGGCCTCAGCTCTTTGTCGAGCTTGTACTACATGTCTTTATGTTGTTTTGTGAGCTCTCAGAGCGGGAACTGTACCGTACAAAGAGGAGACATACCGACTGGGAGGGCCCCGAGGCTTCCGTTCCGTCAGAAACGTGCAAGATACACCAGCTTGCAGGCATCTTCGGCAAGCAGCGGCGGATTCATCTGGAAATGTACACTGATGGATAATCAAAGGTGAGCAAGGTCATCGCTTGTAACGATCGCCATGAGAACGTCTGGCCTACCTGAATGCGGCGATCCCGGCAAAGGTCACAAGCTCGCCGAGCTATCTTGCGACCCCGGCGTGAGTTCTCGGTCATGGGCGGCAGTTATGATATCACAATCCGGCGAGGTGATCTGAAATCCACTTTCGACGTCGCCTTACTCAGTCAGAGGGCTGGCTGCGCGTCTTTACCCGGCCACGGCCTTGTCTCATGGTGTTGATGGTGGAGCTGAAGGGATGAGGAATTGTGGGTTGTAGAAGATGCGTGGGGCCCCTCCTTTTTCATCGAGAGAACTGACTGGGGGCTCAAATTACGACATATATAAATAGGATTAGGCCTAGCGAAGCCTCATTATTGGCAACACTAACCGCAAAGAAACCTTCCGCGTTCAGACACGTGAAATTGGGCAGATGTCTTCTCCCAGCTACCCGAGTACCGAAAGAGACAAACCTACCGCAGACCTGCAGTAACACTCACGGTGCCGTAATGCTTTAGGAACCGGCCCCAGATCACCGTCTTCTCCTCGCCAAATGCCATTGCCACTGGCCAGAGCACTCGCCCAGCCCCGTCCTCCCAGCTCAGAGGCCGCACACCACCAAACAGATTCTCCATCTCCGGCGACGCGCTCATGTACCCCGGGTCTACCGTGTTCATGGCTACACCGTGGCTCCTCCACGCCGGCCCGGCCTCGGTTTCCGTGATCATGTTCAGCGCTGCCTTGGACATGTTAGTATGGACATGTGTGCCCTTCTTGGCCGAGTGATTCCGACTCGCTTCAAAGATACCCTCCCGCGAAGAAACGTTGATTATGTGGCCTGATTGTTGCTCCCTGATTCCGCCGTGAGACATGACTGGCAGAAGTTCTCGGATTAGGATTAGCGGCACAAAAGCATTGACTGCCTGTGCTGTGACGACATCTGCGTAGGGAATTTCAGACATATCTTGCACCCAAGATGACTTCTCGGGCACAGGCTGAATAGCTGAAGCGGAGGTGTTTGCTGGAGGAAGAGCCTCCTGAGTCCTTCCCTCCAGGAAGCCATCCGGCACACCGCCTCCAATACGAGGAGTATATGACGTCGCCGGTAAAGCGGGATGGGTGGGCAAAGACACGTGTAAACTGCTCTCCCTGTGGACAGCTATTGTTTCCTTTGTTTCGCCGTCCGTAAGCGTCTGCGCGGCGTTGTTGATCAGGATGTCGAGCAATGGCTTGGTCGAGTCTCCGGTTGACCAAGCCTCCAGTATGCTCTTCACCTCCGCGGCCAGTGCAAACGCATCGCGCGCAGTACGGAAGTCGGCCCCGACAATACGCAGTCTGTTGTTTATCCAGCTGTCGGAGTCGGGCTGCCTTTGGTACCGAACAAGTGTGTCGTGGGGATATCGAGATGAAACGATGACCCTGGCACCACAACGGAGCAATCTCAAAGCTGTGTAGAACCCTAGATTGACTCTACCTCCAGTGACAAGTGCCGTCTTTCCTCTGAGGTCCAGCATCTCGGGAAGTGACATGCGCGACCCGGCCAAATTGAAGTCGCCACAAGCTTTGCACATGGCCAAGAAGATGGGGTGAAATCCACGCTTATCGGACATGCTATGTCGGCAGATGTAGCAAGATAAACTACGAGGTTTTCTTGGTACAACATCGACGTATCGCTTCACAACACTTGACCACCAGGTGCCTGGCGATGCCTTTACTGTATGTACAGCGCCACCTCTGTGGTTATTTTCGAGAACCTGGTGCACCAATGACTCCCCATCTGAGACTCCTCTGGGGGGGGGCGGTCTCTTCTGAAAATGTCGTTGAATCTTCTCAATGGTGTTCTCATACACAACCTGCTGAAGCTCAACTGCCAGCCCTTGCCTGGGCACAAGATGTGCTGCAATCTGCTGAGCCTGCCTCGATGAGAAGTCGGGCATATGAAAAGCGAGCAGGCTAGGCAAGCAATGATCATCCTGTGCATCGAGTGGCCGGGAAGCTAAATTCAGGTCCTTTTTAAGGTAAATGGCAACCTCAGCGGCCGGTATGGCGTCGGCAAACCGATCATAATCGGATGGCTCAAAGAGCAGTTTTTTCTGGCCTCTCCCTTTTGCTACTCTGTAGATACGAGCAACAGGTTGGCGTAAGTCACCCGCAAGAGCTAGATACTCCTCCGTCATCCACTTGACTACTAAGAGAAAGGACTTAAGCCATTCTAATTCAGCGATAGGAGTTGGCCTAACAGTGTCTTTGTCGTAATACACAATTAGTTCCATGTGCTTGGCGTCATCCTTGCTGCCTCGAAATCTTGGATACTGCTTTCCGTCGCCAGAATGTTCATGAATAAAATCCAAGCCCGCACTGGCCCGATTCACGTCTGCAGCCAGCGTGCGCGGGATCTCTAGTCTCTTATCCTGAAGAACAATTATGAAGAGTCTCAAGCACCAATCATACGGTAAAAGGTAGTGATGAGGGAAACTAAAATAACTGGAATCTGAGCCTGGCTTGCGGGATCCAATCGCATCCCTCAGACATCGGTTGGGAATCTGTTTAGCGACAAATCTGAGCTTTTGTGACATATGCCGGACATTCAATGGGGTGTGCGCCAACTGAGGCGCAAATGCCGCCTTCAACATCGTCGGAAACCGCTCATGTAAATCAGCGAGGGACTCCAGCTCTGTGGCCCAGAGGCTTTTCAGCAGCTCCCAAGCTTGATGCAGTGGCTTGACCATCGCCAGGAAGTCTTTCGGGTCCCATTCTCCGCCGTGAATGTCGTATGTTTTGCGAAAACATGCATGAACGTGAAGGTTCCGCTCGTGGTCTGATGATCAAGTATTAGTATAAGAAAAGTGATCTGTGCCCCTACTAAGAGGCGACATACCGGACCCATAACGATCTTTGGGATCCCCTAAGAGCGCAAACACTGCTTTCAAGTAGGCATTAGACGGCACGATTCTTCCCCCATCTTTGTGTTTTACATCCAAGCCTGGGACCAGATTGAACAGGCCTTTGCTCATTTGATCAAGGACCTCAGAGCCCTGGAGTTGGTCAGCGCCTGCTCTCAGCAGCTCGCTTCTCCGCCAGCCATACTCCTGTGACTTCAGCAAGTGCACGTACGATCGCCCAGTTTGCAGCAAGAAGAAGCTCTTACTCGCTTCCCAGATAAGTAAGAGCCTTTTTGTCCTTTCCTCTGACGTGAACACGTGTCTCCAAGCGGGACTCTGAATGAAGATGTAGGCCAGTGGGCTTAGCTGGCCGGTTACTGATAGACTCTCCTGCACCTGAGATGACTCAGAAGGCACTGAAAGGATTTCCAGCGCCTTGTGAAGTGGCAGGTCAGCGATGATGGGTTCGACAAGCTCCGGCGACAGCGCCAGGAGCTGCGTAGCGACGCGCTGCATGCGGAGGGACTTCTGAAAGCTGCGGGATATTGTGTCAGTTGAGATGCCAGACAAAAATTGAGAGGGGACGCGCCACTGGTATTTATTGCTTGCGAGATTAGCAGCGCAGTTGTTGGTCGCAAAAATTACACTTGATTTGGTGTCGTGAGATGCGGCCCAGTTTTCCAGCCACAGTTCCTTGGCCTGGTTTTTCAGCTGGGCAGATAAACAAACAAAAAAGAGGGAAGGAATAATCCTATATGTAGGTCTACCTCGTCTCAATCTCCTTTCTAATGGTTGGTTTTCAGGAATTTTAGCAATGTACACAAGAAATATGTTGTTCCTTTGCTTGGTGTGACCTGGTTCTTTAGACAATATTGTTTCGTAGTGCAAGTGGCTGTGCACAACATGCTCATAATGCAACCAAGAAAGGCATCTTTGTGCTTGAAAGCTCAATTTAATCCTTAAAAAGAACGATATATGTTACTGTGAATTAGTCTATTGATCATTTAATGTTGACCAAATTACGAATTGTAATTTACCTCTAGTTCACTCGGAACTCGCTCCAGGGTAGCGGGGTCCTTATCAGTCATCCGTTTAATGGAAAATGACTGGAAATTTTGGAGGCGAGCACTACATTGATCACAGTAGAGGGCCTCTTAATGAGGGGTCGGTGTTTGACGAGCGCCTGGGCTATCATCTACGGGGAGCTCCGATCTCCGATTGGGAGAGAAGGCTACTAACCCAAGGGTTGAGCAAGCCAGGTGCTGGATTCATGTTCTTTTGTATGTACCATGTTCAAGCTTGATATGCCGAAATTTTATGACGTGCCAATTAGTATTATAATCAGCAATAGCACCTCAACTCCCACACCAATCAGACTACATCTTTTCGTCAAGGGTTGGCAGGTGGAAAGATACGGTACGTCTATCCATTGCTATCTTGTTCCCTAACCAACTTTAATAATAGGAGCTAACGTGTTGCCTACAGTAATACCAATGAGCCACCTAGTTAGATAATTGCCCAATAGTAAAGGAGAAATGACGCTCTCCAGAGCACGTGATACAAATATCAAGGCCAGAAGTCTTCTTGCATTATGGTTCATAAATGCTACGCTCAACAGCTATGGTCGAGGTTGCAAGTATGTCCATACAAGACTTCGCAACACTAAAAACATAATCGCCAGATTCCACTAACCATTTTTGTAATTTCTCATCCCAAATGGCAAAGTCTCTGGTTGCTATCGGTATTTCTACCGCTGAGGACTGACCAGCGTCAAGTGTGACCTTCTTAAAGCCAACAAGGACCTTGACCAAGTCATCTGGAAGCTGTGCATGGCGACCAACATAAGCTTGGACTGCGATACCCCCCTTGACCTTGCCAACATTGGTGACCTTTGCTGTTAGCGTGTATAGATTGTCAAGAGGCTTTTCTATGTTTAGATTGCTAATCTCAAAGCTGGTATATGAGAGTCCAAAGCCAAACGGAAAATTGACCTTTTCGGGAGACAGCCGGTCAAAATGTCGGTATCCAACAAACACGCCTTCCTCATAGTTCACTTGAAATCCATCGGTGGAGTTATAAGTACCGGGGAAGTTCCCATACGCGGGGCAACCCTCAAGACGTTTTGGAAATGTGCACGGCAAGTGTCCCTCAGGATTCTGAGCACCTGTAAGCACATCAACAATTGAGTTGCCTGCCTCTTGGCCAGGGAACCATGTATGGATCAAGCCCTGAACTTGATTTATCCATGGGAGCGCCGTGGCAACACCGGTGCTATTGACGACGACAGTTCGCGGACAGACTGCTGCAACGGCAGCTACTAGCTTGTCTTGGCTGCCCTCTTTGGGAAGATGGAAGCTTGCCTGATCTTGGCCTTCGGTCTCCCATGACGGATCGTTGCCCACAAATATGATGGAATAATCGGACTCTTTCGCAAGATCCACGGCTTCAGATAGCACATCTGCCTCATACTCCACGGAAGACATGTGACCTAAGCGGACACCAACTTGGCCCTCAAGGAAACCAAGATCTTGGACTTTCGTAGATGTGAGGGGAGAGGCGTGAATGTGGATACTGTACTGTTTCCCCTTTTCCATGTGGACCTTCACCAGAGGAACAGGTACGCCCCCAAATAGAAATCCCATGGCATCATTGCAGTTTTCGTTCTGCTGTAGGACTATTTTGTCGTCAATTGATAACTGGGCCACACCCAAACTAGATAACGTGAAGTAGTATGCAGCTGTCTCCCGAGGCCGGAAGATAGCCATGAGATTGACTTCCACGTTTTCTAGAGTGTGCCCATCCAGAAGCGACATCTCCGATTTGTCATACCCATGGATGGTTTCTTTGGGTGTCGGGTTACCGATCTCACAGACATTGTAGGTAAACCCTGGGTTTCCTGTGAGGTCATAAACATTGTCGACTAGGAGTGGAAGCTGGCGAAAGGTATGTGCACCTATTTTTTGTTAGAATTACCACCATCCTATGGAATGGAATGCTTACCTCGGGCGTAGGAGAGTTCAACATCCCACCCTCTTAGCGCCTCCTGCAATGCATCCCAAGGACTAATCCTATAGTGAGGTTTGACCGAGGCGCTTCCACCACCATGTGCCAGGCACTGTTTGGCATACCCAAAAGCGGCAACCTTTTTGCCTCTCAATTTTCCTTTCGTCAGGGGTAGGCATTCATCCTGGTTTTTGAGGAGAACAATACCTTTAGACCCAGCTTCACGAATAAGGGCCGCGTGCTCCGGCTTGTTGATTGCCTCTTCACCTGGATCACTATAGGTTGGTTCATCAAAGCATCTTAGTTGCTTCAAGAAGAGGAGAATGTGGCGTGCCCTCTCATTGATAGTTGCTTCTGTGAGCTCGCCATCTTGCATGGCGGCGAGAACGGCGGGCTTCTTTCTCCAACGCGCAGGGCCAGGCATCTCGAGATCAACACCTGCATTGAGAGACGCAGCTGTTGAATTGATGCCACCCCAGTCACTCATGATCAAGCCGTCCCATTTCCATTCGCCCCGAAGGACTTGCTGAAGTAGAAACAGATTGGAATCGGCGTGGTGGCCGTTGATTTTGTTGTACGATGTCATTATAGCCCATGGATTAGCATTTTTAACTATCATTTCGAAAGGCTTGAGGTATATCTCTCGTAATGGGCGCTCGGCGACAACAGCGTTGACGTTCAACCGTTGCGTTTCCTGCTCATTCGCAGCAAAATGCTTGACTGTGGCAGAAACTCCGGTGGACTGCAATCCAATTACATTTGCAATGCCCATCTGACCACTGAGGAAGGGATCCTCAGAAAAGCTCTCAAAGTTGCGACCACCTAAAGGGTGTCGATGGATGCAGACGGTTGGTGCCAGTAAGCTGCGTGCTCCTTTGGTACGAGCCTCCTCACCTAAGGCAACACCAATCCGGTGGGCAATATCAATGTCAAACGTAGCAGCAACGCTGCAGGCGGCGGGGAAACAAGCTGCGCTTTCACCATCTTTGATCCGGCTTCCTCTGGCTCCATTAGGCCCATCTGTGGTCTGCTAAGGGTTAGCAACCTGAATTACTTCGAGCTTGGGAACATATTGCAGAGCCTACCTTGACGCACGGAATGCCTTTCTCAGGAATGGGTTTGGTCACCCAGGCACTACCACCAGCCAGAAGAGAGATCTAGTGAAATCAACATTAGCGAACTTGGGCAAATGCAAAAGACGTTTCCCGAACAGTCAGCGTACTTTCTCCTCCAAAGTCAGTTTCCCGAGTAGTTCGTCAACTTTGATGTCTCTCATGGTCAAAGATGAAAGTCTGTGAAAAGAGGCAGGTAATTCTGCGGGCATTTCGGTTGCTGTGACGAGTGAATTTGGCCACCTCCTGTTCTTTATGAGGAAGTAGGTTTCGAGAGCATCTAAAGTTGCCCTCTCGTTGGAATTAGTCCGAGAGCCCGGCTGAATCTGTGCCGAACCATTACCCATCCGAAATCGCCAAGGCTTTAGGAGACAATTCTGTCTCTGCAAGCCGGAATCTTCTGGTAGTATTTCATTAAAGTGCACCTCCCCTCAAGGACTGGGATTGTACCACAGTGGGAACAATAAGAGACCTGCTGTACTCGGGGGAAGGCCCCGATATCTACTACCTACTAGGGGTTTACCTTAGAGTCTAAGTGCCAATTTTTATTTCTGACCAATCGCAGGATTTTCGTTTGAGTGCCATGTAGTAAGGAGATCAGCCTCGTCATCCCTGACATAAAAAAAGGGGGTGAGGGTGTGTGCTTATAAAGAGATCGGGCTTATGGGATGCAAGCTCCAACCATACTCACCCTGAGGGAAGCCTAAATTGCATACCGAGGGCCGGTTCCATCGTAGGTCTACCACCGGGTAAAATACAGCGCTGCGTGATTGGTTATATGATTCAGCGGCACAATCGAATATGCCATCTGGTGTTTAGTGAAAGGTGTGCGTAGATACTACGGGTTGAGGAGTCAATAATGTACGGAATGACTGTGAAGGGTCGGAATTATGCCCCTACTCTTGCGCTTCCTCTCGGTTTCGAATCAGTGCGGTATTTCTCTGAGGGCTACGACAGACTGGTGATAGTCTCGGGATATGGAATGTGTCTGATACGAGAGCTTGTTCAAGGTGTTAAACTGGATACGATGGAAGGCAAAGCATATATGGACAATATTGTGTATTTCATAAGCTGATATATTGGATTGTGCACCTTTACACCACCCAAATTTGAGTAATGTAGGCATGCCTCAACCGCATCATCTGTGTGGACAACTTGACTTGGTAGCTTAATAACATAGAAGATATTTCTTACTTGTTGGAGAGGATCTCAAAGAACAGTGACGGATGTTCTTGCAAGATTATAAACAAGACAAAACGTAGTGTTTCTAGCATCCTCTCTCTGAGAAGTGACTCTTACCGAAGGGTAGAATTGCCCCCTCTCGCTGTAGTTGTAGGTGGTTGAGAATTCGACATACTTGTTAGGTTCAAAAATGCCATGAGGCGTAAAATCTCCTGTTCCTAAATAGTCCCATTCAATGGCTATGATCTTGCTTGTACCTGGCGGGACGGAGGCTGAACCCTGTAGAACAACTGAAGAACCATTTTGACCAGTGGAATAATTTGAAGACAATCTCACTGTAGGCTGCACCCCAAAACGTTGAGAGGCATTGGTCGCAGGTATGATTTGGCTTTCTTCGACCACATAGCGTGTTGACGCTGAAGCAGGCACCTCATTTTCGACCCATGTGTGTAAATCACGCAAAGCGTGCTCATACACACCGTTGTAAGGAACCAGCCGGATAGATCGTGTCTTATTAAGAGGTTCCGCGTAGTGATCGGAGCGCTCGTTGTACCAGATTCGATACATGTCGTCGAACCTGTCCCCCAGTGCCTGTCGGACTTGGTTCATGTACCAATCGGCATGCCAAGGGAACGCATCAGAATCTAATAGATTGTCAACCACAATGACTTTCATTGTGATATTTCCGGTGTGTGTTCCTCCGCCGCTAGTCGCAATCGCTGCGTCGTCTGCAGTTCTAACTGCTCTCTGGGGGTAAATTGGCTCCCCTTGCTTGGTCCGAAATTGATCGTACCCATAGAAGCCACTACGTGTAGGAAGCTGATGGCGGTGATAGCTAAGTACAGAAAGATGCCAGCGGTTATCAATGCGCACTTTTCGGCCCTGAGAGATTGCACGAGCAATGGTAGTGTTGCTCACTGGGCTTAGAGCGAGCGAGTTGTCCTCCGATGATAGAACGCCACCTAGGTTCCCGATCGCCATCTTTCCTGTATCATCGTACAGAGTAAACTCAAATCCTGCGGTAAGTTCTGAGGGAATCTTGTCGAGAAATAGGGTTGTGGGGAGGTTTTCGCTGTCATATTCGACTCGCTCAATGGTAGCAAAGATATCGACCAATGCTGCCCGAAATAATGAGCCGAGTTCTGATGGGTCGTTTCCCAGGTACCCTGGCTTAGTCCAAAAATCGTCTGCATAGGTAGGGTCTGCCTCCTTTATAGCTGGCTCGAAAATAGCGAGTGTATTCTCAGAGTTGGCAGGCTCTAGAAAGTCCTCCCATGCTTGTAGAGGAACCCCAAGATTGGTGACTTCCTTGAGCACTGCGCGACCAGCCTGGCCTAATTCCAAAAATGGGTCCCCACTGCCGCCAGGACGAAGAGCGGCTTCTATCTGGATGGCATTCTTTCGCAGAATCAAGTTTCCAAGAGCACGAGCACAGAGGTTGAGCGGGACTGATCCTGGTATGGCCTGTACAATCGCGGACGCACCATCCCACACCCCGTGTGTGTTTTCAGCGGCGCCTATTGTTTGGTAGGAGCCACCACTCCCTCCGTAGATATATCCATAAATTCTGCTTGACCCAGTATCATCGTAGTACTCCCTTGCAACCGTCTTGGCAAATTTGGCTGTGGCCGCATCGGCTCGGTAGCCCAATTGACCTGCGACTTGCACAGTGTAGGCTCCAGATGCAGCCCCGAAAGCAATGACTTCTGGTAACGCGGTGGAATTCTGGGTGGGATAAACGCTCTGGAAAAATCGGTTCTCCCACTGGTTCTTGAGAGGAAGGTAAATATTGAAGTCAACTGAGGTACCGTTCCAGTGACCCGAAACCAATCGGTGAGGCACAGGGTCAAATCTGTCAGCCTCCAGGGCTATGATTGGAGTATTGAACAAGGGATCAGTGCAGCTAGCTGTGATGATCATAGGGCCAGCCGTGCCTTTGGATATACACTGCTCGGCAACAACACACCGTAAGGCCGATACAGCTGTCAAGGCCATGAAAAGAGGCCTAGGTGCAAAATGTTAGCATAGATCTATTACTGGAGTAAAGTTTGTCCCATGCACATTTCGTTGGCATAAAACGAATAACTACATGAACCAACTCAAAGATAGAGCGACTTACCAGCGATGCATTTTGCCTGCGTCCACCATGGGTTGAAATGTATCCGGGTAGAAGAACTAGTTCTACTAGACTCCCTTTCTGACTTGTTGCTATCACAATTTGATAGTAAATACAGCTCTTGGTTGTGTCTACAGATTTATGAACGCGTCAGGCTCTCCATTTATAGTATTCTTTTCACTACATGTACCCTGCACGTACAACCACCACTCAACGTCCAGACAAATTCTTACCGTGTGTCAGAGTCATGAGTCTGTCAATCCGCTTGCCTTAGATAGCCTCGGGTTTATTCTATCCGGACAGCTATGATATTGTCCTCACTGTCCTTTTGAGATGACTGTATGTTGTGATTTTTGACTGGGTTAGGAACGAGTGTCGTCGAAAACTTGCCGTGCCTCCTTTTCCCCACACCCCGCCATCAGATTCATGGGGTTAAGCTGACCTGGTTGACTCCAGGTCCACTGAGGGGTCACATGGATTTTGGGGGTCTGGCTTAATTCATGTTCTACGACACACCCCCTAGCTGAATTGTATAACAACAAGGTTCAACTTGAGCTAACGTGAAGGTCCCTGTGTATATCGGCCCTCCCCCGACCCCATGTCTCGCTTCATGGTGGCCCGCTTTACCTCGGCTCTGTACAGGTATTAAGGCAAGCAGGCTTGGTTGTCTGCTTCCTCAACGGATATTGGCTGGGATTATCCACCCCGAAAGAAGGCTTGCTGCCCCATTCCCCTCACCAGGTTTCGTTTATTAATCTCCCGAGCCTTGAGACTCACACACATGTATACATCCACCTCCTCGTATTCCCTCTTCACTGACTGTATTCTGTTCACTCCGAGAATGGATACCCATGACAGGAGCATCCTTCGCACGGCATTACCGCTGGCTCCTTTGGACCGTTCCTGTGAGCGTAGTCAAGATGAGCTCCCCCCAGCAAGCTTGACTGTGCGTAAGCGGGGCAAACGGTACCATCGCAAGTCGCGAGGGGGTTGCCTCACATGTAAGAGGCGTAGAGTCAAGGTCTTTCTGCCCCACGCTAGCAGTTTTGTTTCCTTACTAACGGTGTCTAGTGTGACGAGGACCGCCCTCTCTGCAACCGGTGCGCTGCATTCGGTGTCCCTTGTATCTATGCCGACAAAAATGAACTTCAAGGGGCTACAGATGCGCCACTGGCAATCAATGAAGCACAGGGTCACATGGCCATACAGCCCGCATCATTGCCTCGAAGACCTGGCCGACCACGCAAGGATTGGACGGCCACTCCGGGTCACTGCCTGGCTAGCATGCTGCCTCCCGGGCCCTTAGACTTTGGACCCGTCCCTGACACCACTCTGCCATCGAGCGTTCGGAAAATCTGGCTAAAATCACAAGCTGAACTGTTCTACCACTTCACACACTACACTAGCTCTACTCTCGTAGATAGCGACAACCTCAACCATCCTGTGGTTCAGTTTTGGCAGAACAACTCTATCCGACTCGGCTTATCGCATCCTCACCTTTCGCATTTGATTATGTCACTTGCCGGATTTCACTTAAGCCATCTTCATAGCAGCGGTGGACAACAAGGGAGACAGTATCTGGCCTTAGGTCAAGCTCATCTGTCAATGGGCATAACTGGGCTGAACCGAGCGCTCCCGACAGTGAATACAGCAGACTGTGGGGGTGTTCTTGTATCGTCAATACTTATATTCTTTTGTACAGCCGCCACGGGGCCTACGGGGAGCAACGATATACTCCTCTGTGAATTATACAATGAGAATCATAAAGGTATGGCATCCCTAGTGCAGGGCACCCGGCGCATTAGTGAGCTATTTGAACCCAGCTCTCTGTACACCGGACTGACAGAGCCCCTTACCCCGGCTATTGCTGGTTCTCTCGACGACCCGCGGCCAACATGTGATTGTAAAGGCACCCCGAGAGTGGACTGGCTTGGTCCACTAAATGAGCTTCGCCGTCTAATTGCTTCCGATCAATCACCAAACTCCTCTACATACCTCCATGCCTTCAATATTGTTGTATCTATTTACGAGGCATTATACGGTTCTGAGGAGGGTATTATGCGGTGCCCCACCTACTTCAAGGTGGTCCCTATCTTTTTGTATCTAATAGATGACGACTATTTGGCCTGTTTGAGAAATGGGGAGACACTGGCGCTGCTAATCATCAGCTATTATGCGCCGCTACTTGAGTTGGGTGATATTGGTTGGCACTTCCAGGGCTGGGCAGATCATATACTTCAGAGTGTTCAGAGACAAATCCAGGAGGATTATACCTATTTACTGAGTTGGCCTATGAAGATAGTAAGGCGGGAACTCACATCTCTGTCAACTGAAAGCAGATAACATAATACTCTAACTTAGCACATTTTAAAACCTCTTTAGCAAGACCGGCTATGGCCGATTCATCCGGCCGTCTGGGAGTCAATGTTGGATATCGGGGATACAAACACCCCGGATATTCTTTATTTCGGCTTATTATCATAATGTTAGGCTCTGGAGGAGGGGGAAATGGCCAGAAAGAATTTGGGCCACTACACACAAGGAACTCATCTGCCTCTTTGCTCTGTATGACATAGCTCAGACAGGATTAGCCAATCACATATTTTTCGTTTGGAAGAAAGGACCTGCATCATAATGAGCCGTTCGGGTGGAGATGATCTTCATGAAATTCCCCCACTTTCAGTACACTACTGCCACACCCTTAAACCATGCCACGAAGCATTGCTAATAGCATCTCTTGGCGCTCTAGCCAAGCTTACTGTAATGCGCTTAGGACACTGGTAATTCTCGCCCTGTATGAGTTGAGATACTATTGCTAATAAGGGTAACTGTTGTTGTTTCGCCCCAATGTAGCCGGCAAAAAATTGTTGTTGTCTTTGGCCCACCAGGTGTAAACTGCTATGGCTCAAATAGAACGCTTCGGCGACCACCTTATTCACAGTCGTGCGAATCGAACTATCAATTCTCGCTAAATCATGGCCGCGATCAAGCATCAACATTCGCGAAATGCGAAAGCCATGTTTACTAACCCAGTAATCTGGGAAGACTTACCAGATATGGAGATCATCCGCATCGGTGGCAAATATTTTATGAGTGCCTCATCCTTTGCGTTCTCCCCAGGGGCACCAATTCTTGAATCAAACAACTTGGTTGACTGGAAATACATTGGCCATTCAGTTCCAGATCTTTCATTATTTGGTGAAAGATTCCGTCTCGATGGCCAGCACGCTGGAGCTTATGGGAAGGGGGTGTGGGCATCGACTTTGAAGTATCGCAAAAGCAATGGGCTCTTTTACTGGTATGGGGCTATTCAGGGTACAGAGAGGACATTCCCTTTCATAGCCAGAAGCCCAGCCGGCCCATGGGATGCATTGCCGCCCTTGGACAAGTTCTACTATGATCTCGGTCTGCTGATTGATGTCGACGATACGTTTTACCTTGCCTACGGGACAAAGGATATTTGCGTCGCTCGACTGAGCGCTGACGGTCTTAAGGAAGTCGAAAGCAGAGTAAGAAGTGAGAGTGATAGTTCAATACGACAGAAACTGACGTAAAACTCCTAGGTAGTATACACTTCCGACGAGTATCTCGAAGGAGCGCGGATGTACAACATCAATGGCTCGTACTATATATGGCTCACGAGGCCTTACGCGGGCCAATATGTCCTGAAGTCCTCCCAAGGACCGTTCGGGCCCTATGAGTGCCGACAAGTGATTGGCGAAATTTTGTCGCCTATACCAGGCTCCGGGTATCCTCATCAAGGAGCGCTCGTCGACACCCCCAAAAGCGGGTGGTTTTACATGGCATTCATGGATGGCTACCCCGGGGGGCGAGTTCCAGTTCTCGCACCTGTAGCCTTCACGGAAGATGGTTGGCCTGAAGTGGAAGCTGACTACTCAACTGACCCTGGCGGGTGGAAGCTCGAATACCCGCGGATGATCGAAGATTCAGGTGATGAAATGCCGGGGGGCTGCTTCAGGCGACATTTGTTTGCAGACCGGACATTGGACCATTGTTGGGAATGGAATCACAGTCCTGATAACTCTAAATGGAGTGTCCGAAGTGGTGGTTTGATCCTCAAGGCTGGGACGGTCACCAACAGCCTATACCTTGCCACCAACACACTCACTCATCGCACTATCGGCCCAAAGAGCATGGCTACGTTCTGCATTGAGGTATCACAACTGGCTGATGGAGATAGGAGCGGCGTCAGCATGTTTCGTGACAAGAGTGCGTACATAGGTATTCACAGGGATGCTGGTGTGACGAGGTTGGTATATGTCGAGGACTTGACAATCTCTCCAATTACCACACCCACCGGCTGGATGAATGGTCATCCAGTTGCTCTTGATTGGTCGGTAAAGGAAAACGGCTGTGTCAAGGCTGAGGCATCACTGGGCCAAAGCCGTGTTTGGTTGAGAGTCAAAGCTGACATCACACCCGCATTTTCCCACGGGTACGAGAAGCAGACGAGGTACGCCACTTTCGAGTATAGTTACGATGGAGATAGATTCTCTCAGCTTGGACCTGGTTTTGCTCTGACTAATGAGCCAACGGGTTACGTTGGGTATCGATTTGGATTATTTAACTTTGCGACGAGGGCCTTAGGCGGGCAACTATTTGTCGAGCAGTGCGAGATTAGTCCTTGCACCATAGAGGCGCTTTAACATATCGAAGTGGTAGAATGAATAAAGACTTTTATTCCGCGATAAGGTATCATGTCAGCGGCTACAAAGGTTACAGCGAAGTGTTTGGTGGCTACAGAGATTTAACGAAGCGCCGCTTCGAATGAATTTTGAGAAAAGTTAGTCCTACACAATACTTGGGGGGGATATGCCAAAGTGAAAGACACCTGACAGCAAAATCTAGAGGGGCACTGGATGCTTGAAGACAGTGTGGGAAGTTGTTGGGCACATAGCCACATAATATACAGGGCTACCACGTTCTTGGTAGAACTTACAAGAGTCAGAAGAGTTGTTGGTCAACCAATTGCTTTGTTCAACCTAATGCATTTGGAATGGGCTTACTGTTGCTTCAATCTAAACCCGCACATAACCGTCCTTGTAGTCCACCCTCGTTTAGCCTAGAACCCCAAAGGTTTAGACAATACACCGAGCTGAGGTTAGTGCCGGACCATCTCTGTCCGGCTGGTAGGTATTAAGTAGCCAACACAGCTTGAGCAGGGGGCCCTGGGGTGTGGTAGGAACAAATAGGGGAGGGGTGAATTACGTTGATATCGGTTAACTTGAGGCTTCCATTCGTTGGTCAACTGAACAAGAGAGCCTAATTAGGGCCTTGCAGGCAATCACTTTTCTTCCTTGATGCTTGCCCGAATCACTAACAGGGAAGTGCTAGGTTCCGTTCGCCACACTTCCTAGTCGCTCGGGTGTTATGAATCTAGCCCTCGCAAGCTCTTCCACTCCCTCGGCCCTCCCCCGAGACTTTTCTAGTCGTGACTTTCTGCAAGGCTAGGCTTAGGCAAACAATATTGATATCTTAGTTTATCCAAACACCTCAGCTCCGCTTACAAGTCAGGTCATGTTCGACTTTAGGATACGCTCATTGGTTCGCATAACAGACCTGTACGTGTACCGATCCAGCCTAAAACTCGATAATTCGCAAGGCCAGCCCTTTCAACTCGACCGGTCAGGCAAATGCAAAATACATACTTGGGAGAGCTAACACCCCACCCCCGCTCCCCCTGGACTTACCCCGGTCCTCCACTCTCATTCTCCAAAAACCGCCAAGACTCTGACTTACATGCGGGGACAACATCACACCGAGGTCATCATCCAGGAGCTGTCAAATCAGGTTCAATAGCGGCCCCTACATATAAAACGTATATAAATTATCGGTCATCGCGAACTGAACTCTCGCTTCGTCTCAGGATAACCCCCAAGCTTCAACCCTTTTCAATATGATGACAAAGACAGCGACAAAGACCAAAGCTACCCTGCCGGCGACGACGACCGAGCACACCGAGGAAATTGAGCAGAATGCGCTGTCTCCCAAGGACATAGTTGCCGATGCCGCCGCCAAAGGCCAGGGAACCACCGGCTATGAAACACTAACCGTGTGGGAAACAGTCAAAGCGTTCAAGATGAATGCACTTTACTGCTTCTTGGTCACCTTTAGTGCTGCCACCGATGGCTATCAGATTGGGTACGTCAGAGTTTGGAATCCGCTTCAAAACGTTGACTAACTGGGTTTCTCTCTTTTGTAGAATGCTCGGTAACATAATTGCCAATCCCGGATTCGTGAAGCAGTTTGGAACTGCGACCGGGGCAGATGGCAAGCCAGCACTTGCGTCTGGAGACATTGGTGGCTGGAATGCCGTGGGTTCTGTAGGTCAAGTTGTTGGAATGGTAACTTTGCCATTCCTATCGGACAGGTTCGGCAGGAAGTTCTCTATGTACTGGTATTGGACTATCCTGGCTCTCGGTGTCATGGTTGAGTGCGTTGCTAGGACCCCACAGGTCTGGTATTTGACCAAGATCCTCGGTGGAATCGGCGTTGGGTGCTTACAGTCGACCATACCCGCCTACGTCTCCGAAGTTGCTCCAGTGCGCTGTCGGGGTGTCTTTCTTATGTTCTACAGTTTGTGGTTCAGCCTGGGACAGTTCTTCGCGCCAGTGGCGCTCCAGGTCATGTCGACATATGCTCCAACGAACTATCTCACCCCAATCTATACGCAGTGGTCCCAAATAGGGCTGATGTTGATTATCATCTTTTTTGTTCCTGAGTCGCCAGCATGGTGTGCCTCAAAAGGACATGCCGAGCGTGGTCGAAACGCGCTTTGCCAACTTTATCGGGGCGTCAAAGACTACAATCCGGATATACAGTATAACCTTCTGGTTCTCAACATTGAACATGAAAGGAATGTTGCCGCAGAGCAAAAGAATGAGCACTGGTGGGCGATCTTCAGAAAGACAGACGGACTGCGGACGCTCATTTCGCTGTGGACTCTGATGTCACAGCCATTCATTGGTCTCGGCCTATTCCTAAGCTATGGTTCCTACTTCTTCCAGCAAGCGGGTATTGATGACCCCTTCCGGGTAACATGCATTACATCAGGTATTGGTTTGGGCATCAGTGTCTTGACCATTTATCTTGCAGATGTTACTGGCCGGCGTTGGATGGCTTGCTATGGCACAACACTTTGCTGGCTTTGCAACGTTGCTGTGGGCATTCTTGGAGTCGTTCACAAGACTCAAACTACGAACATTCTTCTGGTTGTCTTTTCAGTATTTTGGAGTGAGTTATTTTTTATTTCTAACAGTTATACTAGCCGCTAATTTGTATCCCCAAGATGTCGGTCTGGTCGGGAATGGTGCAACAGGATGGGGCTTCATCGGCGAGATCTCCTCACAACGGTTGAGGCCATATACTGCCGGGTTCGCTGCCGCCTCTACATGTGTGATCGGTATCGGAATGGGTATCCTGATTCCATACATGATTAATACCAACGACTGGAACTGGGGTCTCAAAACCTGTTGGTTTTTTGCTGGTACTGGTCTTCCGTTCGTTATTGGGATTTGGTTCTTGATTCCCGAAACAACAGGGTACGTTGAAATCTTACTATGAACTGTGTAACATTCTAATATCTATCCTAGCCGATCTGCAGCTGAGCTTGACGAGCTATTTGAACGAAAAGTGAAGCCATGGAGGTTCAGCAAAACAACCACCGCAACGCAAAACCTGGTCGCAAACGAGTCGCGGGAGGATAGGGCGAAAGTTGTAGAATAAGGCAATACTTCACAACCGCGGGAATACCTAGCCTCGTTGGGGACTACAGGATGCTGAGCAGCATGAATGCATCCGCCAAAGGTTCACTTGTCTAACTCATAACAATTCCCCTTCATGGAAGTTGAAATCGCCCTCGTTCAACTTACTTGCCATTCACATTCAAAACACATATCCTCAGTCCTAGTTGTTTAAAAGATTAATTTTTTGCCTACCGAAGCTACACATGGCCGCAAGAGAAGGAATCATAAATGTCATCCTATCTGCAAGCATTTCTGTTTGCTACATCCATAGTCCAAATTTAATTTCACGTAAATACATGGGCACTTGGCGACGGCTTGTTTTACAGCCAATGATGTAGCAATCTAGATCAAAACAAAATCTGATAGCACATCAAACCAGTCTACGAACTAGGTTGACATTAACCCTGCACGAGTCGCCATGATATCTTATTTTGGTTGCGGTGTTAATTCTTTCTCTCAACCTTTTATCGACGCTGCGATGGAAAATTATTTCATCATCAAGTCCCAATTCAATGGTGTTTTGCCTGGACATGGATGTAGGAAAGTCGCCCGCTTCCAAGTCGTCTCTAACGTGTGCATGCATCTCAACCAAGGAAATAGTTCACCCTCCCAAAAAGTAATCAGAAATACAAGGTATATACAATTCTCATCCTAATTACTGTTGAAGGCCTGTTGTACGGGTCTCGAAGTAAACTAGGGGCCTAGGTCAACTGCTAACCGTACACTGCTTTCATCGCCCGCGTATCCGCTTACTTCAATCGTCACGGACCGGCTGACGAGCTCCCATGACTCCCTTTTCCACCGCTTTAGAGGTCTTGTGGAAACAGGGAAACATACTCTCTTTTTCTCTCTACCATTGAGGTCGATAGTAGAGAATCCAAGCAAATTCCTCGTCGGCCAATCGGCTGCTTCCACAACGCCATAAACCTGGGCGATGAATCGGCCTGCCACATCCCCAGCATTTACAACTAATAAAGAAACCTTCAATTCTTCATTTAGTTCAGAGATTTCAACTTCAAGGTAAGCTGTGGCGAAAGTAGTATAAGAAAGGCCAAATCCAAAGGGATAGGCAGCCGCGACTCCGAGTCGATCAAGTAGATTTTGGCCGAACCATCGGTCGTATTCGATAGATTCCGCGTCGTTGTCGAAATGCGGCAAATGGCTCTCGGTTGTAGGGACCGAGAATGGCAGTCTTCCTGCAAAGTTTTCCTTGCCCACCAATAGGTCGGCCAGGGCATTGCCCCCTTCGCATCCCGAATACCATTTGTACAAGATGGCAGCCGGAAATTCCTTCCATTCTTCGATAATAACTGCACCACCAGATACGATGCAAACCACTGTGGCTGGATTTGCCGTCGATACGGTTTTGATCAATTCCACATCATCAGGCCGTAATCGCATGTGTCTGCGGTCTCCTCCGGCACCAAAGCCGTAGTTGTCTTTGCCCTGGTCCGATTTTCTCGCTACAGGGTTCACCAGCCTGTTGATGATAGTATTTGTCTCAGGAGAACCGTCACTGGGGGGTATGACATGTTTCAAACCTGGCGTTGCATTAAATGCAGGCGCAGTATACTCGCCTTCATCGCGGAAGTCGTATCCTACGACTAAAACCACGACGTCGGCAGCTGCTGCTATACGGCTTGCTTCAACCATGTCGTTTGAATCTCCCAGAATAACTTCGGTGCCAGGGAGAGCGCTCCTAATCCCCTGGTACGCAGTTATAACCTCCGGGCAGCGAACCGCTGATGATCCTTTATCTCCAGTGTTTGTTGAATCGGCCAGCCATCCTAGAACAGCGAGCTTGGGAATATTTGACGGGAGCGGAAGTACTGGTCTGCCTTCAATAGAATCATTCTTAAGCAACACCATCGACTTGACAGCTGACTCCCTGGCCAAATGCCGATGTTCCTGGCAAAAAACCACGTCCATCGTTGGCTTGGAATCGCCGCGCTTAACTTCATTGGCGATCAGAGTTCGCAAGATGACACGAGCGGCACGGTCAACATCACGCTGCTCCACAGTTCCAGCTTTTAATTCGCCCTCCAGGTGCTGGGCGCGTTGCTGTCTGAAAGGGGCTTCCAAGTCGAGACCATTTTTCAATGATAGGACGACATCACGGAATCCGAAAAGAAAATCCTCCACGACAAATCCTTTGAATCCCCATTGGTCACGAAGTATATCCGTCAACAGTTCCTTGCTATGACCTGCCCACTCACCACGCACGGAGTTGTAAGCAGACATGACAGTAGAAACGCCTTGCTCCACAAGGTGACGGAAATGCGGGAGATAGACCTCATGCAAGACATCTTCGTCTACCTTGACGTCGACTTTAAAACGAGCATTCTCCATGGAGTTGAGAGCAAAATGTTTGACACACGCCATGACATTTTCCTGCACACCTCTCATGGTCGCGGCACCCATCTTGCCGAGCAATATAGGATCCTCAGCATATGTTTCTTGAACACGACCCCATGCGGGGTGTCGAGGGATGTTGACACAGATGCCGCCAAACAAGTTCGCTCCCTGTGCTTTGCTCTCGCGGCCAATGGCCCTTCCCACGCGTTCCTCGAGGGCGACATCCCAACTTGCGCCGCGGGCCATTGCAGCAGGGAACACAGTAGACTTGCCCAAGATGCAGCCTCGAGGCCCGTCACAAAAACGTGTGCCAGGTATATTGAGACGTGGAATCTCTCCCATGATACAAGGGGTGTGGCAGAAGCCGTGAGTCATCATATCATAGAGGCCTGGCCAGAACGGCACGTCGCCATCGAGCAACCAAAGGCGTTCCTCTAGTGTGAGATGCGACAACAAATGGGCAGAAGCGCTGTCGAGATCCATGTTGTCGGTTTTGACAGCCTTTACAGCATCGTCAAAATTAATGATGCCAGCTAAGGTAGCCATTGTCTCGTAGTGGTGTCAAACTACCACGATGTACAACGTAGAGGCGCTTGTGAGTTGGATGAAAATGGAGGCTGCGCGGCAGGACAGATTCTCAGTTATTATTAGGTGGGATGTATAGGGCAGGCTGGTGAACAGACGGGATTGACTGGATCATACGTCGTGAGTTGAGAAAGAAACTTTTGGCTTCGATAGCATTCATTTCAAGACAGAATATATCCATGGCGAGGAGGGCCAGCTCAAGTAGCTAAGCTGCCATTCGTAAAGGATGGATTAAAGTAGGAGGGCCCATAGTTGTGGTTGCCGAGGGTCAAACATAACCGAATAGCAGTAATTCTAAAATGGAAATATACACGAGGGCCAGTACCCGGACCAAGAGCTCCAAATCTTATTGTGTTCAAACAAAACTGATGCCTAGCCAAATAAGGTTCATGACTCATCACATAACAATAAATACTCGTCTTCAACATGATATGACAACTCATGGGCAAGCTTAAAAGCGTGCTGTTCATTAGGCAGGGCGTTTCTCCAATCTCATGTAATGATACAGAATGCCCAGTGTATGTTGCAGATAGCTTATGACTTGTCAAAACTCTACAGACTACCATGCTCCCAAATTACCCCATAGTTGGGTTTCGATGCAAACCCTTGAGAAGAGAGAGTCCTACATAAGAAGATCCCAAAAAGGATGCACTAAAGCATACAGTAGCCCTCTATACCACTCTACAATATGTTATCGGTTAGGTCAAATTCATGGCACCGGTGGTATTTCCCGAGGGTGCCCCTAAAGAACGCATCACACGGATCTCGTGTGGCCTAGTAGTAGTCCAATCTCATACATTCAAGCCATCAGCCAATGAAAGAATTTTCGTTTGGATAAAAAGGGTAATGGGGATCAAGGTCCCACATCTAAGCGACCCATGGACATGAACAAGGGTACAGGCAACCCACATTGCAGCCTCATCTTTACCGCGGATGCTCGACTCGATACCGAGAATCTCTGACAAGCATTCGTATCCAAACACCGCTTTCACTGGTGCGTAGGACATGTTTACCCTTTGCCTTAGCCCAGCATCCTCGTGTCCGACTGGTGGGGTATTCCTACATTGGACTATAGAACAACTGAACCCCAATGGTGGGGACAGGGGTGAGGAGGCGTACTCTGCTCCCGGACTCTGAACGTCCGGCTGGTACAGAGTGTGCTAGATGCGGGGTATCCTTGCAACGATTCGAGTCAGAATTCATTTGCCAACGACGTAAGTCTGTGGCCCGTCATGGCTATTGGACTGGAAAGGTGTGGCCACCGCGAATCTTGTTGCAACCGGAACCGAGGCCAATAACAAATGGGTAGACTCCATGTGGTCAGAAAGAGGGTTCATTTACCCCACGGGGTTGTGCAGACGTCGAGACTGGCGAGGCTCCTACGAGAGGCAGAACGATATAACAATGGGAAGAACCGTGTCTCCTACCTTGAATTCCACTTGACACTCCAAGAGGCTTCTACTATTATTCCATTTCGCACCTTGTGGCAATCAACCATTTGTTTTGTTTACCGGGAGTAACACTCGTCATGCGTCTTCTCAGAAAGATGACCGCGGCAGATGTCGTTGGCCCTGACCTGGCAGCTGTATGCTCCCTCTCATTAGTTCATCCTTCTTTTAATGACATATTCTAACCGTTGAGCCAGGTTCTCCCAGCCGAACAGAAGCCATGGTACAAAGTCCCACACTTGATCAAGCTCAATCTACTCCTCTTGATCCCACTAATGTCTTCGGCGGCGATCGGCTATGACGGTAAATTTATCCATGAAGATGCTCTGCAGGGCATTCATTAGGTTGCTACCAATGAGCAATAGTCAACTGACCGCTAAGCCTTATAGGATCAATGATGAACGGACTTCAAACACTCCCACAATGGAAAGAACACTTCGATAATCCAAAGGGCGCTTTATTGGGCGCAATGAATGCTGTCTACCCTGCTGGGAAAATTGTCGCGCTTCCTCTAGTTACATATCTGAACGATCGGTTCGGGAGGAAGAGAACCATTGCCCTAGGAATGCTGTTTTGCCTTGCGTTCCCATTCATGCAAGGTATGGCTGACAATGTGTCAACCTTCGTTGCCTCTCGAGCTATTATGGGTTTTGTCACAAGCTTCATGTCTTTGCCAAGTCCCATACTCGTCAGCGAGCTTGCATATCCCACGCACCGGGGGAAAGTAACGGCTCTATATAACACATCCTTTGTGAGTTGCGTCTTGATTATACGTAGCATATTGCATCACGTGGTTCTAATTCGCAACCCTTGTTTAGTATCTCGGTGGCATCATTGCGGCATGGTGCACATTTGGAACTTTCAAACTGGCATCAGCCTGGAGCTGGAGGATACCTTCCATTATTCAGGGTGCCATGCCTTTTATACAATTTACCTTCGTATACTTTCTTCCCGAGTCTCCCCGATGGCTTGTAGCTAAGGGACAAAAGAGCGAAGCCCGTGCATTCCTGGTCAAGTATCATGCTGGTGGAGATGAAAATTCACCTCTTGTTGATTTTGAGCTATCGGAGATTGAGGATGCGCTCACTTTCGAAGCCGATACGTTATCTCAATACTCGTGGATGGATCTGATTCGAACACCCGCCAATCGCAAACGACTCTTGATCACTTTCATCATCGGATGGTTTGCCCAATGGAATGGGGTTGGCATGATTTCGTATTATCTCGCCCTGATTCTCGATACAATCGGAATCAAGGAGGCCAAAGACCAGACCTTGATCAACGGAATTCTGAATATCTGTGCCTGGATTTGCGCCGTCTTTGGAGGCGCGCTCATGATCGACCGACTTGGCCGCCGGACACTCTGGCTGACGGCAACTGGCGGTATGCTGACTTGCTATATTATATGGACAAGCCTTACTGCAACCTTTATCAAAACAAACGACCAAAACATCGGAAGAGTAGTCGTTGGCTTTGTCTTTCTCACAAACTGCTGCTATGCCCTGGCATGGTCACCCCTGCTTCACGCATACGTGGTTGAAATCTGGCCATATACCCTCCGTAGTCGAGGCGTATCTGCTCTCTATATTTTCACCTTTGTTGCTCTTGTTTTTGCCAACCAGGTAAATCCGATCGCTATGGCGGCTATCGGATGGAAGTACTACATCATGTTCTGCTGTATCCTTGCTAGCCTTTTTGTTAGTATATGGTTTCTTTTCCCCGAAACCAAAGGCCGTGCTCTTGAGGAGATTGGAGCTGTGTTTGGTGACAAGATACCTAATCTTGACGAAGAAAACGTCAAGGATAAGGAAGGCACTCGAGTCACTGAAATTGAGAAAAGAGCAGGCTGAACCCTTTCTAAGAGACAAACCTTGGAGTGAACAGCTTCCGAGCAATCTTCGGGATATTGTACTTAATCTTCTTTTATAGGATGGGCAATTGTCCAGGTGAAGATCTTTTGGTCGAGGTAGAAGACAATAAACCCCTTAACTATATCTTAACTATCCGGCGGGTACGTAAGCAACGCAAATTAGCCCCCCTCTAGAGAGGGGGGGACATAGACCGTATCTTTGACACCCGTATCCAAACCTCGTAACTGTAATACGCTCTCAATTTATCAATTCAACAGATTTTTATACGATAATTTAATATATTATTTATTAATAACTAATTAAACTGTATATTTAATTTTATAATTCTTAAAGTAAAATTGGCGGTATTATAATTGATTTACTGTACGCAGGCCTGTAACCTGGGTCCCCCAATTAGTCTATCCTCTATCAGATCTCCGGATCGTCAGTGATCCAGGCGGGCTGACTGCACATTCGACGTATTTTGTTAGATCCACTTATACAGATCTGCACCGTATTTACCATATATTAGTAGAATTCTTCTGAAATTTGAATACTAGCTAAAGTAAGATCTGATAATAATATAAAATTAATCTCAAGTTAAAATATACTGTTGTTGTTGAGATATCGCGTGTTGAAGTTACGAGGTTTGGATACGGGTGTCAAAGATACGGTCTATGTCCCCCCCTCTCTAGAGGGGGGAAATTATCGAAGCTTACGAACCCGCCGGATATATTGATATCATCCAACATTGTATTGGAAAGTGGGCTACGAATACAGCATTTAGGTCGACAAATGATGAGAAGATGCAGAGTAAGATATGCAACATATCTAAGAGATTCTTCATCAACAAACCTAGTTAAACAGTCTCAAGCTCATGTTACATATATTGAAGAGATTGCGAAGATATTCTAGCATAGTGCCTAGAGTGAGCACTGAAAGCTGCTTCCAAGATCCGGATCTCCAACTCCGCCATACCTTGCTTTTCAGGGCAAGGGTAAAGGATCCTGTTGTTCAGCTTGCCATCAGGTCCCTTTGAAGCTAAAAGATAGTCTATTAGGATCCGTTTCATTCCCAACCCATGCTCTAATGGCATCAAAAATTGAGGTAGGGAGTCATCCGCTACCGCCAGAGCAGTGACCCAGGCCGGTACCTCGAAAAACTTGTAAAAATTATGCACATGACTATCAATAGCAGTTACTAGGTAACGATAATCTCTTGACCCTTAAGATTAAATTACAATATCGGCCTATAAAACGAAAGTTAGCATAGGGGTTTGTCAGCCAGTCGGTGTGACGTATAAGTCCATCTGATGAAGGGGCGGACAGCACGCGTCACCACGAGACAATGGACAAGGCCGAGCTGATATTTCGTAGAGAATACGATAATACTAGCATGTGATTGTTAAACATGGGATATCAATGACCGAGTGTCTGGGGCAGGTTCCGGCTCATCTGGTCGTTACATACCGAAATCGAAGGGGGTAGGGGTGGGAACGGGAGCATGGGGTCCTGGGGGCGTATAGGGATCTGTGGTCTAGCCCCTTTTATCATGATTACAATGCCTGACTCAAGGGGGTGTGAGGTGTGAACTAGTTCTCGTATGATAATACGAAAATTCGGGGCTTGCGGGTCACTGACGAGGCGACTATACATGTGGCCAATGACAGGAAGGCTCGGCTTTCCAAATCGCGGGGTGTTTGTTGCCAAGCCTCAGCATGCGTGGACCATTTACCAAATTTGTTCACTTGTGTAAATGGTTTGAATCTTCGTGATTCGACGTGGTCTCGACCACAGATCATGGCTACATGCATTCAGTCTCCGAGGACATTCAAAGATAGTGTCAAAAGCCCACCCCCGCAAATCCACAAGGGCCTAGAGAGTCTAGGCTAATTGCCCATTGCTACTACAGTATTCCCATGATAGAATCGGGACATGTGAGAAACTCGAATACGAAAAACTCGTTAACGGAGGAGCGTCATACGAGGTGTAAGATACAAACAGGTGCCCACGGATTGAGTTCATCCAGATCTACGGAACGTTACATGTCCACCATACCTCTTGATGTTAGCCCGTAGGTGTGGAAACAGTTGGGTTTACGAAGTAACCTAGATGCTCCGCATAACGACGACGATACAACTTGAGATCAACTCGTGGTATATTTCTATATCGATAGATACACCCAAAATCCCTTGCATACTTAACGCATGGTTAAATCAATTCAATCAGACAGTTGTCATTTGATGCCTTGGAAATAGGCACAAATTAGCGATATAAAATCACGGTAGCCCGACGCCGAACAGCGGTTGACTGTGAAAATTTGAACTTCTTTGTTGGCAATTATAATTTTCACTTACTATCTACTCACTCCCATCATGCTCATCTCGCTTCAGTCTATCAAGACCCTGCTTCTCCATGTATTGGCATGTGGCGGGCTTGCCGAGACTGTTTCAGGGGAAGTCCTGGATCTGAGTCCTAGAACGAACGCGTCTGAGATTGTGACTTGGGACGAGTATTCGGTGATGATACGTGGAGAACGTATCATGTTCTATTCTGGCGAGGTTCACCCGTTTAGACTGCCCTCTCCAGGTTCTTGGCTCGATGTGTTCCAGAAAATTAAGGCTGCCGGGTTCACAGGAGTTTCATTCTATCTCATGTGGGCCCTGCTGGAGGGTGAGCCGGGCCATGTACGAACCGACGGTGTATTTGCGCTCGAGGAATTCTTCAGAGCTGCCTCTGATGCAGGGATATACCTCCTGGCTCGCCCAGGGCCATATATAAATGCTGAGACTTCGGGAGGGGGGTTTCCAGGCTGGGTGCAGCGAGTCAGTGGCCTAATAAGATCTAACAACCCCAAGTTTACCGAAATCATTAGGCCCTATTTGTCACATGTTGGCCAGCTCATTGCCGACGCCCAAGTCAGCAATGGAGGCCCTGTTATCCTTGTCCAGCCTGAGAATGAGTACTCGATTTGCAGCGACTACACTACTCCTGAAAGTACCACTGCCTGTCTCGAGCCAGAGTACATGGCTACCGTGGAAGAAATACTACGCGAGGCAGGAGTCAATGTGCCTTTTATAAGCAATGATGTAGCTCCAGTGGGAAATTGGGCCCCTGGATCCTCGGCTGGAGCAGTTGATATCTACGGAATAGACGTATATCCTTTGGATTGGTCCAGTGGATGTAAGATCCGGACGAAAATCTCGACCTCGATCTGCGAGAAGCTAACAAGCTGATAGGCATGGACCCCCAAAACTGGAAGAGAGGGCACTTTCCGCTTGACAGGCTCAACTTTTCACTTCACAACAGCCTGAGCCCGAACACTCCATTTTCTGTTGTCGAGGGCCAAGGTGGTGCCGCAGACTTTTGGTACGTTTGATCCACTCCGCAATTTCTCCGCAATTTCTTCTCCATGAGCGTCTTCCATCTAATTGTCGGCACACGGTAAATGCAGGGGAGGCGTGGGTGTCGACGTCTGCGCTGAAATGGTCGATCACAAATTTGCAAGAGTCTTCAACAAGTTCCTTTACGGCATGCGGGCGACTGTGCTGAACCTCTACATGGTAAGTCCTATAGCATGGAACTACCCAATTTGATGAATGAGCATAATAACGTAGTATAGATGTTCGGGGGCACTAACTGGGGCAATCTGGGACACCCTAAAGGGTACACCTCATATGACACCGGCGCAGCAATTTCGGAAAATCGTCTGTTGGGGCGGGAAAAGTACTATGAACTCAAGCTCCAAGGCTTCTTCCTTCAGTCTTCACCATCCTACCTCATTTCTCACCCGGATGATGGAACTCTCGGCGAGTATACAGACACTGATACCTTAATGGTGAACCGCCTCAAGGGGGAAGAGACCACCTACTATGTCACGAGACATGCCCAGTATGACACTATGCTCTCACAGTCATATTATCTGACGGTCCCAACCAAGCTCGGGCAATTCAAGGTTCCACAACTTGGTGGATCTTTAACTCTCGAGGGTCGGGACTCCAAAATACATGTCACTGACTACCCTGTCGGAAATACGACACTCATATATTCGACTGCAGAGATTCTTGCCTGGAGGGGTTTCCCCTCAAAGACGGTTCTACTGCTGTATGGCAGCGACCAAGAAACGCACGAGTTTGCACTTCCTCGCGGCTTGGGATGCCCCACCGTCGTTGAAGGCCCTCCTGTTAAATGCCAGCCGGATGAGTCTATTTCAGTCATAAATGCAGTGTTACGCCCTGGCAGACGAGTACTCCGCTTCAACTCAAGCCTCGAAATTTACCTGCTTGAGAGGAGCGAAGCCTATAAGTACTGGGTGGTTGATGTCCCCGCACCACCCCCGGTCGAACGCTTTACCTCACCTTCAAGGCTGGCATCCACAGAGTTGAGCGTTATTGTCAGGGGCGGCTATCTGATCAGGTCTGCCACGTTTAATGCAACGTCACTCTACCTATCAGGAGATGTCAATAGCACAACAGAGATCGAGATCGTTGGTGCTCCGAGAGTGCCCGAGCAACTGTTTTTCAACGGGAAAGCCATCGAAACTTTGGTCGAAGCGGCTCGTGTGACCGGCATCGTGCAGTACACTTCTCCAAATATCACTTTGCCAACTCTATCGCAACTTCATTGGCATCATATTGATTCTCTACCAGAAATCAGTGCACAGTACAACGACGAGAACTGGATCATTTGCAACAAATTATACAGCAACAATACGCGCAATCTCACAACCCCTACTTCCCTTTACGCAGGGGATTATGGCTTCCACTCTGGATCACTTCTGTACCGCGGCCACTTTAATTCTTCTGGCGGAGAGTCATCTTTCTCCATTCTGACACAAGGTGGTGACGGCTTCGGGCATTCTGTTTGGCTGGACTCCATATTTCTTGGGTCATGGGTAGGTTCAGCTGGTATAGGAAGCCGGAACCAGACCTTTGATTTCAGTGAGAAACTGGAGCCTGGCACATCACATGTGCTCACTATTCTAATTGATCACATGGGTCTGCGTGATAATTGGGAAGCGGACGGTGAGGGTATGAGAGAGCCCCATGGCATACTTGAGTACGCCCTCCGAAGCTCGTGCAAGCGTACAGATATCTCGTGGAGAATGACCGGCAACATCGGCGGAGAATCTTACCTCGACCACAGCCGCGGCCCATTGAATGAAGGCGCCATGTTCGCTGAGAGGAGTGGGCTCCATCTTCCTGGGGCTCCTTTTACTTCGTGGGAAAAAGGCTCCCCGCTACAAGGCCTAGATCAAGCGGGTGTTCACATATTTGGCTCAGCGTTCAATCTCTCCCTTCCCACAGGTTATGACATTCCCATCAGTCTTAACATTGCGAACATAACTCATTCTGCCCTGGAAGGAGGAGCAGTTCCCAACTTCAGAGTTCAAATCTTTCTCAATGGTTGGCAAGTTGGTAAATACAGTAAGCAAGGATCTCACCCCATGATACATTTCTCTAAGATGCTGATTTCCACACTCTCCAACAGTCAGCAATCTGGGGCCTCAAAGCCGCTATGTGCTCCCCGAGGGTATTCTCAATCACCATGGCATGAACTATCTGGCCTTGACTCTCTGGTCCCTTGATGAGACGGGAGCCAAGCTTGGTGGATTCACGCTCGAGGTAGACGGCATTCTTCAGAGCGGCAAGAAGCCAGTGTCTTTGGTCACTGGCAGTGGATTTACTGAGCGTCCAAAGGGCTTATATTGACCACGGTACGTAGTAGAATCACAGGTGGCATATGTTCCAATGGGGGCAGGGCCGTCAGATCTGGGGTCTGTATCCGGCGGAGTTCCCTGATGTCCGCAGGTTGGTAGCTTTTGCGCTCACGCCTCGGACTTCGGGCCATGGAAAAGTCTTGGGTCTAATCGAGTAGATGTAATGGTCATTTGGTTCACCTCTATTCTCTATCATAGAACACAAATCCAAGGCTCCATCAACCCAACATACATAAAACATGATATTCGCTATCGACTCTCCTGTGGTAATTGTCCGCATGAGACCCACGAATATAGAAGCGAGAAGGATTAAATTTGACATTTATTTATTCGATTTCTGGGTAGCTTCCACTTAGAAACATCTCGCGGATGCGACAAGAATTGTAATTCAATACTTAAGTAGCTCATTCCAGGGCAAATGCGTTCCTAAGTGAACTGTTCTTCGGGTACTAAAGAGACAAGAGACGCGGTGCTACACCTATCGATTGGAACCATTAACCAAGGAGATATTTCTCATGAGGCCATTAAATCCATCTCCAATCCATTTCAAGGGTGCCTCCAGCGCGATTGGCATCCAGATGCTCATGACGCCATTACTACCAGGAACACCGTTTGGCTCAACTTTGACCAGCACCTCCATGGTCCGATGACTTGACCGCTCCTCGGACACGGTGAAAAAGGTCCTCTTTCCATGGCCAGACAGAACAACGTGGGACCACTTTCCTACGGGCAGCGTGTAGTTGAGAAAATACGGTTGGGTGCCGCTGACAAGTGTTATGTTACTGGCGTTCCCATACCCCGAGTACAAAGCCGAGTCAGAGCCTGAAAAAAGCATTGCCGGTCCTGCAGAGTTTTCAGGCTTGATCCAGAACGATAAAGAGTAGTTGCGACCTTTGCTACTCAAGGGTGTTTCTAAAAAGCAGCCGTTTGAGAAGTGTATGGCTGATTGATTGACGATGCATCCACGATTCGTAGCATCGTGGCCGTTGCCAGATCGGTCGAGAATAATCTCGGAAGCGGCTTGAGACTGATTCTGATGCCCCGGGACTGCATCAAAATGATAATCAAAAATGACATCCGTCTCAGACTGAATTCTGCGGTCGAGGTTTTGGCCCGGTGCGGATATTATGAGCTCATCAACGATAGATTCGTATTCTTTTTCAGAGAGATCACCACCCCATGCTTTGTCGGCCAGGGCTGGGAGATAATCGCGCCACGAGTAATAGGCTTCAAGGTACGTCGACGCCGACGGGCCATAGTCACTCCATTGGGCTGCGATGTGGCCGAGGACGGCAGGTTCGTCTGATGGAGGATTGTTGGTCGCATTCCTTGTGTCGAAAATGTATGGACGATAGGGTCCACCGTTGGGGTCACCGTTGAAGATGAGAGTGCTGTTCAGGGTCTGCGGGAAGTACCCGTGCCACTTGGTGTTGATGTAAAAGGCGAAGTCCGAATTCAGAACTTTGTAGCCGTTTTTTATGAAGTCGAAGTAAGGATTGTCTTCGTAGGGTGCCCAATGCTGGATATCAACATCTTTAGTATAGTTGCCACCTTGTCGAGCCGGAAACGTGCCCCAAATCCTCGCGTTTTTGCCAGAACTTGAGACGAAGGCGACCAGCTCGTCGACATAACGGCTGTACTCGGCGACCAGCTTATCGCTGTATTCATCTGCGCCAAGATGCACTGTCTTTGAATGAAACCACGGTATAAATGTCTGCCAGATGCTTTTCACTGTTGGCAGTGTCTCTGGATGGCTGATGTTCAGCATCGTTGGGTCTCCCTCGAGAGCAATTTCCGGCTTCCACTTGGCGATGGCCAAGGCGTGCGCAGGACTGTTAATCTCCAGAATAATAGTGACCCCTCTTTGAGCACATCTCTGTTGAATTTCTTCGAACTGGAGCCGCGTATAAGACTCATTGGCGGGAGATGCAAGGCCAGCCACATTTGGCTCTGTTGAGCTCAGTCGAAAGCCAGAGTAGAGTTCCCACATATCCTTCTCGGTCTGCAGCTCATGATTGACAAAGAGGTTGTCACTCAAGTGAAGATGAAATACATTCTGCTTGAAATAGGACAGAAACGAGCACATCTCGATAAGGAAATCCGGGGGATAATAATGCCGTCCTACGTCGAGCTGTGCCGGAAAGTATTAGTCTCAATCTCCCCAAGGACTTTGCGTTACAGTCTCACCATAACTCCTCTCTCGGTCCATCCCGGTGAATCAGTGGCCCTGCCATATGGGAAGCATCCGTTGCTGGTGGCCATGACTTGCAACAAAGTGCGAGTTCCCCACCACGCGCCTAGAGGGCTTGCGGCGGCAATGGTAACTCCATTCTCATCAACCTTGATCATATATCCTTCCGAGGAAGAGCGCCCAGCAGCGTCGGAATAAGTGATATTCTTGCTAAGTGTGATGAATATCGATTTCTCTAACGCGTCCGTGCCTCTGAATAATCGAGGACGGATGCCTAGTGCCGTGACAGCATCGTTTTGGAATGTTTCAGCAAATTGTGCCAACGTTGGAGGTATCAAAGTGTGCCCATCTTCGTCTCTTGAACATGCAAACTTGCTGTCGATTATGATACTTTCAATATCACGAGCTGCAAAGCAACCTCGTCCCTCGCCTTGGAACTGGATAGCAGGAATCGTCGCAAGGCGAACACTCTCTATATTATGATCATTAGCATTGTTGACTTGCTCTAATGAAGTGGTGTAAAGTGTAGTGGCGGACCTGTCAAAACAACAGAGAATGCAGCTGCCCACATGCAGAGTATCGTTGATCGCAATCTCATCTTGGGTAGAAGAATGGCGGTTGCGGTTCAGGTTTTTTTTTGCAAACCCGCCAATAGGTCAGTCGATGGATGAGTTCTGCTAGCCGAACAAGAAAAAGGTAATTAATAGTGGTATTGATCAAACCAACCAGTCGATTCTATTGTGTCAAACTCAGTTTGTTGGTATGATGCACCCAATTCCCGCTCTAAACCACTTCGTAGCTGATGCGACGTTTCTTGCATTGTGGGAATCTTGGTGAACCTACCCAATATTAGCCTATTGTTCAAGCCCCTGCTATTCCTCGTGTAGGACGGCTCTCAATCTTCGTGCGCAACAACCAATTCTGTATGGCAGCGAGCTCGGCAAGGACGCGAATGGTTGATCTCCGACAAGGGGCGTAACAGCCTAAACTCACCTGGGAAATTGTGGTTGCAGGAATGGGGGCTCGAAGAGCCGAGTTCTCGTATTACTTACGAATATTCGCGAGGTACGCCTAGGCAACTTCGATATATCGAGATGGAACCATGCACCAGTTTGCCGAGCTTTACTACTGTCGATCCCTTCGCTCGATTACCCTCTTCTCTGATTTGGCCGGCTCTGAAGCGGAGGAGTTCTATCTATCTCTTCTATCCACTAATCCCGATGGCATGTCAGGTTGTTACGTTAAGGTCACCACGTCCTCGACTAACCGCTCCATGACAGTCTTTTCTAGGTTGACTTTATTGCAAACTAGTTTTGTAACGTTGCGCCTACATGTCTCTCGGGGGCAACCAATTTTTCGATCAGTAACTCATTATTCCCATGGGCTGTGCTTCAGAGCACGATGGCATCAGAGGTAAATGAAACAGCGATTCTGCATGTGGTTGTCAGGCAGAGCTTTCCGTCAGCGCTTGCCTTCCTACCACAAGCTTTTCCCACTTCTGGGTGCAATTCCAGGCGATGGCTGTCCATCCATTCAGACATTATTTCCTATCCCTCCTTCAAGTGCTTCCCGTCATGCTCTGGTATCTGCCGCTTCTTTTTAGCACAGGTATTCCATCTACCTTTGCTGCACAACTACAGCCCAGTCACCAGCCAAATCTATATTTCAACCCCATCCTACCAGGGTGGCATCCTGATCCGTCTTGTATACAGAATCGAGGTCTCTTCTTCTGCGTCACCTCAACCTTTCAAGCGTTTCCGGGGTTGCCCGTCTACATATCAGCCAACTTAATAGAATGGAAACTAGCCAGCCATGCGTGGAATCGAGATTCCCAGCTTCCTGGTTTGAGCTGGAATACCACTGGTCAAGCGAACGGCATGTATGCACCGACTATTAGGTACCGTAACGGGGTATACTATGTCATCGTTGCATATGTAAGGGGTGATTCCAGGTTGGGGTTGCTGTTCAAGACGACAGACCCCTTTGATAATGCCAGCTGGGAGGTTCCAATCTCGATAGACCTGAAAGACATCGACCCTGACCTTTTTTGGGACGATGATGGAAAAGCATACGTGGCCACGGCAGGCGTCTCGCTGCAGGAGCTAGATCTCGAAAGTGGCAGTCTCGGGGAGGCGATTCCCATATGGAATGGAACTGGTGGGGCCTGGCCCGAAGGGCCACATCTATACAAGAAGGACGGCTGGTATTACCTCTTGATTGCAGAGGGTGGCACAAGCGAGAAGCACTCCATCACCATTGCAAGAGCAAAAACCATTCAAGGACCGTACACGTCCAACCCTAGCAACCCGATACTGACCAATCGTGGGACTGACGAATACTTCCAGAGCGTCGGCCACGGGGACTTGTTCCAAGATGCCGCCGGGAACTGGTGGGGTTTCTGTCTCGCTATCCGCTCAGGGCCCGCGTATGCTTTCATGCCCATGGGGCGAGAGGCAGTTTTGTTCAATGCCACCTGGAGCGAAGAGGGGTGGCCGGTTCTGCAACCTGTTCGAGGCCGGATGGCTGGCAATAGTTTACCAAGCTCTCCTCTCACAGTCCTTGGCAATGGACCTGCTGTGGACGGTAATGATAGAATCACGTTCAGAGATGGAGTTCCTGTGCCGCCACATTTCATCCACCATCGTGTGCCACCTCCCGGTACATTTGTGGCGACAAAAAACGGTCTGTATATCCAAGCAAGACGCGCCAACCTGACAGGAGATCAAATGTCATCCGACGTGGAGTTGACGGGTCAGCACGGTTTGAGTTTTATTGGGCGTAGGCAGTCTCATACGCTCTTCCGCTTTGCCGTAGACTTAGCATTACGGCTGCGTACTGACGGCCAGGAGGCCGGCATCAGCATTTTCCGATCCCAGAATGAGCATATCGACCTAAGCATAATCCGAAGATTGAATCAGACTTCAAATAGCTCCTGTGGTGATCTACTCTTCCGTCTATCTGGTATCAGTCCCTCAACCACGATAGAGGAACGGCTTGTCTCGGTTCCAAAAGCATGGAAGAATCAACCCATCAGATTCGAAGTAGAAGCATACAATGCTTCCGACTATACATTCTCAGTATCGCAATTAGACAACGCAAGGGCAAGAATCGTAATTGGGAAGATTTCATCTGGGGCTGTGAGCGGTCGCGGAGGCATCGGATTCTTTTTGGGTTCTATGGTTGGAGCTTTTGCGACCTGCAATGGCAGGGGCAGCGGAAATAAATGCAAGGAGGGAAGTGAGGTGTTCATCCAACGCTGGGTTTATGAGGGGATAGGTCAGGAAATCGCGAACGGTGAAGTCATTCCAACCAAAGATTGAAACTAGAAGTAATACGAGAAACTATATCATACTTTATTTCCGCAAGAGTGAACGATGACCCAAGGAATGTCTTTAGAAGACAATGGAGGTATTCAAAGGGATTTATCTTCATTAAGCCGATAAATACTCAAACCTTAGGTCTAGGGTAAGTGGGTATTTCTGGGTATTACCGAAAGAAAGCTAGGTATTTTGGGCACCTAGAGGAAACGGGTTAGTATGGGTAAGTTCGGTCTCTAGGTGCACTGTCTATATAATAGTATTTGGCTCTAATTAGTTGAATTCTTGTATATCATAGAGCCCAGATATTGACTCTTTATTATCAAACAATATCATTTATATTAAATACGACGGATTAAACGTTACGCTCCCCGCAAACCAACTGCGGGGGAAGACGAGATAAATCTCATACCCATGAAAAGACTTTGATAGCGAACTGATCCGGGGTTTAGCCTCGCCTTTCCTCTACAAAAATTAAGCCAGTCAAATCGCCCACATGTTCCATTCTCCTTTCCGTCGCCCCAGTTCTGCTCATGACATCTGTCATTCATGCACATCTGCTGCCACATTTCCAATATGAACGAATGTGGGGAGCAAGCGCATGTTCATGCGTCTTCACGCTGTCCTTGCCGCCCTGTCGTCCGCAAGTCGCATAAGAAGTCTCGCAACGGGTGCCAGAATTGCAAGAAGCGAAGGGTCAAGGTGAGTGTGCGGTAGTTCGCCGTCAACTGAGGGCTGGTTTGTGTTCTTACCGGCTGAATTTACCATCAATGATCATGCTAAGCCGTACCAGTGCGACGAGAATAAGCCCACCTGCAAGAATTGCACGCGTAGCTCGATACCCTGTGACTTCAGCGCCGACAGCAATACCCTTGTCCCAGTCGAATCTGCTGCATCATCGTCTACTGCGAAAGGACCAAGGAAACTTGGTAGGCCCCTCAAGAAATGGGCATGGGGTCCTGACATTCCTCGCGACCGCGAAACACGAACAAAAACCGCACCACCTAGCCTCCCTACCCTAGAGTCGCCCCCCTTGCCCTTACCCCTGAATGTGGACGATATTCAGCTTTTCCACCACTACATCACTGTCACGTCTCTTACACTCGGTGATAATGTCCTATGGCGCGACAAGGTGCCGCGTCTTGCGTTTGAGCATCACTACATTCTTCATCTTATGCTTTCCCTCTCAGCATTACACCTCGCTCGGCTCCATGTTGCGGCAGCCAGTAGATATAGAGACCTCGCCGAGGCCCATCATTCCATAGCCTTACCCCAGGTCACTAGCTTGCTTCCTCAGATCAGTCGAAATAACTGCTCGGCACTATATATTGCCACTGTTCTCGTTTGTAACTATACCTTTGCGAAACCACCGACAGAGAACCACCTCCTTGTTGTAGCTGACAGCAGCGAGGTTGCTTTTTGGAATCTTTTTCGCGGTGTTCGTTTTGTCATTGAGACAATGGGTTTGCCAGCGATTTTCACAGGCCACATTGGCCCTTTTCCTCCTCCAGTAAATACCACTGCTGTTCCGTCAACAGAAGGCGATAATGGTTACATACCGTGGGAGTGGCCTCTTAACAGGCTGGAAGAACGGCTCCTCGCTTGCCAAGATCCTGGACTCGAGAATCTGGCAGTGATCTGCGAAGCTCTCATGGACTGTTTTAAGGGCGTATACGGGACTACGGAGCAACCAGAGAGCACGACGCATGGGAAGCTGCATGTCGTTATGCGGTGGTTGTGGTATCTCGAGGATGACTTCATTATCCAAATCCAAAATTTGGTACCCGAGGCCCTAGTTCTGCTAGCCCACTTCGCGGTTCTGGTTCAGACTGTGGAATGCTTTTGGTTCATGCGAGGGTGGGCACATCATGTATTAGATGGTGTTGTAAAGCAACTTGACTCGGGCTACATCACATGGATATCCTGGCCTCAGAAGCAACTTGAGTCGCAGTGCGACCACAATTTGCATATGGCGTACTAAGAAATCGTATCTTTCAACTTAGGGAACGTTGTTCCAGACTTTGAGTGCGCATGGTTGGGCATAACATGCTTATAATAAAACTGAGAAAGGCATCTTTGTGCTTAAAAGCTCAATATAGGCACTCAATAGACGATACATGTCGCTTTGAAATAGTTTATTGATCCTTTGATACCGACCAATCTGCGAATTATGCTTTGATTTACTCGAAAGGACTTTGGTCCTAGGGTAGGGGTTTTAGGAGGTGATGGTCCCAGCAACCAATAACGTTTCTTGCGTAAAGAGCTTGCCAACTCAAGTTTAGAGCGGTGAACGACATTCCATACCCAACCTGTAATTGCGGCCGTTGCTGAAAGTACGGGAAAGAGTCTGGAGCGATTGGAAGTGATAGACAGCACTTTTCCGTTGTTGTTAAAATTCCATGATGCCAATTCTCGTCAGAAATAAGCCTATCCATTCATATCAGTCTACAATCTTTTTTTAAAAGGAATAAAAGTTATGAAATATTTACCAAGTGTACGTTGGACACCCCTCTAGGGTTGCCAAATTTCTCAACCCATCTGTGGAGGGAAAGATATGTCATCAGTACAAGTATTGCAAACCGGGCGGAGGAAGTTTTACCTTCTATTGTATCTCAAAACAGAAGCATGAGGTCTGTTAAGTCCATAAGTAAATTCCATGTTCGGGTGGAACGCATCACCTGGCCCTCTTTTCCAAACCCTGTGGCTGGGCCGGGCCGTAATTCCCTCGACAAACCCATCTTCGGGCTTGATCTCCTTCCTGAGGGGGCTACTCACGAGAACTTCTTGTAGATTTGCGAGGGGCGAGAAGAAGCTCTTTAGACCCTCGAGGTCCAATTCGTGGAGTGATTTTTGATTTTCGTCATAGGAGAGGCCCCAGAATCGAAACTCCCGGGCTGAAGCCCAAATTTTGATGCTGGTAAGATTTTCAAAGTGGCCAAGTTTAAGCCAGTGGAAATCGTATGGATTGTGGAAGACTTCTGCGGAGCCTCCCTCATGTGTTTTGAATCACGAGACATCGAGATGGAATAGTGGGGTGAGCGTCAACTCGAGCTTTCGAGCATACTTGAGAAAGCCGGCTGGCTTATTTATATTATCTGTGCGTGGCTCTCCAGTCGCGTTTGGTTGGCACACCCCGACAAATCTCTCTAGAGCAAGGACATCAGTGAACACGAATGTCGTAGACTCGTAGAGAGATTTGAGGCACTCCGACGACCTTCACAAAGCGATTAGCAATTACATCGAAGGAGAGGAAGAAAATAATTGACATACAGCAGTTTGCATGATAGGAGCATTGGAATATAAGGGCTTAATTCTTCACCAGATGGAGCGCTCTCACCACCAGGACTACGATATTGGCTTATCTTATGTTTGACTTTGCCCAGAAATCGCTTCAATTTCCCATGAGGTTTCGGTTGAGGAACCTCAACTGGTGACTTCCAACACTTAGACCTCGAAGTGTTCGAGGTCATGACAAATTCTTCGCCGTGGACCTTTTCTATTTCCTCTCCGCATGCCCAGTGGTTATGCCAAGGCGACGCAAGCCGCTTCTGGTAGGGTACGTTGTAGGTCAAGCCTACATCGTCAATGATCTGGTCGGCTTCTAATAATTCGATCTCCTGCTGTAGTCGGTCCTCGACCTCGAAGTCGGTCACGCATCTCCAGCGGCAGAAATGCCACTCAGGGTGTTCCGGATCGGCATTTTTATGATTGCGATGAGAGACAATATGCTGTCGAAGGCCATTGGAACGCCAGAGCTCTAGATAGATGGCATCCCGTACCTCGCGGGGTAGGCGAGTCACGAAGGTAGATTTCAACTGGTAATTGGCAGACATAGTTGTGTGTTGCACTATTAGCTTCAGGGTCAAAGTAACGCATGGGGAAGCTATACTTATAGTATTCGGGTGATTGAATGGACAGGGTTCTTCATGGGGGCGAGAGCTACTAGACACAGTGTCCTCCACAATCCTACATTTGGCAGGGATATTTATTAACTTATATTCAATCATGTCACTTCATAAAAGTGCTGACTTTTTCAATCATTTGAATATCATGGACCGGTTGCATGGGGCTGATATCATCAAAGATGGATGGTCCCAACCCAGATGAGCTCGATGATTCCATCTTCACTCGCAGAAACATCATTACAACTAATATTGGGTCTAACCCTCATTTCCCCTAGGATATTCCGGGCATCCTAATGGATCCAAATCCTGGCTACCAAGGTCTTGCAAGGAAATGGTACTTTGGACGAATCCATGATCAGACAGTGTGGGGCACAAACATGCGTAGTGAGAGGATTAACTCACACCGTGTGTGAATGCAAAACTCGAGCATTGGAAGAGAATAAACCTTTGAAGAATCTGACACTACTAGACTAACATCCCGCACCGATGGCACTGCAGCTGAAACACAGCGGATTGCGTATTTTCCTTGCTAACGCGTGAACTTGGCTGAAGACTGGACGGGTTCACACGGACCACTTTGCCGCCTTGGCGAGGAACTTCCACTCCTCATGGAAACTCTCCTCAAAATCTTGCCTCGTCTTAGTTGGAGCCCATCCTATCTCACGAGATTTCTCAGCCTGCGTTCGGGATCGGGATGCAAAGCCTAGTTCGACCACCAACTCGGGAACATGAAGCTTAGCACTGCCATCCTTGAGCCCGACCTCGCGCACAACATCAGATTGGAGGTATCCCAAAGCTTTACCATCCTTCGCAACACGGTCTGATAGTTCTTTCCAGGAGTGATGACCAGTTTCGGCAAAATAGACACCATTCTTGTTGGATGGTAGGTCATCGCCTGCGAGCAGGCGAGCGAGAATAGTCTCGTATAACTTGACCAAGTCGGCAATATGGACGTGATCCCACTCTTCGCTGCCGGACCCTACGCGAACCGCGTAACCATCAAGTTTAGCAGCGCGGATCACAGCGTCAATCTGGATCGATGTGCGATTGAACAATCCGTTGCCTATTCCGTAGATGGTAGGGGCGGTCACGATATAGGTCTTGACACCTGCCGCCTCGCCCTTCTCGAAAACGACTAAATCGGTCGTACGCTGTGGGTAAGCCTCAAGATCTTCGCGGTAACGCTCATAGGTGTAGATGTCATCCTTATCCGAGAATACACGTTTCTCAGCGAAGGTACCCCTGATGGGTTGGTCGCCGAGGCTTGATGTGCCACTCGTCTGAGCTCATTAGCATATGGGAGACAAATCTGTGGACGGAATGAAGATACTAACATGGATTAGGGATGTCTGTTGCCCAGTCTTCTTTTTACGGTCCTCTAGACCTGCAATCAGAGCCTTGGCGGCTGGGGTGTCGAATGAGCTCGCAGTGTGAATGACCACATCATACTGGCTAGCAATGTCTCTAACGCTGGAAACATCATCCAATCCACTGAAAAGAGTCGAGTCAATTCCCTTCTCTTTCAAAAGATCAACCTGCTCTTGCTTCCGAACCAACGCTGTAATTTGTGCAGCCTTGATAAGAGGATTTTCCGACGCCAACAGGGTTGTCAGGACCGAGCCACCGCTAGATGAGTGTTAGCAGAGTTAGAGAAAAATAGGAAAGTAAAACAGTTGCTCTCACATGTATCCGGTGGCGCCTGTGAGGAGAATTTTGGGTGCACTCATGATAAGATGATTCGCTTGCTTGGGGACGTTATAGTTGTGGAGAATCGTGGATGTGATAGTTGCTGTGTGAATGTTTGATGGGAAAAAGAAAAAATGAAAAGCAGAAGCTACGACGAGAAGCAGCGCAATTTATATTCAACGAATACAGAAATAAAGTTCTCAGTTTTCCATTCTATGCCGATATGTATTACTATTCCTGCCCCTCGAAGACGGCGAAAGTTGCAATTCAAACGCCGCTGACCACTGCGGAGCTCATCCAGAGCCGCAATTGGCCTAGGCGAATCTGCAGTCAAAGTCGCAAGCTCAAGGTCAGAGTCAGTGGAGCCTTTTCTAGAGTTATTATTGGCCAGGATCTTGAACCAGCGCGGCCAAAGTTGCCATTGCAGTGGTGGTGAGCTGTGAGATTCATTAGTAATGTCTCTGATGACAGTCCAACAAATTCGCGATGCTTGATAAGCCTCCTCAGTAATCTAAATGACCTCATTTTCTCAGGTTTTAGCTGCCAAGACTTGCGATAAAGCTGGCATTTGACTTTGAGAATTTTTCTTTTTCGCAGAGTGATCAATCTCCCAGGCGTCCAGATGAATCGCGAAATATCTCCAACTCTGTCACAAAAGCCCTGCGCGAATTGCCGAAGTGAGTGGTCTGGATGGGTCTCATTATAAACTGCTATTTCGTAGCATGTTCTCACAACTGCCATTTGTACAGGAAGAAAGATCGCATGTGACAGGCATCTGCCAACCTGCAACACCTGCTCAAGGAGGAAGAAACAGTGCGAGGGCTACTCAAACACGCTCTCCTGGCCGGGAACGCATGATCGGCGGCGGGCACTGAAAGCCGATATTCCGGCTGGGCACATTGCCGAACCTCTCTTCTTTCTCAATACCTCGAGCAGGGATGTTGCTGTGTATTATGGATCTCTAGGTACTTAGTATTAACACCCAGTAGCTCTCATCTTGCTGTGTGTCTGACTCTTGATCTTGGTAGTAACCCGTCTTGGACTCTATTCGCCAATACATGTCCCAAAACCACTACCTGGGCCTAACCTTGGGACATCCTTAACCCACAATGGTAAAGGATTCCGAAATTGCATGCCGTTCGAAGATCATCAAGTTAACCTTGAGTTGGATAGAATATACGTTTGCCCTTCAGGTAGTGACCTCCCATGGGGACCTTCGGCGAGACATATGCAATCTGCTTTATCGCATGGCTATTTCCGATGATGCCGCCCCGTCTGTAGCTGTTCGAAGTTCAATGAATGCAATATCTTATTATTCATTGAATCAAATTTCAATATCCAAACATCACCAATTTAAAGCCATTTCAGCATTGCGGGAGGCAATTACTCAAATAACCGACTACAAATCGAGAGCACAAGCTATAGCAGCAAGTATGCTTCTGAGTATGTATGAGGTAAGGTTATTAAGTGACACAGCACATGGTTATTTCAACTAAAAGCTTAAAACTGTGATAGATTTTAACGCAACCGAATGACTTGCACGACATGATGCAAAGATGGACTGTCTACTTCAACGGCTGTATTATGATCTTCCAATCTCCCAACTTCTCCATAAACAATTATGATGGCGAAGCAGAAACATTACTGGACTGGGTATCATACTATTCCGTATTCTTTAAACTCTGTATCATCCACTGGTTTCAAAGGCAAAGCAGTAGCCAAGGGGTTCTAGATCATGAGACCACACTGTCTTGGGCCACACTTCAACCTCGTTCTAGCCTGGTAAGAAATATTTTCGAATCTGTATGATTTGCCGATTCTAACATGTTACAATAACTAGATCAAGAGCTCGTTCGGCTGCTCTTTGGGGCTGCTTCGACTTCTCCACCGATCTATAGAGTTGGCTTGCGCTCGAAATGAAAGTGAAAGCCTCAGCCACAGTCATGAAATATTGGCAGCGGCAAACGATCTTGAGCATGAGATTGACACTTGCCAACAACTTGTTTGCGATACTGTCGACAAAACTGGTGACGATGGACCAGGAACTTGGAAGCACTATTCAGCGGTTGCCCGATTATTCCAACTCTCCGCCCTCATTTACCTTGACAGAGTAGTGCGAGGGCTACCTGCCTCCTCTCTTCTGTCACAACAGTCAGCCAAGGAGGCCTTCACTATAATGCAAGATTTGAAAATGTGTGAACGACCATTCCCGCTTCTTATGCTCGCACTGCAAGCGCAAGGAGACGATGAGAGGCGGATAATACTCACTGTGCTTGAGAATGCCACAAGGCAGAGAGAGCTCGGTGATCTGACCATGACTGAAAGTGTGGTGCGGACCATATGGGCCCAGCAAGACTTGCAAGATGACCCCGACGTTGACGGACTTGTCATCCTCAATCTCGCCTTTAGGGCGTATGAGAAACCTCCGTGCTTGAGTTTCCATAGTCAGACTTCAACTACTAATAGAGTTTAGTTGGATGTGTGGTCAGAATGTGATGCTTTGATAGATTCAGGTGAGGTTGCGAATAGTGGTGGTTTCCCGAGTCTCGGGTGGCCCTCAACACATTTGCTTCAAGCTATTATTAGCTGCAGTTACCAGTTACAGGGCGTTCAAAAGCAGAGTGACATATTATATATATTAGAACGTTGTGTCTAGTCTTTACGATTTAAAGTGGGAAGGATGCTGATCGTGCTTGATGCTGAACAACGTAGCCTCACTAGATCTGAGAATTCTAATCGACAGTCTTCAACTCCTCCACGGGAACTGTGACAAGCTCAGTCTCCTTGAACTTCCGTGGTGGTATTCCCCGTGCCCATAGCTCATCAATCTCAATATATGTCCGCCCTTTGGTCTCAGGAATCATGAAGAAAATGAAGATGGCAGATATAGCAAGCGTGCTACCGAAGATAAATGCAATCTTTCCTCCGAGGTTCCCCTGATCAGGGTTAATGGCATACGGAAGAGACATACTCCAGATTGATGAGGAGAGTCCATTGACCATAGTTGCTAGAGCTTGTGTTGGGCCACGCAGTCTAGATGTAGCAGCCTCAGTTGCGATCGGCCATGCAACGGCGCCGACGGTAGCTTGGTAAACTAAAGGAATTTTCGTTAGTATGGTGCTGAGAGAACCAAAGCACGAAATGAACATACCGAAAGACCAAACAGCCATGAACACAACCTGACCCCAGACCGCTCCGGAAGCCTTGATCACGGAAAGAATTCCAATGAGGAATAGCGTGACACAGAGGGCAATGCATCCGTACAAAGCAGTTGATCGTCTTCCAAACCAGTCGATGAACCACCAACTGCAAATGTTCCCCACAACCATCATCCCGCAAAGACCGACAGTCGTGTCGAACGATTTTGAAACTTCCATGCCCGCAAGTTGGAAATAATCTGTACCAATATTAGTACCTTGTCATACAGGGTCAGCGTGTTTGCGGGGACTCACAGCTCATGTATCCGATAACCCATGCTGAGCCGCAGCAGTTTTGGATGAAGAACATGCTGGTTGCCACCAACGTTCTCTTCCAGGCATCTTTCTTGAAGCAGTCTAACATACCCCCTTGAGAATCGCTTTGTTGTCTCTGTAATGTTAGAGAGTCGTTGATCTCCGCCATGTGTCCATCGAAGTCGTAGTCGGCATCGTGAAGCTTCTCAAGATTCTTTCGCGCCTTTTCAGATTTTCCATTGGCAACGAGCCAATATGGCGACCTAGGGTTTTTCTTGCGTAAGTATTGGGACATCCATAACAAGACAATGAAGAGCGAGATTACATACTCTGGAAAGAAAGGTAAGATGGCAATTCCCACCGCGGCAAATCCCCACTGGGTGGCAAATAGGACCTTGTAAGCCCTGGAGTCACCGTAGAAACTAGCTTGCCGCATGACACCATATCCGATGAGTTGACCTAGCACGATGGCGAAATTCATTCCAGCCGAGATGGAGCCACGAATAGCCAGAGGAGCCATCTCAGATGCATATGGAGGAGCAGCGGTGGTAAAGACACCGAGAGGCTTCAAATTGTCAGCATCTTGGTTGAATGGTGGCAGCAGGGAGATGTGCATACAATACCAGTCAAAACCTTTCCTCCTAGGAATTGGCCAATGTTTTTACTGAATACTTGTAGGAAAACACCACCAATGGAGATGATGAAAGCCGCTCCGATGACGGGCTGGCGACCTACTCGGTCGATGAACAGGCCGGCCATCCACCCTCCAAACACCATAGCTGCTTGGGAGTTAGACCAAGGTTTGGACGATTAACTTAATAGTTTAGCTTGTATAATACTCACCGAAGAGGGTTCCGGCCTGGAATCCGAGTTGCCAGTTTGCGTCAACAACGTAGTCTCCTTCGTAAGGCTTGCCGTAGTCCTTTCGAAACTCTGCAATGGAGACGACCACACCACCTGCCAATCCGTCGAAGCCCCAGGCGACGCAGATGAAGAACATGTACATACACCATGCTAGAGGAAGTTTGTTTTCCTTGATGGCCTCGACCCTGGAGAGCGAATGCTGGCGATGCTCAAAACGGGCAGCCGGGGACGAGGCAGCGAGGATGGCAGGGTTCCCATGCTCGCCTACTGGTTCAACATGCTGGACGTCAAGTTTCTTGATGTCCGACATAATCAAATGCTGATTAGACTTGAAAAGGGGAAGATTGGAGAGAGATGATGTTCTGGTGGACAGAGTGAGACGATCCCAGGAAAGGGAGTCACTGCTACTTTAATACTCCAAGCCGGCAGTATGCCATGCAGCCAGAGAAGCCTGTGTCAAGTAAGCGACGTATTAACGTGTCGCCGATATTGCACCCCATGGGGCCTGAGAAAGCCAAAACCAGAAATTCGGGTCACAATTCAACCCCATGGAGAACGTTAGAGTCTCGGGTGGATTGACAACATGTGGAAAAACAATGGGAACTGGAAGAAGGGAATCAAAACACGGACCAACCCCTGAGCGTCGTGAGCTGAATCAACCCCTTGCAAACTGATGAATCCCGGTTAGTGCACTGACACTAACGGAGAATCAGAGGAGAAACCCTCACGTGGGCCGGGTAACCTGTTCCAGTTTATAGCACCAACAGCAGTTCTCTCCTCTGCATGAGCTTACCCTGCTTCTGGCTGGAAGCTTGCTTCTATCGGAACCTCGCTTTTGACAGGCCCAAGCCTCATCTCACGCCCATCTTGGTCCACAGTGCCAAGCAGGTGCTTCTTTCCGGTCTCGCCGCATCTTTCCGTATCTTGTGGGGAAAGATACTCCGATGATTCTCCTGCGCACTTCAACAAGAGACCGACGAGCAGGAGGTTGATGGAGAAATGTTTGATTAACACGTGAGGAATAAAATTTTATCAATAAGCTGAGCTATCTGTCCTGAGGAAGAGAAATTCTCTCATCAGCGGGTTTCCAATTCCTTTCCCATTTCACCGGTTCTGTTCATTCGTTGTCATTCTGTCTCGACTAGTCCGTAATGATGGATCCGCCATCAGACGCAGAGCTGCGTGCTCTTATTTCCCAGCTCACGCTGAGCGAGAAGATATCAATGCTCTCTGGAAAGAATGTCTGGGAAACCTTTGATGTCGAAAGGTTGGGAATTCCCTCGCTGAAAGTAAGGTCCCTTCAGCAGATGCTCCACCACTGATGGCTGACAATGACCGCTAGGTTACTGATGGGCCCAATGGTGCTCGGGGAGGATCTTTCTTTGACGGGACTACAGCTGCTTGCTTTCCATCGTGTGTCTCTCTAGCCGCAACCTTTAATCGTGATCTTGCTTCTCGAATCGGTGCTGCTCTGGGCCAAGAGGCCGAGACCAAGGGGGCATACGTCGTCCTTGGCCCCACGGTGTGCGGCCACCGCTCGCCTCTGGGAGGGCGTAATTTCGAGGCATTCTCAGAAGATCCTCTCCTTTCCGGTGCGCTGGCCGCGGAATATGTTAAAGGGCTGCAGAGCCAGAGGGTTGGCGCAACTGTCAAGCATTTTGTCGCCAATGAGCAAGACACCAAGCGCTTCACTGTCAATGAAACCATTTCGGAGCGTGCACTACGGTAATATTCGCCCCATAAATGGCGAAAGTACAGTTTGCTAACTTTCCAAAAGAGAAATCTATCTCCGACCATTCGAGATTGTTGTCAAGTCGGCTGATCCTTGGTGCATAATGACGAGTTATCCAAAAGTGAACGGTCGTTACGTTGATGCCCAGCCAACCTTCATCAACGATATCCTCCGTAAAGAATGGGGCTTCCAAGGACTGGTTATGAGTGATTGGGGAGCAACATCCGATGCCGTTTCAAGCATTAAATACGGGTATAATTCCCACCTTCAACGTCACTTGTACTAGCACTGACATTCTACCAGACTAAATCTCGAGATGCCAGGTCCACCAAACCGTCGCAAGCCAGAAGTAGTACAGAAGGCTGTCGATGAAGGATTAGTTAAAGTTAATGACATTGACGAGCATATCTTCTCGCTTCTTAATCTTCTCCGAAGGACTGGAAAGTTTTCCGATCGTCGGGAGCCACGAGATGAGCAAGCCATTATGCGCCCCGAGCACAATGCATTGATACGGGAGGCTGGAGCGGAAGGAATCGTTCTCCTCAAAAATCCGAAGAGGACTCTTCCAATTGACACCAAAAATTCTAAGAAGATCGCGCTCCTGGGTCCTCTGGCAACACATGCTGCAGCTCATGGGGGAGGGAGTGCCTCACTAAACTGCCACTACAAGGTGACGCCATACGATGCGTTCCACCAGCGACTTGGGCAAACCTGTGAGCTGTCATATTCGAAAGGTGAGACGTTCATGACAATCAGCATATGACTAACGTGAAGCTTACCATGTTCACAGGGACGCACATATTCAGAGTTCTCCCTGATCTTGAAGCAGGAGCTGTCAACCGCAACAACAATCCTGGATTCATCGCCGATTTCTTCAGGCATCCGGACCTTTCTGGGGAGCCCTTCTACCACGAGGAATATCCCCGTGGAGCATTTACTACCTTGATGAACACCAAGGTGGCTGGAATTGCTAAATCTGTCCGGTTTACTACGAAGTATAACCCTCCTGCTTCCGGCAAACATTATCTCAGCTTTTCTGGTCTTGGGCCGTCTAAGCTCTTCATTGACGGAGAGCTTGTGAGTAACCAGATCAAAGAGACCAAGGATAGTATGGGCTTCCTTCTGGGCGTTCAAGATGAACACAGATTCCAATACGACTTTGACGCAAACAAATTATATGATGTGGTTATTGAATCAATCCCATCGCAGGTCAATAACTCTGATTTGTTTCTGCTAGAGGGCCAAATAGCTGCCCATCTTGGGTTTGTCGCTCAGGCTGAGATGGAAGCGGACCTACTAGCCGAAGCCGCCGCTCTGGCAAAGGGTGCCGATATTGCCATCTGCTTCGTTGGCAACACAGCTCAATGGGAAACCGAAGGCCAAGATATGGCTAGCATGACTCTTCCCGCCGATGGATCCCAAGATAGGCTCATCACTGAGGTAGCCAAGGCGAATGCCAACACGATTGTCGTCATCACAACTGGAGTGCCGGTTGAAATGCCCTGGCTAGATCAGGTCTCCGCCGTACTCCAAGGATGGTATGCAGGTCAGGAGATAGGCAATGCCATCGCCGATGTAATTCTTGGGGATGTGAACCCGAGTGGAAAGCTGCCGGTTTCCTGGCCGAGAAAGTATGAGCACACTGCGTGCTTCGGTCACTTTGGACTCGATAGCTTTGAGACACAGCAAGTCACGTATGTTGAAGGTGTTTATGTAGGGTACAGGCACTTTGATCAGATGTACGAGACGGAGAAGGAAGTCCTGTTTCCATTTGGCTTTGGGCTGAGTTACTCCACCTTCGAAATATCAAGTGCATCGTTAGAAGGTTCGTTTTCTCAATCTACAGATGGTCCAGTGGATATTACCGTCAAGATCCAAAACACGAGTACTCGAAAGGGCGCCGAAACCTTACAGGTCTATTTGACACCTCCAAATCCCAGCAGCAATGGAAGACCGCCAAAGAGTTTGGTCGCATTCGAGAAAGTCTCTCTAGAGCCAAATGAGAAGAAAGATGTACGGCTTTCATTCAAGAAGGATGCCGCTGCATACTGGATTGATTTACCTGCCGAAGTTGGCGGACAAGTATGGAGGGTGGAAGGTGGGCGGCACGAGGTTTTAATTTGTACAAGCTCTAATCCGAGTGATATCCACGCGCGCTGTGCATTGGAAATCACAGAGGGGTTCGATTTCAACCCCTAGGTTGATAAGAGAGATCGTCATTTCTGTCATAGAGAGATTGAATGTAAGAATAAAAGTACTTTCAAATTGGAAGAATAGTGAACGTCCTCGTGCAAAGACGTACTGTTCACATCTTAAACTCCTCGATAATTGAGCCAAGCATATCTATGGCGGGTCTACGATATCACAAATTACCCATGGGGCCTGGGGAACCGACAGTGAACAGGCGTACTCATTCCGTGTTGCCAGGTATATTAAGACATGTTAAAAGGTACGTGTGGTGACATAGGAACCTGGAAGATCTCCAAAAATTCTAGCAGGGCAGCCTTGATTTGACCGGGGTCAAAATTAGGTTTAGCAGCTAGATCATTGTCTTCGTTTGCAATAAATAGCTTTTTCACTCTGATGCGAGAAGCCGAAAGCCGATCCGATCGATGGCCGAGGCGTGGCAAAGCAGCTATCCCAGACTCGACCCTCTTTGCATGCTGTTGAGCGATCCCTTCCGTATTTTGCAATATTTGATTTTTCTTATCCAATAAATACGAATCCATGTCACTTTCTCCTTGGCTTTAAGAGATCGCTGGCCTGTATTAAATCGCTCAGTGACATCAGCCCGGCTTATCAATCTGCTCCAATTCTTATCAATCTGCCCCTTTATCAATCTCTAGAGTCTTGATCTTCTGATCAAAAATAAACCAAATTCTTAGCCTTTTCCATATAGCCGCATCCCACCATGACTGTTGGACCCAAAACTGTGGTAGTACTCGGCGGCTCCTTTGTTGGACTGGTACGTTCGCTTGGTCGACCTATGTTATTCTTCTTCTTCATGACCTTTCAAGCTGATCATCAGTAGGCCGCGGTCCGGGAATTGCTCGCCAAACTGCCAAGCACGCACAGAGTGAGTTATTTCGCGCCCCGCCGACCATCGTGTTTGGGCAGCGCCAACTGACCGTCCTCCCTTATCCAAGGTGCTCCTAATTGAACCACACAGCCATTTGCACTATCTCTTTGCTTTTGTATGTGATGGCCACCTCGTGACTTTCCAGTACGCATCCCTGACCAAGCCCGCAGCCCAGATACGCCATTCTTCCAGGTCATGAACACAAGGCATTCGTTCCATACACTGGCACATTCTCCGAGGCGCCGGACCCATCTCAACATGCTGTTGTGCAGGCCAGAGCAGTGTCCTTGACCGCTAACCAGGTGATTCTCGATCGAGAATGGCAAGGATCCAATGTCGTCTCATTTGATTATGCTGTCGTTGCGACAGGCACCCGACTTTCTCCGCCCGGCTCAGTGGAGCATGATGAGAAGCCCGAGGGCATCGAATACTTCAAGTACCACCAAGACTTGGTCAGAAAGGCTGGTTCGATTGTCCTCATTGGCGGTGGCGCTGTTGGTGTTCAGATGGCCACCGACATGAAGGAGATCTATCCGGACAAGAAAGTGACGTTGGTTCACTCCCGAGACCTCCTGATGCAGGTATATCACCCCAAGCTGGATGAAGTGATCCGAGATCGCTTCAAAGAGCTTGACATCGAGTAAGAAATAAACATATACTATGCTTGCCAGAGAATTATAGGCTTACCAAAGATGACAGCGTAATTACTGGCACGCGAGCCGTCCTTCCACCAAAGGGCTTCCCGTCGGATGGTAGCCTTTTCGATCTGGAGCTCCAGAATGGTCGCAAGATTCCCACTAACCTCGTGATTCTTGCAACTGGCCAGACAGCGAACAGCCAGTTTCTTAAAGACTTGGAGCCATCTACTAGTACCTCAATCTTGAACCCCAACAATGGATTTATTCGTGTCCAGCCCACTCTCCAGCTCCAGGATCCCAAATACTCCAACATATTCGCGGTCGGCGATGTGGCAGACACTGGAGCTAGGAAGGCAGCCCGTCCCGGAGTGGAACAGGCGGCTGTGGCCGTCTCGAACATCGCCTCTATGATTGCAGGCAAGGAACCTAACGAACAGATGGTCCTTGGGCGATTGGCAATCCATCTCACTCTAGGATTGGTACGTATCTCAGGATACTCGGTAAACTAATAGACAGAAATGGCTGACCGTGATTGCAGCATAAAAATATTGTCTTCTTCAATCCCGACAAGGGCAAAACGGAAGCAGAAGTAATGTACTTGGACAAGTGAGTGGGCTCCTGTTTCATGGTTGTGACTAAAGCTTTATTCGTGTAAATGAATACTGACGGGATCTTGCTGCAGTGGTCTTGCGGACATGGGAATCGGGGCCTACAAAGTTTGGGAAGGCCGAGGTCTGACCATCACGAAGGAGGAAGACTACTATCTGTAAATTTGACGGCTGAGATCTTGGCGGCCAACTTATCAATGATGTGTAGTTGAATCAAGACGACGTTATCTTTTGCTTTGGGAGAAACAAATAAGGGCTGGTTTATATACACACGTAAGAGAGTTCGAGTATAAAGTTAAACGAGAATGGAAGATGCTAGGGCCGACAGCTCAACGCAATGAATAAATGGTTTATGAACATATAGCTAAGGTGCAGATCTGCTGCCGATATTCTTCATGACAGCCAAATGGTCGATTTTAGGTCTTTGCCCAGCTGCTGCTCATCCAGTTCGGCGTTGTTCCCCGCACTTGGAAGAAAAGGACTACAACCTGTACACTCCTCGCGCTTAATGATGCAACAAGTGTTGTTTGTTTGGTGTACTGGAAGGACAGAGACCTCTCTATACACTTGCTTCTTATCAACGGAGAGGAAGCCCAGTGAAACCGTGCTGATAACGGCGGCTATCTCTACTGGGCCACCCAACCATGAAAGGCGAAAAGAATGACAGTATGACGTTTCGGTCTAGTCCAATAGACTCCGTGACCACATTAATATATATACTATTACTCCACTTCACCCTCTCCTGCCTTGCATATCTATGTCTGCTTTCTAGTTCATGGAACGTTGTAGCCAGAACCAGTGGGACGTAAAGGGAATCTATGCCGACATTCCTGATCCTAATAGGGCAATTCGGTTTCCATAGAATCTCACATTTCCTAGACAGGATACGATGACAATAATGGCCTTATTTACGAAAATTTACGTGCCGTGTTAAGACTGTTCAAGAATCCTATCTACCACACTTAGTTCACGTGCTCGTCCCAAGTTACGTTGCATCCTGCTTATATTTCCCTAGAACCAACGCGTACGAGAAGCACTGCTAGATAGCTGCCGTAGGTCTTGGATACGACATATGCAAGTCGGCTCGGCGTAATCCTCTTCGAGGCCATATGGATGGCTACGCCGCAGAATGCGGAATGTCACGCGGCAGTCGAATGGTGGAAAGTGAACATGGGGCTGCTTGGCATGGGGAGATTGCCTTGCCGCCGGATCGCAGCTGCGCGTTCTTTGGACAGATTACGAGAGTCCCTTTGGCGACCTTCCACATATGATCAAGCAACGGCAGATTTGTGGCTTCTAACTCTCGAACAAGAAATGAGCTGACACGAGCTCGGCAGGTGCCCAACCCTTCAACAATCCGTTTATTTAATATTGTTACCATCCCTCATTTTGGATAAGCAGTGATATTTTATCTATCGGAAACCTTGATGCTCAGACTTTCTGTGCAAGATCAAAGATGAAGGCATATATCCTCACACTCTCCCTCTTCGCCCCCTTGGCGGCTGTCGCCCAGACACTATGTGGCCAATACTCCAGCAACACGCAGGGCGGCTACATTTTTAACAATAACATGTGGGGTATGGGCTCTGGACCTGGTAGCCAGTGCACTTACGTCGACAAGGTCTGGTCTGAAGGCGTCGCCTGGCACACGGACTGGACTTGGTCCGGAGGCGAGAACAACGTCAAATCCTATCCGTACTCTGGGCGTGAACTCGGCACAAAGAGAATTGTTAGCTCGATTAAGTCAATCTCTAGCGGTGCTGACTGGGATTATACTGGAAGCAACCTCCGGGCCAATGCAGCATATGATATTTTCACGTCCGCCGACCCAAACCACCCTACTAGCAGTGGCGACTATGAAGTCATGATCTGGTAAGATAGGTGCCGTTTGAATTAGGACTGACCTGTCAATCGAACTGAGGCGACTAATTCATTTTGCAAATAGGCTTGGAAGATATGGCGGCGTGTATCCCATTGGTAACTCCGCTGGCACTGTCAGGGCTGCTGGCCGTGACTGGGCCCTTCACATCGGCTACAACGGCGCGATGAAGGTTTTCAGCTTCGTTGCCGCAAACCCTGTGACCCGATTTGATGGTGAAATCATGGATTTCTTCTATCTCCTCCGAGACATGCAGGGATATCCAATGACCAGCCAGTACCTTCTAAGTAAGAAATCAACCCCGAGAATCACTGCGTGGCCATAAAGATAAAGCTAAAAATTTGATGTTTTCTCAGCCTTACAATTCGGCACCGAACCATTCACTGGTAGTGGCGCCAAGTTCAACTGCTGGTATTTTGGTGCCACTCTGTCTTACTGGTAATTATTGCAAGGGCCTCCAAGCTCCATATGTAGCCAGGCAGGATCCGAGATGCAATTCGTGTAAGAAGCCAAGGGCGAGTTTTTTAGCGAATGTTCCCGATCTAACCGTAGCCCTTTCTTGAAGCACATCCATTTTGTTGATGAACGTGAAGCCTACAATGATAACAAAGGCATGAGTTGGCTCTTATCTCAATGGAAAGTCTAATCGTCTATGAAGCCGTGCAATGATCTCCAAGTAGTCCTTCTCGTTCTCACTGGTTACGACTCCATGCCTAATCATAAAGTCAAGCATCACCAGAGCGGAGTTAGGTTTGAACTCCCTCCTGGCCAACGCTACCATAATATCGCTAACAGTCAGAAGCTGAAACTCCTCCACCTCGTTATCATTTGGCTTGCATACCAAATCAGGAGGCACCGGAAGCTCGTAGACGTATTGGCATTCCGGTTGTAGTAATCCTACCTCCCCTCCCGACCTCGAATCGCGAACATAGAAGTGGGTGATAGCTCCAGCTGCTTTGGCGTCCCTGCGCACAAGGTCAGATGGCAATGACGCTTCCTCGTCGCACTCATGGAGAATTGTGCTCAGTGGCGTCTCGCCAGATGCCACACCGCCAGCTGCAGTGCTATCCAACATTCCACCGAATGTCTGCTTCGACCGGGCTCTGCGCGAGACCCATATCTTCATCTCACCGTCATCAGCCGGCGCGGGAATATACCCAATAACATGGACGCCGTAGGTGACGACCCCGAACAAGGGGCAAGCGCAGCGTTCAATGTGAAGTACAACCTCATGGTCGGGGCCGAACACTGGAAATGTCTCGTCGCGCCAGCCCTTTAGAATCGAGAAACATTCTTTCTCGCACATTGCTAGAATCGTCCTGCGAATGACAGCGCTGCGCTCTTCGACAGTCCGGCCACTTTCAAGCACTACAGTCCGCTGTTGTTCATCAACGCTCCATTCTGGAAACTCCCTTAGGATGCGTAAGATTGACGGGATAATGTATCCTAGCGTCGATGGAAGGCCGGCTACACGAAACAGGTAGAGGCCCTGCGATGTTGGATCTTTGTAGGGGAAGCCGTCGGCATCATGAACGATATCAAGATTGGAGGCCATGGTCAAGGGTAAGAGAAATTTGCATGTGACCAGCCGCCAATACCCTCTGATTGGAGACTTGGGCAATTAACGGATAATACACGCCACCATCAACGCCGCAGAAGCCGAGATGGCGGTGGAAGCTTGGCGAAGGAGCCGAGAAATTACGTGGGCTGTTTATTTCTCATAATATGGGGAGTTCTGCTTGTGGAGACTGGCCCCCTGAACACTTGTGACCGGGACTCCGGGTCGTTCAACAGTGGTGTTGTAACATGTGTAGGAATCACCCCTATACAATTAGGGTTGCGTTCGGCTGCGTCGGGCTGGTCGTAAGCTGTAGAGCTATCGCGTCTAGTCGGTCGTCTTTCATCTCGTTAGCAGAGTGCACTTAGCTATATTCGGCCTCGTGCGGGGTGTGCTGCTATATTTGTTTGAGCTGCTGTATCAGCTCTCGCTCCTGTACGGATTGCGCTCGAATGCTTTGGATGCCCTCTCGCAACTATTCCAATACTTTCTCCTGGTTCGCCACCATCTGCTCCAGTGCCTGCTGCTCCTCGCACCCCCCATAGCGTCTCAATTGTTCTCTTGTGCCTTGGTGATTTCCTCGACCGTGTCCTCGTGTGTTTTGGCTGTCTGCTTCAGGATCTGATCGCGGATTTCGCGGATCATGGCTTGCACCGCTGGGCCGGCGTTCCCAGCAAAAATATTCCATAGCTTTCCTCGTCATTTTTCGTGGTCGATCGGATTCACGTGCAACCAAGTCGTGGTCGTTGAGGTCGTCGGGGGCGACGACGATTCTGTCTGCCACCTTGTCCATTGCATGGGTTCCAGTCGCGTCGCGCTACGAGTCAAGGGTCGAGATCGACACCAAGAGAAATTGTGAAGACATTGAGGAGTTTATTGAAGCATGGACTACGAAACAGCCGCACTGTAGAAGCAGAAGTCGAGTTGAAGAATAGAAGGCTGACAGACGTGCAACGAGGGTAGAAGGCACGATGGGATCAGCCAAATTAGGAGGCCGTCAGGTCGCCCGCGCAATCTTTAGGTGGCGATCTACTCAGGTAGTAATCGAAGTGATCTCTAAATGGGCACGCGACTGTATATTACGAATAGTGCCCCAACGAGCCAGTGGATTTGAGACAGAAGGTATTGAGCATCAAATGGTTTACCAGAGTAACAACAGTCATGCCCAAAATATGAATTTCTCTAGATGGTAGAGTTGTTGTAGGCGTGCACGTGTATTTAGGTAAAAGGTTTCTGAATTTCCAGCGCAACATCCTCTGATAGAACTCTAACAGGACCGGCATCCTTATCTGCGTCTAAAAGCCCAATATTCCGGAGTCCAATCTGGTCAGTGTAGCCTCATGGAATCTCGGCGCCTTCAGACCCGGCTTCCTGAATAACCTTGTTGACAATGGCGGAAAGTATGTCGGGTTCCACTCCCCTGATTGTATCCTCCAATTTGCCGTTCTTGAAGACAAGAAATGTAGGGTAACCTGTGACGCGATATTCTTCGAGGAGCTCGAGGTGCTCGTCGCCATTGATCTTGACAAAAGTCACGGCGTTGGGGCGGGACAGAGACTTGGCAAGTTGTTCGTAGAAAGGTGCAATTACCTTACAAGTAGCACACCAGTCGGCCTCGACTAAAGTTGATAAGAGGAATATTAGCTATGTTTGATTTTAATAAAGGAGTTTGGTGGGTTTGCAGATGAGGCATTAGGCGGGGAGGGGGGCGTTGTATAGGCAGCTTACAGTCGGCGACAACAACCTTTGAGGATTTTAAAAGGCTGTTAAACTGCTCTATGGAGCCAATAGAGATGGGATCGTTAGACATGCTGCTGGTGATACTGGGGATGCTGGATAGAATGTTGGTGGTGGCTTTTGATAGTCAGGCGATGTTTTGAGAGAGGACCATGGGGCCGAATCCAGCTGACAAAGTCATGTACCTGATGGAACTGCACACAAAATGGGGTACCACATTATCACACGGCTTATTGGCTCTTTTGTCCGACACACCCTCCAGTTCCTCTGGCGACCAAGCAGAGAACTGAACCTCAGGGCAAATCTCGATTATTTTTCGTATATTCAGGGGTCAAATCCTCGCTATTAAGCTCCTTGTAAGGTAGTATCCGGCAGTTACAGGCTCGCTAACTAGGCTACCCTCCCGGGCTCATAACTGTTATACAAAAATAGGTACCACATTGTCTTAATTGGCTCTTTTGTCCGACAGGAACTTCTGTGGCAAATATGTTGACTGCAGCGCTGACGCGTTAGGCATAGCGCGTTTTAGGCTACGGTGTGTATAGATAGTCTGCTTCGGGCATTTCTACAACTAGAAAACTCTCTGGCATTATGACCAGGGTCATCATCTCACACAGCCTCGCAATTAATTTATATCGACAAAAGGAGTATAAACTAATTACATACCGTACTTATTAAATCCTTTTCACTGTGTCGAGTTATCCGGGCCCTGGCAGCTTCGGGCATTTCTGCAACTAGACAACTCTCTGGCATCATGACCGAGGTCATCATTTTACATGGCCTCGTAATTAATTTATATCGACAAAAGCAGTATAAACTACAGGTCGTAAGGATCACAACGGTTAAAAAGTGACATAGGCTTACAGTGATGTAATAGTACTAGGTACGTACATTCGGGGCTTTTTATACTAGGTAACAGGTTAATATACATTGTGGCGATGTACTGACCTATTGCTACTTTACCTATCGTGGTGGATTGTCGAGATGATCCAAGCCGTTGAGGTTTGTACGAGGTACTGATCATCAAGGCTGGATCTCCGTATATTGATAGGTAGCCAGAACCTGTATTTGCTCTCCTCCCAATCACAGCTCAGGAACATACTCACGCTAACATTTGTGATCCTTGAGACCTGTAATTACATACTATACTTGTTAGATCCAGGGGATAAGATCATAGGAACAAAAGAAATACTATAAAAGGGCTATAATCTCTCAGTATTTCAAACTTTATTCTACAGATATCATTAAGCTATTCGACTGTACAGCATCAATTATTTACTATCACAATTTCATCAACCTCTACAACCTCTACTACCACTTCCTTTTCCAAAATGAAGGTCTCTACGGTCCTCATCTTCGCAACCTCAATCATGGGCGCTGCCGCCCAATACGGCTACTCGGGCTCTGACCTGGAGCAGAGGGATTTCGAGTTGGACCAGAGGGAGATTGATCTGGAACGCCGAGAGGCCAAATTCAAACGCGCTGCCCGAGCCTGGCTTGCGGCTAGAGATGCTCAAGAAGGTCTCAGTCCCCGGTCAAGCCCTTGCCCGCGCCCATGCGCCGCTGGCGAGTACTGCGACGCCGTTCTCAAACAATGTGTTCCTGTCGGGCAGCCACCTCACCCTGTCGGTCCCCCTCCACCACCCCCCCAACGTGGCAACCACGCCAAGCCCAAGCCCAAGGCAGTCAAGAAGAAGGCAGGAAAGCACTAAGAGGTTACTGAAGCACATGGCTTCACGGTTCGGTTCCCTTAACACCCGAAGCTGATAGTACAAAGGTGTACGCCGGAAGCTTTCTCATATATATGCACCTACCTTATCCTCTCATTCCTACCTTTCTTTGTACCAGTATACTTAAATTTGTATTAACGATTACCGATTCAACATCGGTCTCGTTTTCGAAGCTATTTATCTTAATAATTTATCTTCGACTATCACCCGAAAAGTACTTCCGAATTATGTATTCATTAGTATCGTCACTGCTTATATAGTTACATACCAATTTTACATCATCTTGCAGTGCCGTCCAGTAAACAAATTATGCATGCCGGAGGTTAAAGGGTCTTAAATTGGCAAGATGGGTCCGATGATGACGTTGAGCATCGTCAATATCGTCATCGACATGACAATCTTGTTCATTCCCGTGAAGGTCATTTTACCACTCAGGGTCCCATTGCGCCAAAATATCTCGCTGATCATTATATCTGCCGCTGGCGGTTTGTACGTTGAGCCCTCCGTCCGCCAAAAACCCGCCCCCTTTCTAATTATTTCCTGTAGCGTGTGCGCTGCCGCCATGGAGCGAACAATTCTCATGCCCCGGTTGCTCACTGCGGTAGATTACTCATAGGAAGTCTCTGGCCAAGTCATCTGGGGCTTCATTGAAGTGAATGCAGGTATCATCTGCGCTTCTTTCCCAGCCCTGAAGCCATTCTTCATGCGGTACCTCCCCTTTATACTCACCTCCCGCCTCCTGTCATCCTCCAGCTAGCTAGAGAGCCACAGCACAAAGCTCACCCCTTTTCCAATACAAACACCTCTAAAAAGCAAAGATCAAAGAGGATCATGGAGTCATACGGGCTGCCTAGTCGTAACGACCCTCCCAATCAGGGCGGAAGAAATGATGATCAAGCCAAGCTGTGGGCCGCGAAGACAACGATCAAGAAGAAGGGTTGGAACACAAGTGACGACAACAGCTTTGAGAGTTTCGAGGAGCAATATCTAAGTAGGCTGGGAAGGAGAGGTATCGTAGCAAGAGGTGACAGCTCTAAACATCAAGGAGATGGAATTAGCATTACTACGGAAACAAACCTACATTTCATATAGAGGTTGATTAATAAGGACTGAAAGGACTGCGAGCTGGTGTGATGTTGTTGGGTATACACATATTGTATTGCCTTAGTCTCGAAAGTGTGATATTTTGACTTTTCCTTGTGGTGTTGAAGGTTCGGGTATGCCTTGTTTGTGGCCAAAAAAAAAAAAAAAAAGAAAAAAAACGGAAAGATTGCCTTGTAGTCTCAACTAGCATATACCTCTCATAATGTTTTCCTTGTAAATCAAATCAAAAACTGGTAGGTCATTGATGCAAATGTGGCCTTGGGCTAAAGTTGGCTTAACATTTTCATGGTACATGTATTGGGGATAGGTGAGCTACCCTAAATAGACATGACTTTTCGAATCTGGACTGAGTATTCTGTTCAACGAACCTTGGCAGTGGTTGATCTTACAATAGAAATATATCTCTGTGTTTTCCTGTCGCAAATTTCAATGTTTCTTTCACGTTTCTTATCGAAATTTATCAGTCGCCTCAAAAGTTTGCTCATTCAAAGGAATGTATTGTATGTTATTAACACCTTGTACAACCGTAAAATATCGCGTCAAAAGAATCAAAATGATATGGTAACATTTCATATAGTCCACGGATGTTTTCCTTTAGAGGATACTAGAGGGATTTAATGCTAACCCAAGCCAAGGTAATATCACCGAGTAGGTAATCTATGCTGTTTACCCAGGTATTTACAGTTCGTTCCCATCCCGTTCTGATGTCTTATGAGAAGCTTACTTAGCGCTATAAAGAATTTACCCTTTCTATGGCATGGAATTCTTGAACAGTCTTCTTAGTCATCATCATCGTCGTCGTCATCGCCGTCGTAGTCGTCATCGCCGTCGTAGTCGTCATCGCCATCCTCACTAGTAGAAGGATATGGCTCTGGTAGGTCGTTGGGGTCAATCACAGACAGAAAGTCATCTGACCCGCTGGGACAATCAGTGCCCAAGTCACTAGGAGCTTCCCAGCTGTCCAAGTCCTGGCTGGAGTCATCGGCCATCCCCCAGCTCCATCTTTTGCGCCTGTACACGGCGATCATCGGTTTGTGGCAGTGGCACTGTGAGGTCAGCGTCAAGTTTCAAGAAATAACTCGCCAAGTCCTCCCAAACTTACACAGAGCATGGCATCTGGCAAGCTAACAGAAGGGCGACAGAAACACCCGGCCTTGCTAGGCATCATGTCTTGAGGCAGCCAGTCACTGACGATGGCGCATGTGTGGCGAAGCTTTCGGCACTGCCGATTGTAGCAGCGGAATATCTCATCCCGACTAAAATAGACACCTTCATATATGTTGCGGCAGCTCGACGAGTCAGTGTCATATGAGCAGGAGTCGTCCGACTCTAGATATTCGAATCGCATATAACAACGGCAGCAGCACTAGTAAGGCTTGTTAGAGGTACGCCGCGATATAGAACTGAAGTGAGAAAAGCAGTTTTTGCGTTGGGGGTACTAACACAAATCATTCTACCGGCTCGACGTCGAGAAAATCTGCAGTAGCAGGCTTCCTTGACATAAGGCTTCGCGGTATTCCCGGCAATGTGTTGACAATTCTCGTTCCGGCACGACCATACGTAGCGAAAACGTGTGTTGCGGTCCTCGGGGAGATACCCTCCGTTAGACCTGTAGTTCAACATATGTTAGCGAGGTGAGAGATCCAGCAGGGATAAACTGCGATGGCTGACTTGATTTCCTGTTTCTGGCCATCTTCAGAGCCGCTCTTATACGAGCCAGATAAGTCCCACGAATCTGCTCGTTTTTCTAGAATATCGGCCAGGAGTGCTTTGCAATCTAACGTATTGTCGTAAAAGCCATCTTGCAGGAGTCCTCTTGCCTTCTCCACCTTCGCTTCAGCATTGTTCAATTCGTTGCGCTTTATATAACACCGTGCCACCTTGAGGATCGCATTCGACACCTGCCGAGTCCCTGCTTTTTGCTTATCGAGGCGCTTGGCAATCTGTCTCCATAGCACCAAGGCATTCCGCTCGTCATCTTCAGTCCAGCGCCGCAGGAGCAGCTCAGCATGCAGGCAATCGTAGTCCAGCATATCTTGGTCGTAGTCCCCCTTTTGCTTGCGTTCTAGCTTGACACCACGGCTAGCCATGACTCGTCTTACCTCCAACAACTTGCTGAAGGCCTTTCCGAAGTTCTTTCTGGCTAAGTAAAGACGAGCTATGTTGGATTTGGCCCGGAGCGTCACGGTGTGATGTTCACCCAGCACACTTGATAGCCTTTTCTCAGCCTCTTCCGCATCGTCGATGGTGATTTCCTCAGATGGGGGGATCTCCTTAGCCGAGGGCTTTACTTTTTCACGGGAAATAGCCAAATTGATGAAAGCTAGACTCGTTTCTGGGTGTGCTAGGCAAAGTGTGGCCAGACGGAACTCATGTATAATTTCTCGGAGTTTGAGAGCTTCTGTGTGACGTCCTGTCTTTGACAAACTCTGGGCCAACTCTTCCTTTGCCTCCATCTTATATTGTTCATTTTGTGGGTTTGATTGCCCATCTAAAATCTTTACTACTTCGTCGCGGAGATTGAAAGCGTGGCGATGTGCACCGAGCTGATATAGCACCTTAGCTAGCCTTGATTTGGTGCGAAGGAGTGCTGCTGATACCTCGCCCGGTGGCGATAGAAGTGCCGTCAGATTGTGCACATCTCTGAGAAGATTAGCAGCCTCGACACGTCGTTCAGGAAGCAAGGTTAATGATTCCGCCAACGCACTGGCAGCGTAGTGATGGCGCAATTCGGCCTCACCACCAGGTCCTGCTTTACCCCTCTGCCGTTTGCAAGCCTCGAAGATTTCTTTCCGTAAGGTAAGTGCTTGGCTTCGGTCTCCCATGTCGTGGAGCGTTGTTGCAAGGAACATCTTCGCGTCAAGAGCCTTGATCTCGTCGATCTTGCCACCCTTTTCAGACAGTTGAGTAAGTAACTTCGATAATAAAGACTTTGTATTCTCGGCGAGCCCGTTCTCGAATAGGACCTTTCCTAAAACAAGGACAATGTCGGTAGCAAGATTGAGGTCATATGCTGTCCAGAGTATCTCATATCCCGGGGATCTTACCAGGCAACTCTGAACATGAGGAGCTAGGCCCCGTCGCGAGGCGCGGTCCGAGTCCGAGGATCCTGTTGGTGCCATGATGGCAAGTGTTGCCATGGCCCTGATCCAGGCGCTCTTCTTGTCCTCTAAGGTGATAAAAAGGTAGTTGAATGCACACAGGCTTATTAACGGTTCCATAGAGACGATGACATCGTCTTCAGTTTCGACAACATTAATTAGCCCGGCGTTTTCGAGTGTCTTTACCGCTTTAGGGAAACTACTCTCTTCCCACTGACTACCCTGCGTGAAGCAGCTGAGACCTTTGCTAGAAAAGCTGGTGGGGGTTTTCTTAATTGCCGTCCACGCTGCTTCGGCGGCGTTGCAGCTCAAGCCGTTGCCGTTTAGAAAACCGAGAAGCTCCAAAAGCTCCAAGGACCCTGTTGGCTGTTTGACCTCTTCACGGCGAAGTTTGGCTACGGAAATTTCCCATGGTCTCCATACGCCCTCAAGGATATCATTCACTTCGGTTCCCGGGGAAAGAGTGTCTTTCGATAGGTCCCTAAGAAGATTCTCCAGTGCTTTGTGGATGGGCTGTGTTGGAGGTTTTTTTCGGATGATTCCTGCAGCTATCTTAATAGCCACCGGGTGCAACTGCAGCTTAGCCAAAATATCCCCGACTACATTTTCGATAAGTGCAGCATTAGGGATGGGCCTGATCTCGTGCTTGAAGATACGGGTTGCATCGTTTACTGAAAGATTGTACACCGATATAGAGTCCTCGCCGAGTTGCAGGCGGAGAGAGGCGTCGGTGGTCGTGATGATGATGGTGCCTAAATGCGGAGGAAGATCCGAAGATGAAGGATGGGTAGCTGCTGAAGGGAGATAGTGCTTTATGTCATAGTCAGCGGTGTCATTATACCCATCCAAGATGAGGAGCCATGTCCTCTTTTCGTTCTCTAGTTGCGATTTTACTACCCGAACCAACCCAGCGAGATCGTCAGTCTCGGACTGCATGGACTCTTGGGTGTTTAGTGTGATTTTCAAATCTTCCGACGCGATGGTGCGAAGTCCCAGCTCCAGGTCAACGGAGGTTCCCGCACTGATCATCCATACGGCCTGGTATCTGTGCAGAGTGAGCAAATACATATTGGGGCTGGGTCTTCAGAAAATGGTAGGCAGCAACACACCTTGACCGGAATTGCTTAGCAAAAACTCGACACAGCTCAGTCTTCCCCAGCCCATGAGAACCTTGAATTATTATTACTGTACCGTGCTTTGGTCGCCTTTCACGTTCATCGAAACAGCGGTCAGTCATCTTCTTAAGAAGCCCACGATCGTCACTCCATGTCTGAGCGGGGGGTAACGATCTGAAAATCCTCTTCTCTGCCCGGGCGCGGTCAGCTTTTGCTAATAGTAAAAGCATCATTGTAATATTCAAAGGCCCCTTATTACTTAAGAGGCTAACTCTAATCCTCGGAGTACTAAAATAAGGAAAACGATTTGAACAGAGTAAGAAAAAAACTAACCATCCTTTTCAGGAGCATACCACTGCAGCACTGCCTTTGCAGCCGACGCAGCAACACCTGCGGCATACTCTTGGAAATCCTTGTGTTTATGGCTATCGGCATAATCGCACACCGCCTTGATGACAAGACAAGAAGATGAGCCAATTTGGACACCTGCACCCTCCATTTCGAAGGCCATGGCCTGCTGCACTCTCGAGACCTCGTCTCGCAGCTCTCCGGATCGCATAATGATATCTCCTGATGCTATGATTCCCAGATGAATATTAGGCAAGCCACCTCGTTTTTGGCTAGCTCCATCTTTAATCAAGTGCTTATCATCACAGAGTACTTGGCACGGCGTATTCATTGCGTCGTCGCACGACTCATACTTCCTGGCACAAGCGCAGTCCCGCGCCCCATGGTGCTTATGATAATATGTGGCTTGGTACAACCTGTCTTGCTCTGCGCCAGGGTACGAGTAAGTCAGGTCTGGATTTAATTGCAGCTGCGCGAGATTGTTTCTCATATTTCTCACTGCGATTCCCAACCAGGCGCGCCCTTCGAGGGCTTGGGCAAGGGATCTGGCTCGAGGGCTCGGCTGCATAGCCCAGTCGTTCCCGTTCAGAATATTCCGCATCTTGAATCCATCAGGCTTGACCTGCCCCTGGTACAAATATTGAGCGATTGAGCTGCTGATGACAACATCGCCGAGAATGATCTTGCGAACCGCATCCTTCTCGTCTTGTGGCACCGGGAAAAAGGGCACCCCGCCACAGATGCCCACCACCAAGAACAGGGCGACGTTCGTGAACTTTCTTCTAAGAGCTTCCGTAATACATTGAGCTTGCCCCGACCCAACGCCTAACGGACGCGCTATCACCACGTTGTGCCCGCCCATTTTTGCAAGAGTGTACACGTTCGGATCGTTAAGGTCAAGGGGGGTGGTTGGCCAATGATACTCCGCTGAGCTGACCACAGCATCATGCTCTTTTGGAAGAGCGCATATGATAGCGAAGTAGAACTTGTCGTAATTCGGTACCTCGCTGAAACCTTCCTCGGCCATCTGGGCAAGATCCTGCTCGGTAATTCTGGCGTTCCCCAAACCTCCGGTTCTAGCACTAAGGCTTTCGGCAGTGAGGGGGGCAGGAACCAAAGGAGTTTTATCTCTGAAGGGGACTTCGGCAGCCATGATGTGTTAGGCTACGAAATTCGGTTCTCCAATCCCTAATATGGGGTAATTTCGTCGACGAGGGGAGAGTTGTCCGCTGTATGCCCCTTGAAATTTTCAAAGTGAGAAACTGTCAGGTATTGCTACTATTTATACTTGAAATAGTGTATGCCTATAACAATTATGGATCTAGCGACAACTCGCTTGTAACGATGGAACCCCTTACCAGCGCTTACTTCTACATGAGAATCCCCTTTTATTTTGATATCAATGTGGCGCACACCCCTTCCTCCCAAAGCTCGGTCGTAGTAATCTTACATGTTGGTCCAGGACAACTCTAGGCGTACAATGTTGAATCTCGGTCCTAGGATACTTTTCAAAAGTTCTGTAAGACGCCCTCAAGAGGTCTTGGCGGCTCATCCTTGTAACGGTGTGATCGTTGGGCTTATGCTCTCATTAAAGGCTTATATTGAAGTATTTCTGACGTGTCAGTTTTCCAATTCCTCCAGGATCAGCTGGTTCAGCTGGTTCAGCTGGACCTACCCCTCTTTTGGGGATGCTGAGGCATGAATATGCATGTATGGCAACTGCCAAAGCCGCGAAGTCATCAACACATTTGATAGACAGAAACGTGAGTGTATAAAATCTTTCTGTTACTTCATACAAAGGTAGCTAAACATACAAATCTTCCGTTTCATTTAGAAGATGTATTGCGAATAGTATCCAGATGGATACACGTTCTGGCCGTATTGAACATATCGAGTTGGTGGCCTGCCACTACTTGGGGGCAAAGCGTAGGGGCTGGGAGTTCCACTTAAATGCTGACCATAACATCCCACCTTGCCTTTTGCGAACCGTTTTCTCTGGAACCTCTGGAGAAGTAAAAACACCCCTAAGCATTGCTTCAGTACTTTTAAGGAGTCCAAAGCTACCGCGATGCCACCTATCCTTGGCTCTCTCATCCATCGTCTACTCTGCATGATGCGTCTAGGACAAGACCCACGCTTACCCCCCCGGTCTACAACCTTGGGGCTTGGCCTAGCTGGTTATTCAGGTGAGTGTTATTTTACTGTCTAAGTTTTTCTCTACGTACTGTCCTAATCTTTCTACACATATAGCCACCTTCGACACTGAATTTCTTCGTAGGCACTACTTGGGATCCTCAGCTGAGCCGCCCCTTGCCCGAAACGCTACGTCGCCTTCGACAACGCAGCAACCGTCTCCACTCGGCGCGACCGCAGAGGCTCCCGGCATAGATCGCCAAGACGTTCTTGGGGTTCAGCCTAGGGTTCAGCCTACAGCGAACTCAAATCTAGGCCCAGACCAGGCCTACTCTAAGGCTGGGGGCGAGAAACGACGGTTACCACAACCAGCAGAGCAAAACAACTCACGTCTGTCGATGGCGGAGTGTTTAGAAAGAGCACGTCAGCTCAGGACTGAGGTGCTTGAAGGATATAGTCAGCGGATTGACGATGGCACAGTGTCGGTCCAAGTTGAAAACGCGCGATGGAGCCTTGGCATATGCCATATGCGCTGTGGCGATTTTGCTGAAGCACGGGACTTGATGGCTCTTGTAGTGAAGACTCGAGCTGGTAGGCTCGGTAAAGACGCCAAAAAGACGATAGATGCTCAAACGCAGTTAGAATATCTGGATATGTTATTGACTGATTCAAGAGTAAGAGGTTCACTTTCACCTGCGGGCGAAGATTCAAGCATTTGTCTCAACGACTCGAATTCTAGTGGCGAGGTTCATAGTAGCATATAGAGCAGCCTCCCCGGCAGTGATCATGCAAGCGATGATGATGAGATCATTTTATCCCTGAGTCACTCACGGGCACAAAGAAGGGTGCCAGTGCTGCACTAAATCTAGGATGAGGGGAGATATAGCAATATGGTCAGTCTCTGAACTAGACGTCAAGCGTAAATGGATACCTAGGACGTAAGTAATACTTTACACAAGGAGAGATCGTTTATACTAGAATGCATATCCCTTCTGTTCTGGGGACGAACAACCACAAGCCCACGTTATAGATAACGCAGAAAAGCCTTTTACGCTAAATATCATGAAATAGATTGAAATCTAGGAGTTATATAAACTAAGTTTTTGGCTTTGTAGGCTCAAGAGATAATAAGCAAGGTAGCTGACGGTGGCTCTTCCAGAAGACAAAATCTTTTGATAACGTACTACTACTCCTGCACCTTTGCGGGCATATTATGAAACAACCAAAGTATGGGACTTGCATATTCGATCGGCAAAAGTCAGTTTCGCCGGCCATTACCACCCCTAAGTCCGTTTTACGTCGTTATGCTTTGCAGATGGTTCATTACCTATTTCGATGAGATTTGCCATGAATGAACATTCCATGAGGCCAAATGTTTCCGAAATAAGAAATAGTTGTTGTCCTAGATGCTTACACCATTAGCCAAAAACCAAGACTCACTGCTTCGCCCCCTCTCCACATAAGAATGCCTGCATAATCTGTGCTGACGTTGTGGCATAGCCACCGATGACTGCCTAAACTGCCAATCAGCAGTGTCCGGATGATGACTCCGTGCTCACCCGGGCGGTGCCACAAGGCAGCACTGGTCGGTCAAGGGAATCAAGGCTCAATGGAAAGGCAGGCATCCATTCTTCGCTTCGACACACACTATTTACTTGTCTTCATTTGCCACCAGTCGGACGACTTTGCTATCCAGGAAGAACTTTGGCTAGCCTCTACAATTTTATGGCCCCCATTAACCGCTCATTTTACTCGTGAGCAGCAATAAGCACGAATTTCAAGTGCAGAGCAAGTCTACTACGCCAGTCCATTCCTTCAATTATGACTTCTTATGAAATTGATTATGTCAATAGCGACAGCGATGTTGATGCTGTCGTGATTGATCGCGATGATGTTAGCAATTACAACCCGGAGCAGATCCTCCCTCAGCCCGCGGAGATCATCCAAAAAATCCGGGCATGGCTCCAGCCAACCTCATACGATATTGCGGGCGGAGAATACCGCAAGCACCTGGCCTCTCATGTCTCGGGGACGGGATCCTGGCTTACAGAAAGCGACACATACAAGCAATGGTTGGAGGACGACAGTCACGGATTGCTTTGGATCAAAGGCATCCCAGGTTCTGGAAAGTCTGTCATGGCAGCGAGCCTCATCGACGGGTTTGCGAAAGCCAGCCCAGGCTCCCCCGTTGTATTTTTCTTTTTCCGTCAAATTATTGAAGCGAACCACCAGCCTGAGGCTCTGCTGCGAGATTGGATGGACCAGATCTTGACTTATAGTCCGCCTCTGCAAAAGAAACTCAATGATTATTTGGAGTCTCGCAGATCAATCGAGAGTATTTCAATGGAGGATATGTGGAAAGATCTTTATATGGCGTTCTCCGGATTGTCTAAGAGGGTTTTCTGCGTAGCTGATGCGCTCGACGAAATGGACAAAGGCAATGAGTCCTTTTTACAGGCTCTGGCCACCTTGGGCAAATGGAACCCTCAGAAAGTCAAAGTCTTGATCACAAGCCGCCCAGTTCCAACGATTGAAGGGCCGCTGAGAGCCTTCCAGTCCTCCTGCCTTCAAATCCGACTGCAGGAGAACATGGTGGACATTGACATTGCGACATTTGTTCAGTTTTCCCTGTCGCGATCCACGATCCCACAGGCCGACTGGAAGACGATCATGGACGCTGTACCTGGTCGAGCCAACGGGCTGTTTCTCTATGCAAAGCTTGCAATGGACGCCTTTCTCGAGCCGGGTGCTGATGTGAAAGCCGTTCTTGGCCATCTACCTGCTGATTTGAACGTGCTCTACACTGACCTCTTGAAAGAGCACTCCAGGCGGTCGGGTATAGCCGACAGTGTGCAGCGTTTGATCCTGCAGGCTGTGACTCATTCTACACGGCCTCTTAGGCTTCTGGAGCTCGCCGAGATGATCAAGGCTAACAATCCGGACGGGAAAGAGAGAGATCTCAAAGCCACCAAGGATCTGATCCGGGCTGCGTGCGGGCCGTTGCTCGAGATCTTGGCGGATGAAACTGTCTCTGTCATTCATCATTCATTTACGGAATACCTGAAGGGCACCACTCGGCCTGGTGGTTCTGGGTATCCGGTTTTGGAGATGGGCCCAACTCATGCCCAGTTGGCGATTGCATGCTTGCGGTATTTGACTTCTGGAAGTCTGAAGTCCATTGTAGTAGAAGAGGAGGAATATAACGGAGATTCCGACGGCGACTGGTATAGATCTCGCAACAAGGTCCCGAAAGAGGAGATCCAACAGAGATTGAAACATCCCTTCTTCGAGTATGCTGCCGTCAATTGGGCGCATCACATTCGCAGATCCGAAGCAGCTAAGCAGGATCAGACGGAGGTCCTCGTGTTGGTCCGGGAATTCTTGGACAATGAGAGAGACATGAAGGCATGGCTCCAAGCCAAATGGAACGCCTCATCTCGAGGAGCTACACAGGGAGTCACCAAGATCCATATAGCTGCCAAGCTTGGCCTATGCTCTTACCTCAAGGAAATCATCCAAACAATGGAGCCAGATGTGCCGGACTCGACTGGCAGAACACCTCTGTAAGTTGTGATTTACTTTCTTATGGCCCAGATTGCTGACAATTATTGGGAATTTAGATGGTGGGCAGCCCGCGAAGGTCACGAAGAAGCAGTCCATGAGTTGATCAAGGCCGGTGCAAACCCTGACCAACCTGAATCCGTACGTGGGTTGAAGCCTCTACACGAAGCCGCCAACTTGAACCATCACGCAGTCGTTCGCGCGCTTCTCGAGGCTGGCGTAGACCCCCTAACTCCTAAAACCATGGAGAATCCAGGCAGGAGATGCGGGAATGCTCCTAGAACTGTTGGGCATACCCCCCTTATGTATGCCTGCCAGAATGGACACCTCGAATCCGTGGACGCATTCCTACCCTTCCTCAAGGACATTGACACCGCCCACCGTGCTTTAGCATGGTCAGCCAGTGAAGCTAAGTCAAAGGTTGTTGCTAGAATTCTTCAGCATCCAGGAATTGATGTCAACGCCAAAGTCCGTGGAAATACGGCTCTCTATTTAGCCTGCGGTACCTCCGATGTTGAGACTATCAGGTGCCTTTTGGAGGCTGGTGCGGATCCTCGCGTTCAAAGCCTAGATAGTGGTGACGAGTTTAACAGGAATTCGTACTATGTTCCCTTTGGGGGAGAGAAGCAGAATCCCAACAGAAACAACTGTCTGCATCGTTTGTGTGGTTCTGGACGTCGTGGATACATGGACGACAATAGGAACACCGATGATCTGCAAACCATATTCTCGCTCTTGATCAATGCAGGCGCCGACATCAATTCCCGGGATCCGTCCGGTCAGACGCCTCTCCACAACGCAGTGTCTTCTCCGGTGTTAATACGACTGCTTCTTCGGGCCGGAGCTGATGCCAATGTAACCGATAACTCAGGAATCGCACCAATCCACCTCGTCAAATCGATGGACTCCATGGTGATACTGATCGAGGAAGGCCATGCCGACATTGACCTAGCCCAGAAGGATGGGAAGACACCTCTCCTCAACATGGTCTCTACCTACCATGTTGAAAACACATTGAAGTTCCTCGAGTACGGGCCTGACATCAACGCTACTGACCGTGAAGGTGACGGGGTATTACACGTTGCACTCAAGCAGTGGAATACGGGCGCGGACGTGCTTAAGGCTCTGCTCAAAGCTGGTGCTAACCCCAACGCAAAGAACAAGGCCGGGCTCACGCCTCTCCTCTCCAAGCGCGGGGATTTCAAACCTCAGTTGCTGGATATACTCATCGAAGGAGGTGCTGATGTCAACGCGACCGATCGACAGGGGAGGACTGTACTTTTCAACGTCCTAGGTGATTTTATTAGTGGCTCTGACGGAAAGTACGAGCATATCACGCAGGTCGTTGAGAGGGGCTTTTCGATACATCACCGCGACTGGAAGGGCCGTACTCTTTTGCACGAGGCAGTTTTACTCCACGACGCAAATCGCGTCAGGCCTAGTCAAAACTTACAGTTCGACTTTGTTCATGGTTTAGGGCTTGATGTGCATGCTGTTGACCATGATGGAAACGGCCTGCTGCACGAGCTAGCGATGCGTTCTGCCAACCATGAATCATATTCGGGGCCCCCCTTGGTATCACTGTGGGAGCGTCTTCTCGAGTTGGGTCTGGATTTGGAGCAGACGAATCATGATGGTCTCACTCCCTTGCATATTCTCTGCTCTGCCAACACCTCCTCGTCACGATTCGAGCAAGGCGTGATCATGCCGATCGACTTTGTGATTTCGGGAACCAAGGACCTGGATAGGATCGATAACCTCGGCGCCACAGCCTTACATCGGGCTGTGATCCATGGGGAGCTGTACTCGAAGAAGCTTCTCGACGCTGGGGCAGATCCTGCCAAGGCCACGCACGAAGGGTTGACCCCATTGCACATTGCCTCTCGCTGCAGGCAAAGTAATGTAGTCGGGCTACTATTAGACGAGTTGAGGAAACGAACACCGTCGTCAGATTCTGCTGTCCTTGGGGTGAATGCTGCTGCCCCGTCTAAAAACAATCTCAACCTGCCTCTCTACTACGCTTGCCTATCCGGGAGGCCAGAGACCGTGTCGCTTCTCTTCGATGCCGGAGCTGATCCCAAAAAGGCCATGGTTCTTTCTGCTTGCGCCTCTTTTGAGGACGAGGATCAGTTGTGGAACACCGCTTGTCAGGAAGACGATATTTTCAAAGATCAGCTTCCTCTTCGCTTGAAGGACACGAGGCGGATCCCGACACGGGGAGATCGATACGGCAATGCTAGTGGTCTGAAGGACGATGAAACAACCAGATTAGAAGAGATCCTGGAAATGTGTGCGAACAATGGCCTTGGGGAGGATGACTTCAAGGAACTCGATCCACGTTTCCACAAAAGTGGTTACATCGGCGAAGCCTTCAATAAGGGGCATGACTACACCGCAATCTGCCTAACCGCCATTCGGGCCAAGAACCCTGCTCCAACTGTCGAAAACGATGAAAAAGCAGCACCCTCGGTTGGTACAGGGAGGGTAGAGGAAATATTACACAACTCATCGAGGGAGGCTAGACTCCAGAGTCTAGGCGCCTCAGGCATGCTTCAGCCTGATAAGATTAACCAACATCACTTTTTGTCATTCTTGAGACGGAAGGAGTGGAAGTTTATTGAAAAAATGGCGCATGAGGGTGTTGACTTCCTCAACGCCTCGTTGGGCGTCAGCAACTTCGCCAGTCTCGTCAGCCATGGTTATACTTCACTTGCAGAGACGGTGGGTGATATTGTGGTGCAGAAAGGTTTCGAAAGCGGTGACTGGCATGCTTTCGGGGACAACACCCGGCCAGGTCTCTGGTTTGCGAAGCGAGACATCTCGGATCCAAGTAAAGTGGCACAAAACCCTCTACCTCTGCTGATTGGGGCAACCCAGCGAGAACTTCCAAACTTGCCTATGGTAAAATTACTGGTTGAGAAGTTTGGAGTCGACGTAAACGAGATGCAATATAGCAGAGAGTACGCGAATAGAGAGTATATAGTCGGCCGATCCAATTCTCCTATTCACTCCGTATCGAGAGGAGACCATTGGTGGCAAGTCCATCAAGCACTGCCCTACCTACTCAAGGCCGGAGCCGACATCCATCTCCGCAACCATCTTGGACAAACACCTCTTCTTACGGCCCTCAAGGCTGGTGGAAACTGGCCTGGGCCATTCAACAAGACTGCCGCAAGACTTTTGATTGAAGCTGGAGCAGACGTTAACGCGATTGACAAAGAGGGACGGAGCTGTCTAGCCTGCGCACGGCATGACGTTGATGTGGTGAAGCTCCTCATCTCGCACGGGGCTGATGTAACGGCAGACTCCGTCCTTGCAGCGATCGACTCGAAGAGCGTCCCGATGCTCCAGGCGCTCCTCTCTGGGGGTGCAAGCGCGAATATCCGTGCTGACAAGCCGTCCGAAGAGGCCCTGGCTGCTGAAAGGAAGAAGAGAAACAACAGGTATCGCTGGGCCTACGGTTCATCAATCCATCAACACGAAAGGTTTCCGCTCTTCCACGCTGGGAGTCTCTTGGACACATTAAAACCTCCTGCTACAAGCAAAGAGCATCGAGAAACAGAGACTTGTATTCAACTTGTGCAAGTCCTTCTCGAACATGGGGCTGACCCGTTTGATAAATTCCTGATAGAAACTAGTTCGGGTCCAGATACAACAACTGAAGAAGCTACAGTCTTACATGAACTGTTAGCTGATGGTAGTTTGCCGGAGATTTACCTCCGCATTCCTGACCTAGATATTGGCCATAGGGATGCCGACGGCCGCACCCTACTGCATGCTGTCTGTAGTGGCGTCACTTACCCAGACTATGTTATGGGGTCATATCAACAGGACGGACAGGTCGGCGAGAAGACGACCGTATTTCAACATCTCTTGTCCCTGGGTGCAGATATAGAAGCCGTCGACAACTCTTCTCGGAACGTTTTGCATTACATGATTGGCAATCCAGACCGTCATGGGTTCGTCGAGTTCGATAGGTTCGAGGCAACTCTAGCCGAAGCTCTTGAAAAGGCCCCTCAACTTATGAACCAACCAGACTCTTCTGGTGAAACGCCTCTGCACGCGGCCGTCCTTCGTGGGGGCGATAGGGGAAGACCGGATATCGCCCAAACACTCCTAAAGGCTGGGGCCGATCATCTCACCGTCACCAAGAAGGGGAACAATCTACTCCACTCGCTTGCGCCGCGTTTACGTACCGAGCAGAATCGCGATTTCTTCGAGGATCTGGTGAAGCGAGGAGTTGATATAAACGCTCGCAATATCAAAGGAGAAACCCCCCTTTTCACCTTTTGTGTGAAGTCTAAGGCTGAGAAACGCGACACTTACTCTGAAAAGGAAAGGGCTATGGAGAAACTGAAAGTCATACCACTATTGGAGCGGCTAGGTGCCGACCTTTTCGTCAAAGATAACAGGGGACGGGGGCTATTACATGCGGCGGCAGGAGGAAGTGTTGACATCTTCAAGCAACTGATGGAACGAGGACTCGACGTCATGTTGGAAGATGAGGTGCAGCAAACGGCTATTGATGTTGCTGCTGCTTGTGGTAACAAGGACATCCTCGAGCTCTTTGAGAAGAAAATATGACTGGGTCAGGTTGGTTGATGATGGCAACTAAGAGGTTCACAAATTGGCAAGATATACACGTTTAAGCCCATAGCTGTGATATTGAGAGCATAACATGGCAATTCCTTACACCAATCATACAATATTGCTCAGATATGCCTTATATGATTATAGCCTTTGAGAAAAGAAACCAGTTTCTTCGAATCTGATCCTCATGAAGGAACCAAACTCTTTTCATACAGAATAGAGGTATTGTTTCCATATTGATTCTACTACGCATGTACAATGTTAATTAATATCAAGGTATTCTATTGTATTTGTTTTGTTGTTATGTCTATTACCTGTTTAATTACTTCTGGTGTATTTTGAGACCCCAATCCGGTATGTCGTGTATCGCACGTTATCACGGCAGTTCTATTGCCGTCTGGTCTCCGTGAAATTAGCTCACGCATATTTCAATTTTGCTCTACCTTCCCAGCTCTGCATTCCTGGATCTTCTCTTGGTTTGGTAACCAACAATACCATGGAATCAAAAGTTAGCGCCAACAGATCGAAGCAAAACGTCTGCGGTGCTTTCCCAGGCCGACGGCGACTGGACTGGACGCCGGCCATTACAACAGTCGCAATCCTGGGTCTTTGCTTTCTCTTCAGCGTATCGCCTTCCGGTAACAATGAGCAAGCAATGAATGCTCAATCTGAACAAGTCACTGGCAGTGGTAATGCTCAAAATGACCAGCGTGTTCCCGTCATTTTCACCCTCATCGCTCTAGTTGGCGCCACGGCAACACGAATCATCCGCAGCGGAATACAGAGCGTGCACCACATCGTCCCTCGAGACTCCTCTATCACAGATGCACACAATTCAAGATTTTGGGCGGGAGTCTTGAGCCCTGTCGCCCTGAGCTTCTACACCGTGTCGCTGGTCGAAACGATGACGAGTTATCTCGACGGTGTCGAGGCTATTTGTGGCTCCGAGAAGGATTTCAAGTGGAACATGGCCGTAGGCGACTGGGAGCATTACGATAAAGCCGCTGGAATCTGGCTCATTCACTTCCTCGTCTGCGCTATAGCGTCCGGCCTTTTGCTGCATCTCTGGCCCCAATCCTGGCCTGGTACCAGGACAAGTTCCCGATGGCTCGTTTTGCATTACGCGTCACTTGTGGGCACCGTAACAGCTGTCTTGGTGGTTGGACCTTGCCTCGCGCGTACCTTTCTACAGTTTGCCCTCTCTTGCTCGCTATTTACGCTTACGGGGATCTGGCTTTTGGCGAACTGGCGGTGTGTTTTTCAGCAAAGCTTGAATGACGTTCACATCCAGTTGCCGTTATATGCCCTCTCACTCTACCTTGTTGGCTGGGCTCCGGTACATGCCTACTGTCAAACCAATGGCTGTTGATCTTGGCTTGACTATGCACTGTCAAATTGAGGTAACCGGGCACAATCCCAATGACAAGAGACGAGAAGTGTCATGATGAAAGTGTATCCTAGAGCGTAAAAAGCATCCCTGTCGCAGCGAGGCAATGCTGAACAGGCACAAATTCGTAATAATCGGGCAATTAGTGTAAAGCTACTTGCTTAGGGCATTCTTCTCATCGCTTCACAAGCATCTAATGAATTTGGTATTCAGCGAAAAAATTCAGCTATCTTATGGCTTCCTTTCATCCACACTGGAGGATTGTTGAGGTCGCAACCTGATCAACACGCGTCCAAGAGTTCCACATGGAGCCAATCAGACACGGCGGTGAGAGCACGAGAATGCTACGAAGATCTCAATTAACGAGCTTCCTACTTCGCCCATTCCCGAGATCCGGCCCATCTTTCCATCATTGTTGTATATGATGAGTGCCGCAACCACATCGGATCTCTTTTCATTTTCTCTGCGTGATATCGGCACGATCTCGCTCATCACAAACTGGTCCGAAATGATCGCCACCAAAGTACTCACTCTGCTGACCAGCGCGTTGCTGGTCCGAGCTGGCTGCTACCGCGGCTACACCTCGCCATTCTCATTTGACCTGGGCACGGAAAAACATGCTGATTGGATGGGCGGCATACCGGATGACAGCTTTCTCACCTCTCTCTCCATTCCGGGGACACACGACACGATGACCTACAGCGTCCGCGACCAAGTCCGGCAGTGCCACAACAGGAATCTCACCGTGCAGCTCAATTCGGGCGTGCGCTATCTGGACATCAGAGGCCGACTTGCAAATAATTTGATTGAGATCTACCATGCTGAGACTTATACCGGCTACAACTACGAATATGTGCTGGTCGAGGTGTTCAATTTCCTGGAGAATCACCCCAGCGAGACAGTCATCATTCGCATGAAGGAGGAGAGCACAGCCATCAATTCGACCATTTCTTATGAGGACGCATTCCTGTATTACCTTTGGAACAACACCGCCACGGCAAAGGGTGCGCAAAAGCATTACTACCTCCTCCCCGAGGGTGAATCATACGCACCCATCCCGCGTTTAGGTGATCTTCGTGGAAAGGTCTTCTTCTTGCAGAACTTTCCTTCGAGCGTGGCAGGTCGCTATGGCATTGGCTGGGAAACCTCGGATATGATCCTCCAAGACCTCTACGAGATTGAGAACGTCGACGCGCTGTGGAAGAAGTGGGATGCCATCGAGGCTTCACTTATCGAGGCGGCAACTACAGCAGACGATAACCGAGCCCTGTTCCTCTCGCATCTAAGTGCCTCGGTCGGCATCCTTCCCATCGAAGCTGCCGCTGGTCCGCTTAACCGCACCGTTGTTGGCATGAATGATGAGACGGGCGATTGGCTAACCGAGACGGTTCAAGAGGGCGACGAGAACTACGGAAAGACGGGCATCGTCATCACCGATTTCCCGGGCCAGGAGCTTATCGATGCGGTACTGGAGCGGAACAGCCATCTAACCCACGCTGTTTAAGGATGTAAAAGACAAAATATGCGGCTTTGAATTATTGAATCGAGGGTTGGCTGTGATCGCCCGCGATGTGATCTCCTATTACTGTTCGGCATATAGTAGCGAAGTTGACATCTAAATGAATGCATCAGCAATTTATACATTCTACTAAAATTACATAGTGAAATAGAGCGTTGCCCTCAACAGCATATCCTGAACTTTTGCGATCGCTGGTCCCCGCCTCTCATACTACTAGTGGCAGATGGTCTTATTCGTCACTATTACCTATAGTAGACCTAGACTTAATATAGTAGTTTTTTTCTAGACATTACTATTTGCTATGAAATCATCGGCTCATAATAAGCGACCGCACATGGCAGACTGGCAGTAAGCAAAGTCCGAGACGCGAACCCTGGTCCGAGATTTCGTTTCAGGTACTCGGACGCTTTGGGTCGACGGCCAAGGAAGTTCCGGTAAGCGTCTAAAGCTACGAGATACTCACCTTTAATTTCATACCACGGGAAAATTGTTACAGCTCCCCATCATTTGATGTTGTTTACAAATCGTCATGGGACAGAAAAATGGTCACGATGCGACGAGGTCCCGGGAAGGGAGCACCATGATTCATGCACAGGAGAGGATCGGGTAGGTTGTATTCAGATACGTTAACTCATTCAAGAAGCTCATTCCGGGCCTGCCGGCTTTCTGGTTGTCATACTTTGTTTCGTTCCATGGCCAACCCCCATTTGTCTTGAAATGCTTGGTATACCTTGCCCTTATCCCACGATGAAACACCCAAAACGCCAAGCGGGGAATGGCTTGCCTCGAAAAACACCAAATGAGACATCCATGTCAAGGCAAAGCGAGCCAGGCCAGGTCGAATCCGGCAAGAGGGTTTGTTTGGCATTTCCTTATGCGCAAGAGTAGGCGAGGATTGGTTTACCCTCATCGTCGAAGCCGAGAGCGCCAGAGGGGGAGCACTCCTGAGAGCAACATTCCTCGTTCGACGAGCAGCCCTCTTGACAAAGAAGTATTAGCAAAGAATTCTTCAAGTATGGCAAGACATTCTGTCTTGTTCAACTTACTTCCTCTCGTTAAACATTTCAGTTGGCCCAGCGGCGATGCCAGTGGAGTGCCCAAAAGGCCCATAATCGCCAGCGCAACAAAAGCGGCCTTCATACTTGAAAGAAAAAAAGAACAGTGCTAAGCCAGTAGCAAGTGCGTAAAGGGGTATCAAAAAGCTAGACCGGTAGCTGAGATAAAATGCATGCTAATCCAGTAGCAAGCAATTCAGGCCAAGGAATGAGAGATGCCTAAAGAAAGGCGGTAGAAAGCATTGTTGAGACGGGAACCTGGACGCTTAAGTACATTCCCAGTGCGATGCTTTAGCCGAGGCGGTTTGACAGCTTGACCGGGGGGCCGAATTGTCCAGGCTTGTCTGTCGTGTCAGTTGTCTGGGGTTGTTTCAAGCCGTGGTGTGATCCCCAACCAGCCCCCTCCAATTGAAACGTTTAGTCGTTTGATGCACCGTGGTCATGGCAGATCGCAAACCATTGCAGGCTTTTTTTCACTCAAATATAATGCCGCTTCCATTATGCGGTTTGAAGTTTCTGGTCGATCCCACGCTCAAGATGGATGAGCATGAACAAGTTAATTTGAACCTGCATGCGACAGCCAATAGTAATACCCAACAAGTACGGATGAATCTGAACATCCTTGTTGGATTCATGCTAGGTATGAAAACTACGTGATGTGTGTGATCTGTAATAACGCCGACGTGGAGAAAGCTCCCATCAGAGTCCATCGCCGGCCACGTTTGGTGGTGGGGTGGTAGCCTCACGTCACGCTTCGAGCACCTGATCGCTAATGGGTCCATACTGAGTGTGCCAAGGTAGAACATTAAATTTTTATTTTCGTCTCGTTGTCCAATTCCACCAAATAAACAGAGCATGGTTACCCCTGTGCAACCCATAAGAGTCTTTCTGAAGCATGGTCGTCTCGGCAAACCTAAACTCAATCCCAATCGATGCTAACCTCTCAAATTGTGACATTTTCACGCTCCTCCCGTTCCAAATGACAGCTGCGGAGCTGAATGAAGGCCACGTAGGAGCACGTATCTAATTACTAAGATACAGAGCATCATCGTCAAATTCTGTTCACAGGATCCCTCAATGTCAATATAGGGGTGGATACGCGTGAGGCTGCTGGTTTTCTTCTTCCGGCACATCTGTGATTGTTGTGGGCTGGAGGTCAAAGGAGCTCCAGTCCATAGGATTGCCATTCCAACCGAAGGTTTGACTGAAAGCATCTGTCTCTTGCCCTGATGAATAAAGGCCAAATAGGTCCAGGCCATGAGATGGGTCGGTGTTCAGATGAGTGTCGCTGAGCATGTCCAGCATGGAAGGGTCCAGTGAAGAGTCAAGGTCTGTTGGCATCGTCCAAGGTGGCCCGACGTTGTATACATTGCTTTGAGCATCATTCGCCGGGAAATCATGGACTGGGGATACATGTGACGCCTCAGGTTGTCTTGTGGAGCAACAGGTTGTATCAGGTACCACTGTCTCAGAAGAACAGCAAGAAGAAGTCTTGTTATTCGATGAACAGCACGAAGCCTTGTCATTCGAAGAACAGCAGGATTTCTTGGGTCCTGATGAACAACAAGACTTTCCGCTCTCCTCTGGCGTGGGAAGTGCGGGTTTCATCGCAAGAGGTCTGTGGGTTTTTGTAGGTAGTGTTTGAGGTGTGTTAGCACCTCCATTTTCGGTTGATATACTTGGCGTTGCAATGCCGGACTCCGTCATAGGTGAGCCATAACCCACGGAATCGACATCACGTGCGCCTTTCAACGACGGTTGATTCTTGCTATGTGCGCAAGTACAGCCCTCTCCGGTAAAGCACCGGCATCGAGCTACAAGTCTGTTAGCAAATATCTGGATAATTGTGACATGGGTGGCTCCTACCGAGTCCAGTTGCAGGGTTCAGGGCCTCAGAGGCACATTTACACCTGGTGTGGACGGAACTCGTCTTTCGTAAGTCGCGGCAATGATCGCATTGTGATACGGGCCGTCCTTTGCTGCTAATCTGTCGAAGTGGTCGATCTAAATTTCATTTAGCTGAGGGAGCCGGGTTGAGAAGGCTACGTATTCGCATACCTGTGTGCTTGCACTGGGCTACGCGATGACCCCGAATGCATGTATCGCAAGCGAACTTCTCTCCGTTGACGATCATATCTTCAAGCTGTCCGCAGCAGGCTAGCGAGTTTTGCTTTCTTGATAGTCGGCGAGAATATGCGACTGATGGATGGTACTTGGTGTGAACGAGGTTAAATCAGATTGAGGTTAAGCACACCGGACTGAGAGAGGTTGTTTTAGTGCGTCACAGTGGCAATCAGCATTTAGCGCATGGCACGTGAAGGCTCGATAACCAATTATGATTGGCCAGAATTGCTGATGTAAGCGAATATCGAAGCCCACGTGACTCTGTAGATAAGAAGCAGCTACAAAGTACCTAGGTACCTACATACTTCACATGACCAACCCTCAAGCTTTACACATCTCGAACTCTGTCTAATTCAAGGTTCTCTAGCCGATTTACTCAGATGTCTGCAAAGATTTCACTATGTAGCTCACATCTGAACCTTCATGATGTATAGTATCACAGTCTTTTTTTAAGATGTAGCCAAACGGTCCCTCAACCTTAGCAATTGACATCACGAAACCAGGCTCAAGCATCCCTGAGCTGCACAGATCGCTCTGATCAAGTCGATTCTATCCGCGTTGAAGCTTACGATACTTTCTGCATCTCAAAAGCATTTAAGAGCTTGTACCAGCGCTAGACACTGTGTTTGCTTGTCATGAAACCCAGAACACTAGGCACTGTTTGGCGATCAACCTCCCAAATGGGTGAAAACATGGCGCATCGAGACAGTTCAGCGGTAAGTTTCATAATACAATATCAGAATAATTAATCTAGTACCAGGTATAATATCAAGCTGAGTATCACAATTTCTTGTTCTTTATTTTTGTGTTTAGCTAAAAATGAGGACCCTGTCTTTACGCGAAAAGGGCGCTATGCTATGTTTTATTTCACCCACTTGCCTCCCAAGTCGGTCTCCTATGTTGATGCATCGCCATGAGGATTCATTCTGTCTCCCGGGATAATGAGTTCTCATTGATTTCTAGGTTAATGGAAAGAGTGTTTAACATAGTCATAAGTGTCTGAGAACAAAGCAAACATCGGACAAGGAGAAAACGCTGTTCAAAGCCACTCGAAACTATCCGTTCCCCTAAACCACCACCACCGGCCTACCCGAATATGTTGACTATCGTTTCCGCACTTGTACCGTATCCAAAATTCGTATCTAGGGACTGGGGGGGATGCAGACAACTGCCTGGTCGAGCTGAGAAACGGAGATAGTCAGCACCAATATTCAAGACGCGCAACACCGAACAAGCCTCGTCACATACCAGATGAGCAAGGCAGCACTTAGCATCCCGAGCATTGGCTGCAGCGCAAACGGCCTGAAAGCCACCGGCGCTGGCAGGAGCTATGCTTGCTATTTTTCAGAGAGTATACCGTTAGGATGGATCGATTGGACAAATCTGGAGAGGTGGTGGATCAGCAACTCACGTGCTTCACAGTTCAAACCGAGGAGTCCAAGAACATCGGTCTTGCAGCAGAGAGGAACTGCGAAAAGAGGCGAGCGGCAAGGATCATATTGAGCGACGGCAGTCGTAGCGGCGACGAGAATGGTGGTGGCGAGAAACTTCATGTTTGCGTAGTTGAAGGTTTGAAAGTGTAGAATGGATGAAGGGGAAAAGGTTTTGAGGTAATTGAAGACTTGTGATGAAACTCTTTTTGGTGATGAGGGTAAAAAGAATGGGCTAATCGGGGATTGTAATGGCTTTTATAGATATTTGCGACAAGCAAGGCGGCTATAAGTGGCATAGACTTCCAGTAAAGCTTCGGAGGTTATCTCGCCGTCGGACGAAAAGCTCCCCCTAGCAGACAACCATGTTCAGAGTTACCTGACTACTTCCAAACTTCAAACCTATGATCCAGCCCTTTCTAATTCTATTGGTAAGTTTAAGCGGTCAAGAGATGAGGCGTTCTTGGCAGCATGCTCGACGCTGGGTGGAAGTGACACTATCCACCACACCTGTATCTCTTAGAGCCTTGTCTAACGGCCTTTCCTCACTCTTCTTACTGAACGCTTGATGACTATTCCTTTGCAGAAAGCCAGAATGGGCCAAGACAACCCACAGTCGTTATTGCAGATGAGACAGCGGGGCTCCATCTCGATGGGAAAGGGCTTGATCACACGGCGGTTATTCGAATTCTCCCGCATTCCCGACTCGGAGCAGTATTGTTTTGAAGAAGGGAGCCAGGCAGCACATGATGTTTACTTTTACGCAGATCTCACAACATCCCTTTTCAAGGGATGCTTGAGCTTCAAGACCCCAATCTCTAACTCAAGATAAACCACACCGATTAGTTTCTGCCTATAAGAATTTCCAGGCCACAAACTATAATTTAGATAGATAACCGAAACAAACATCTGACAGCTATGGTCTTACGGGTTAGCGTAGGGCGGCCGACCAAAAGCAAGCATCCCAATTTGAGACTTCTACTTTCAGATTGACCTTTCCGAACATGGATCGGTGAGCATTTCTTACTTCCTCTTTGAGCTCACCAGCATCTCTATGCCTAAATTGAAGGCTATAGACACGGTAGGATTTCCCCGGCTTATCCTTGGCTGCATAAAACCCAGTCTAACCCTTGATCAGAAGGCAAGCGCACGGTGTCTCACGGGAGGCTAATACCGTTGGGCACCAACGGCCATGCACATACCTAGTCTTGGTCATTCAATCAGCGTTGACCGTTATCCGAACTAGCTAGGATGTAGTTGGTGTCTCACAAATACAGACATGCATGTTGAGGTCAGCGCCGTCCGAAGTAGAAAGAGGGACCGTTAGCCGTCCATCGGGGATTACAATTAAAGATATCCGCCCGCTGTGGAGCTGAGTCTATTTGTTCTTTTCTATTCATGTTTCGCTTTTTCTGGGAGCGAATATCGTTCTTAATTATTCTCTCGGAACCGGGGCCCAGGTGATCCTCAACGTTCAACGTTTACCCCAACCACGTTTAAATCCGATGTACTTACATTCCGATCCTCGGAGCTTACCAGCAACTGGCTGGACATCTACCCCTCTTCTTAAAGACCAGATACAGTAACACGTCTACCAATATGATAGATCATAGCGCGTAAATACCAAGGCTGTGTACACAGCCAAGCTTGAGGAATGTGCGCAAATTCCACTGCGACAACATCGGATTAAAACATACGATCAGCTTTTTTTTTCTCCCTTGCGATGATCCTGAATGTTACTGGGCTCATCAATAAGCGGCTTCACTCTACCCGAAAACCTCAAACACTTGTCATATATCATCTAATTTCCATCCCATGACTCAAAAGACATACAACCCTTGTCTGGTACTCATGCCAAGCTTCCCAACGAAGTGGCTATGTATCCATGAATGTCCCAAATTCATCTCTTTGTTCATCTTTTAGCTGCACATCCATGACTTTAGACACTTTACGTAGTATGGAGAACAACTCGGCTAGGTGTACAAAAAGTGGGACATCAGATATACCCCATGTTCAGCCAACCTCTCCAGCCCAAGGCACAGATCCGATACTCGGCTGCCATTGATCCTTCATCCGAATCCTCAACCAACAGAGGCATCAAAAGTATACGAAATGGCACCCTCATGCGCACCTCGCCTCACTCTCATTTAAGACACCGGGTCAATATTGCCACATTCTTATGATAGGGGGTCGTCTGCTCGTTTTCATGCCCTGTATGTGATGACCAACAGAATAGTGTCTTTCATGCTTTGCTTTGTCCAACCGGGAAATCTCGGGTCTAAAGACCCTAAGAAGAAGCATGGAAAAGGAAATAATTGCGACAGTTTCTGACAGGTCCCAATGTCTGCTCTGGCGGTATCCAAGTCTCCCCAAGGCACCCTCAATTTCAATTGTGAGCTACTCTCCACTGTAAGATGTGTAAAACAGGGTCAATCAACCAGTCAAGAGCTACTTGGCAGACATTGTCTCAGTTCACCCCTTCCCGGTGATGTTTGTAGTCTTCCAGTGGCTGATTACTACAATCAACACCAAGGTTCTTCCATTGTCAGCCCATGTGACTGCTCAACTCAGAGCCAATCCGCTTTTGTAGGTACCTGCACGTCGGAAGAAGCACTCGGCTAGTGCACTCATACCAGCCCCAAATTGAGATCATCCTAATCAAGGCCTTTCAGCTCGTCTCCAGAATATTCACTCATGCACCAACACACTCTCAGTCAGTCACAAGACACAGAATGCCAAATGGTTATTGGCAGAGACAATTTGGTGCGATTGCTACCCAACTACACCAACAAATGTATGTTCCATCCATATACCAGCTCGTCAAGTTGACCATCACCAACGAAATGGTACTTTCTTGAAAAGACTTGAATGCGACAAAAAGTAGCTTTCAGTGTTTCATCAGTAATCTAAACCTATGGCCTTTTTCTTCGCCCCGCCCAGACCACACCATCGGTTGTGCCCGCTAGCCGACAATCTGTGCCGTCTTTCTCCGGTGCCCATACCCCAGGCTATGACCTGAATTCTCAGTTCCAACTCAAAGGATGTCTCAGCCCCAGGATGGGTGAAAGGTGACCATTTACGGCGGGGTAATGTAATACTCGGGGGGATTCGCCCGACCCGACTCAGTGTCTACAGCCCGAGAGCATCCCATATCTAGAGCCAATCATAATAGCTTTAGGCAACTTGTTACCTAAGTGTGAAGATTATTTTAACATTGCACATGTAGCAGTCGCCACGTCGCAAAAGAAAGATGATGGTGTATTACCAAATACAAATCTCTCACTGCTCATCCCTATACTAAACGATCCTTTTCCTACCATGATTTCACCAAGGCTGTAAGTTCAGAATAAGATATACATAATATTGATAATAGATTTTTTTCACCGCGATGCGATTCATCATATCCCCCGTCCCATGCTTCGTTCACGTTCATTTCGACCTCAGTTCAGACACATACCCGTCTATTTACGCCCACTTACCGCTGCCAAAGGAAAGAAAGTCTACTAGCAAAGGCCTAGAGAAGATCCTTTGGTGTATTTGGCATGGCAGACTGTCTCACAGGCGGCCGGGTAGAGGCGTTCTTCCAATTGGCCTCATTGTAGGACAAATTAACAAGAACCTAGCCTGATGAAACAAGACGGACCGTGTTGCTTTCAGTAGCAGCTTGACATGTTGGGAAATGCCCGAGCTAAGAAATACGAAGAAAGATATTTTCTTTCTTTTACCAATACGTCCGAAAAGAGTAATTTCGTTTACATGATTTCCAAAATAGATCACCAGCAAGGACTCACTAAACGTCTCTCGGCTCGGCGTAGTCTGAATTGAATCGCCACGACCCACCATGACGACAATTGGCAATGACGTAGGGTCATGATGCTAACAATAATGATTAAAATAAGATGTGAAACCCAATGCTTCAGGAACTCAGGCACTGATACGAACGAAATCAATGCATAAATAAAATGGCCAAAGCTATTATCCCGTTCGCCGAGGGCCCGAAACGCCCGAAGCAAGTCATCTCCCTTGGCTTGTACCGCACCGGTTCCCAATCCCTCAAAGAAGCCCTGACCATCCTCGGGTACCGTGACGTCTTTCATTCGTCGGCGTTGGTTGATAACTTTGACAAATGGAACGGAATGGATGCCGCTGCCGATGCCAACATCGCCTGTCTCCCATCCTACACCGGCAATTCCTACACCCGTGAGGATTGGGATGCGTACCTAGGCCCATGTGAGGCTCTAACAGACGTCACGCCCTTCGCTGAGAGCCTTTTGAATGCATATCCCGAGGCACGTGTCATCCTAGTCAAACGAGACTTTGATTCTTGGGTCCAGAGCTTCCTCCGTACCCTGGTCTCGCCCTCTTCCGACGGTGTGCTAGCATGGTTAAGCGGCAACGTTTTCGAGCCCTTGGTCGGTCTCCATTTGAGCCAGACAGTCTGGAAAATGTATATGGGCTTGCTGGGAGTATGCGATCTGGGTAAAACACGAGACCATAATATACTACGTGCCGGATACGATCGCCACCATGCCAATGTTCGCCGCTTGGTGCCTACAGACCGACTTCTTGAGCTAGATCTCGCCAACCTGGGCTGGGAGCCGCTGTGTGACTTTCTTGGAAAGGACGTGCCTAATGTGCCATTTCCTCGTCTTAACGAATCACGGGTTTTCCGTAACAAGTTTCAAGAGCTTCACCAAAACATGTTAGTTGCTGGAATGCTCAAGATTCTGACTCCTCTGGCAGCGGCTGGGGGCATAGGGGTTCTTGGAATCTGGGCGGCAAAGATGAGGAAATAATTGGCGGTAATACACACCATCACTAACCAGCCGATATTGCTTTGGAGGATATTAGCTGTTTTTTCCTAATTTACTCTCTTTGGCCTACCCAGTCCACTGTGCATGGCGGAGACTCTCCCTGTAGTACCAAAAACGTCTGACATTATCGATGCGGTGTATTGCACATATCCCAATATTCTTTTCTACCACCCGGTGCTCAAGATCATCGTCAATCAAACTTCTTTTTCAAGCTCACAAAACTCTTTTACCCTTCCGTCATTACGACTATTCCCATTGCTGCGACGCTGATCTCATCACCTGTGAGCGCTACCGGTCAAGCGTGATGACCACGCTAGGCCTCCATGATGTGCTAACAATCAGCTGCGGGATAGACTCCATAATTGAGGCGAAGAACGTGCTTCCGCGGTGGCTGTAATCGGCTAAACGATGCATTCAAAGTACATGAATATTTATGGCCTG